ATACTTTACACTCCGTACTGCATATATACATTAGACACGATATCCAAAACAATATACACTTTCTATAAATGCCTCCTAAGCGGTGTACCGATAAGGTGATACTACGGCCAATGAGCCACAGGCCCATGACATTTAGGAGCCCCAATTAAGGCCCCATGTATTATTTTTCAGTGGATGAACAGATGAATAAAATAAAACAGGCAATAACTAATGTTTTGGACAATTGATGTTGGGGGAGTGGGTTTACACATACATATATTATTTTTGCTTATCGGCCTTTTTGCTTTATTGTTTATGATACATTTTTAAGATATTTTAGACCGAAATTCAGTACAACATTTTTTTTTTTTTTTGAAGTGGCGGTTTTGATTTTAGGCCTCTATGTGGTGAGATATTTTGCCACGAGCATTAAAAATTCTAACTACGCCACTGCTTCCAAACCTCCTCATCAGAGATATACAAGGTGTCCTACAGTGTTATCTTTATGGTAATAACTCTGTCAATATTTTTTAATCATGTTTATTGCGAGGGGGACACATGTGTAGAGAGAAAAATTATTTTTTTATTTTCATCCCTTAATTAAAAACTCAAACAAATTAATGCATAGACAATATATATAACATATTACAAAAGATAAATACATATTCTTTTATATATTAATAAATATTTTAAATTATTCTTTAATTTTTTATTATTTTTCTTTATTAATAAAGCATAGCTCGTGTCGTTTTTTATAAACTATATTTATGATTCAAACCAATTTACCTTAAATATGTTTTCAAAAATCCAATTCGTAAAGTTTCACTGAAATTGCGTATTAATTAAAAACACCAAAATTGGTTGAAAAACACATAACACAGGTGAATGATAAACATAATCAACATAACCTACAATTACCTACCTACCTACCTACCTACCTATCAACCTACATTATTAATAATGTTAATTATTTAAATTAGGTATTAAAAGAAATTAGAAAATATCCATCATCAATACATTTGGATTAATAATTTTATACAAATATAAAAGAACTTTCAAACTCAATATGGAGATTGCATTAATTACCTTAGAAGTACCTTTCCTAACTTTAACATTCTAAACAATTATATTAAACTTGATTCAAAATGAATATCCAAATATACAGATCAATTTTATTTGTTTCCTACTTTTTGTTAGTTAAATCAGCTGCTTCTTGATAAAGTGAGCGGTAACTGAAAGGGTGAAAAAACCCCTTAATTATAATATTATACATATAATAATAAGTAATAAGAAATAATGTCTTTCATTTACATATTAAGTCAATTGAATTGTATAATTAATTAAATTCTTTCACTAATTAATTTACCTAGTGCAAAATAATTAACTATCTATTTTATTTATTTATATCAAAGTAGTTCCAATAAAAAATATTAATAGAACTACTTTGTCAGAAATAACTTAACAACTTAATTGAAAATAAATTACATTATTTTATTTTCTACTAAATGAAAAAAAAAATTAAAATCTTTGATTTCAATACATAATAATATAATATATTATAATTACTATTGTACTTATTACTATATAATAATTTATGTATATATTATACATATAGCTATAGGCTATAGGTAAATATTAGGAACTTACAAATAACAAAAAACAATTTAAGCAAAGTGGAACTTACCAATGACATCTTCTTCATAATTTTCAAGGAAACAAAAATTAAATATTCTCTAATTTCTTTTTAACATATAGTGTTACATTATATTATACTAAAAAGTTAATAACCATTTTGTATTATTTTTACATTTTTTCATAAAACGAATATCTGTGTAGGTACTTTACCATGAAAAATATCAATTACTGTATATAACATGTGATAGGTATGTTAAATGTAGTTGTTAATTCAATAAATATTATATTTAGTTTTATTTAGAAATTAAAAATAATATATACAAAATGATGTTCACTCTTAACAACCAGTATTCATATTTTATGGGTAGATATTTATCAATATTGAGATAGATTGTATTTTAGTAATACCGTAGGGATTTGGAGATGAATTGCCATCTGTTTAACATAATTATCTACTTACCTCATCTGTGACTGCAGTTTGGACTTACTACTGACCATACCAAATCTAAAAAAAAAAAAATGTTTAAATAACAATTGTAAACTAACCTATTTCCATAGAGCGGATTGGCCTATCGGCAAATCGGGATTTTCCTGGTAGGCCACCGTCAATATTACACTCAGAGGCCCCAATAGCCCGATCTCAAAAAATTTAAAAAAAAATTGTATTTCCCTAATACTAGTGTACCGGCTGGCAACTATACAGTAATAATGCGAATTTGAAATATGTTTATACTCCATTGGGAGCCTTTGTGTAATACGCGTTGAAACCCGTATAATCTATAAATACATACCTATTTTATTGTATGTATTAAAACTAAATAATGCATAAAATGTTCAATTTTAAGCATTTTAGCGATTTCACGATTATGAGATGGATGATGATGACCCTAAAACAGACCCATTGCATTCATATAAAATGAATGTTTACAATCAAATACTGGACACTGTTATTGATAGCATTTCTTCAAGATTCGAAAAACATGGACAGCTATGTGCAGATTTTGCATGTCTCGATCATAATAATTTCAAACCAGATGTAGAACTTCAAAAAAACTCTCTTATTGTTTGACAAGATTTTCAATTATTGTCCAGGAATTATGTATAAAGACTTTCGAAATGAATACATAGACTTTATATCAAAATGGAAAGAAATAAAATAAAATTTTGATTTTGTGTATATACTAAACTACAAGATTGTGATGGCAATATTGATGGTAATAACAAAAATAACTAATATATAAATGTAATAATGTAGAATAATTAATTAATATTGATAATATAATTTTAATTTTGTTTATGAACTTTTAATATCATGCGGTCATAATCCAAATATAAATATAAAATATTATGTAGTTTGTTGATTTGATGTGCTTGTGAAGTTCAACTTATACACAAATGCATATCCCAGTCTTTTCATTGCGTATAAACTAATGCTGACATTATCCGTGACGCAAGTAGGATGTGAAAGAAGTTTTTCTAAGTTTAAATATATAAAAAAAACTACTTTAGAAATACATTGGGCCAAGATATTTTAGAAAGTTTAATACTGATGAATGTTAAAAAAGATTTACCAAATACAATTGATTCAAATGATTTAATTGAGAAATTAGATGCTAGGAGTACATTTAAAAAACTGTTATCAATAAATATATTTTTTTTACAATTGATTGTGTAGTATATATATTTTATGATTTTATTGTAAAAAGTATTACGAGCGAAGCAAGCATTTTTTACATATACATAGGCCCTAATTTATATGTGGCCCTAATAAGTATATCCCGGTAAAAAAAGTACCTATCCACTCGTGTATAAATATGGAAATGAGATGGAAGAATTAAAAAAAAATATTTTTCTAAAGTAAGGTAGTACTAGATTAGTAAGTAGTACCGAAAAAAAAATCATTCGGTCATACAACTTAAACAAAGTTCGTGGTACCTTGATTCTACTTATATTAATTCTATGTCTATTATTACTTTAAAAACAACATTATATATTATAAATATTCGAATTTAAAAAAAAAAAAAATTGAAATTCGTGAGGTGCGTGGTAAAGTCCACTTTACGCATCAAATTATCCACCTTCTGTAAGCTAGGCCTCTGATGAAGATAAAGAGTTACAATTTTCAAAAAAGTTATATGATAACTTAGAGGTTAAGACAGAATAAACAAAAACCTTAACAACAAATTGGACAAGTATACATAACAGATTTTAAAACATATAAATTATTAGTCTAGAAACAAATAACACCGAGTGAAACATAACTTGCTCATAATGCGAAATACGTTATAAAAGTATTGAGATTCGATTTATACTAGTTTAGCGATTTTTAGCTCTCCTTTTTATCAGGAACCTACGTTATATAGGTACTTTCATTAATTTATTTATTGTCCAAATGTCCAATTAACCAAATAGCCTAATCATGATGCAAAATAGGCTATAAATGCGTTTTAAAAATATGCAAAAAAATATTTTTGTATAAAATAATTTTTAGATAAATTTTATATTCAAAGTGTAACGAAGAATATATTGGTTTTACTAAGATGTTTTTTTTTTTTTTTTATACTGTGTACACAAATTCTACCAGAAATCTTACTCAGATATGCACGCGCAGTATCATTTCTGAAAGGAAATATGTCCAGATGATACTTTAAAGAGGTCATTTTCCAAGTGGTTTTCATAATATCTGGGAAAAACCAGGATAAAACATAAGAAAAATGGGAAATTTACGAAAATAATGCTTTTATTATTTTTCAATTTTGTTATTTGTTTTAATTCAATAAAAAATATTTTTAAAGACTTGAAATTTGAACAAAAACTTATATTTGCCTTTTCTAGACGTGGTAAAATATTCAAAAACGTTAAGCCATTTTTGAGCTAATTATAGACATTTTAATTTTGACAGTTTTGTACATAACTTTTATTCGGTAGGTACTCTGTGCAACGGCGTATTTACAGGGGGGGGGATTTGGGGGATCAATCCCCCATTTTGTCTTTTTTTTCTATCATTAGAACCTACATGGTATATACCTAGACAGTAAATCGTGTTTAGTATTTACTATCTTGGTCTATTTTCATTTTTGTAAATAAAGTAAAAAAAAAACCGGTAAAAGTTTATTAATAGCTTGAAACTCAGCTATGTCGTGGCTAATGCGGCGAATTCGTGCGATTTCTGTCCGATTCCTTATCTATCGTGCCTGTTTGCTGACCGCACTAGATGCACCAGCAGAACACGTATACTACGTGTATTACTCATTGGTCATTACTGTACGGTTGTTAATTTGTAATATAAAAACAAGATATTTTTAGACTAAAATACCAAAATCAATTCATTATAGGAATGGTCTAGTATATTCCACGTAATCAGGCTATCAGCATTCTTATTTATTCGGAAAAACAACATTCGTATTTTTAGGCTAAACACGAAATGATTGTAATTATTGTGTAATGTGCAATTTGGATCTTCAGTGTTTAACTGTTAGTGTTAATTTGAATTAGTTAAATTTGAAATGAAACGAAATACACTAGACTCCTTTTTTAAGCCACAACAAAATCAGACAAATATTCATGTGGAAAACAAAGACGTAAGTAAAAGAAAGTCGATAATATTTAATTAATTAATTAATTAATATAAATTATTTCGTTTTTAAAACGTATTTATTAATTATTGTCTTTTTGATTTTTGAACAATCAATTAGGTACCAGTGGAAAAATTACTTTCGAAAAAATCAGTGATTAGCCCACAACCACCAATAGTAAGAACTAAAATCAATTAAATTATTTAAGTCAAATAAAATTTGAATTCAAAATCTAAATCGCATATTGTTATGGTGTTATACTTGTACTACCTGCATATTAGTAGAAGGCCTAGGGGAGACACTTAATATTTGTATAATTATACATCTATAGATTATTGATGGTATAAATATTTTATGAAATACCTATATATATTATGTCTTATTGTTTTAATTTGTCCTAGATATGAAATGCTCCTGGTGATAATATTAGTAATATTGATGAAAGTGTAAAGGATTCTGAGATTTTTGTAGATGTCATTTCTTTATTTAGTAAACATCTAAATCATAAACAGATGAGGAAAAACTAAAGGTAACATTTAATATAGGTGGCTAATTAATTTAGACTTTGAGAGTTAAGAGATTATATATATTTATTATAAATATTATAAATAATTAAGATGAAATCATAAACAATTTCTAATTTATTTTTTTTTTTTTAATAGGTTTTGAAACACATTTGGGTTCCTCCTAACAATTTTACTTTTCCAGTAATAGAAAATAAAAAAAATTAAATTAAAACTTCAGTCTTCATAAATGAATTTATTTCCTTGATTAACATGTTCAAAAATTATACGAGGTGATTATTGTAAATATTATGTTGCATTTTCCAAATATAGAGGAATTGGAAATCAACCACTTGGACAGCTCGTTAATCCCTTTATAAATTATAAAGATGCTGTACAAGTAAATAGTTTTATTTGTTAATATGAAAAATATAATTTGTATTATATTTTAACTTCTATAATACATAATAAATAGTTATATATATTTATATATAATACGAAATCATAAAAACTAGTAAAATAATAAGCTATATTAAATTATTAAAGATTTCTGGGCTCATGTTAAAAAAGTACCATATTGATGCTGTGTTAGATGCAGAAAATTTTTTGGACGTCTTTGAAAAAAGAAAATTGACAATAGTACAACTAATTGATAATAATAGGTAAGTTAGCCATTTTTGATATATTTTGTACATTTCTGTACTTATAAATTATATTTATTAAATTTCAATATTTAATCATTTATAGAATTATTTAAATACAAGAAAATAAGAAATGTTTGGTACCGATTATTCAATATATCTTACTATGTGGTCGAAAAGATATTTCTTTAAGACACCATGATCATGGCCAAATTGATATTAGTAGTAATTGTATACATCTATATTTTGTATATTAATTTATAACAGTTAAAAAAACTCAATTTTAATCATTTAGATGATAAGTGTAACGAAGGAAACTTGAAGGCTATTTTAAAGTATAGAGCTAAAGAGCATGATTATCTAATCTAAAAACAGTACTCGAAAGACCAGGTAAACAAAATAAATAAATTAGTCCAGGAATACAAAATCAAGTCATTGAAGCTTGCAACAAAATCATTTTAAAAAAAAATTGTTGACAAAATAAATATGTCTGTATGTTTTTCTCTGATGGTAGATGAAACAGACATTTCGACAACAGAAATTATCTATTTGTGTGAGGTATGTCATTGGTAAAAATATACTAAATGAAAGTTTTCTCAAATTTTTCTCTTTACATAGTTTAATAGGAAAAGACTTCGCAACTTCAATATTAATTATTAATTTATAATAAATTATTCAATTTTAGTTTTAATTTAACCATTTTTTTTAAGGTTTAAGTTACTGTGGAATAAACTGTGAGTTTATGTATGGTCAAGGATATGATAGGGCCAGCAATATGGGTGGTGAATTTAGAATTGTACAGAAAATATTTAATGATTGGTTTCCAAAGGCATTATATGTCCATTGTTCTGCACATTCCCTAAATTTAGTTATGTCCTTGTCAAGCCACATTAGACTAATAAGAAATTGTCTTTAAATAGTTGAAAGACTACATGTATTTTTTAATACACCTAAAAGAATTAATGTACTACAAAATTAAATTGAAAAAGCTGATCATTCGTCCAGTATAACTAAACTTAAAAGACTTTGTACCACTCAATAGGTGCAAAGGTACGATACATTGAATGATTTCTGTGAACTTTATCCTAATGTTGTTAAATCCTTAAATTATATCTGTTCAGAATAGAAAGATACCACTGATCTATCACTGATGCTAGTATGCTTCTGAAGAGTATTCAAGAGTATTCAAGAGTTAATGGTTTCACTGTATTAGTAGCTGTTTTATCTTAGGTACTATTTTCATATGACTTGCCAGTTGGCAAACAATTGCAAAAAAAAAAAAATGTATTTAAAAAAAAACAATAGATTTAATTAAAAATGTTATTAGCGTATTAATAGATACGTGGAAAGCTTCTGAAAAAGAATTAAAATTAATTTTCAATGAAGCAAAGGTAATATAAAAAACTTAATTTTTATTTTATATTTTAATCTAAGTAATCACTTATAGAAATCAGCAGATCTATTTGGGATTACTATAAATAGAAAATGTATAACAACCAAACTAACTAACAGAGCTAATTCTAAAATAAAAAATCAGATTAAGACTATTTTCAAGTGACAATACTTTTGCCTTATATAAATCATTTTATATTTCAACTTAAGGAAATATTTTAAAAGCTAATACCAAAACATTGGTTGTAAATTATTGTAATAGTTAAAAGGTATATTTCTATTTTATTTACAAAAATCTTACTGAAATCCCTTGGTTTTGAATGCTTATTTCACTCAGAGTTTACTGATTAAGATAAAACGGAATTTCAAAACTTAGTTGATCTATATCATACCTATTATCAATAAGCACAATGAAAACATTAGCTGCACTCAAAATGTGAAAACTCAAATAAGCTTCAAGCAGTAAAAATCTAACAAAAAATGGATTAGAAACCTTACAAAACTACAATACAGCTATTCATCCAAACATCCATTTCTTGTTTAAAATATTTGTTACTTTACCTGTTTCTACAGTAACACCTGAACGAAGCTTTTCCACATTTAAACATTTAAAATCATACTGCAGAAATTCAATGAATAAAGTTTTTCTTATATTATTTTCTAATATTTTATTAATTAATTGTATTGTATTAGGGACATCTTAATGGACTGGCACTTTTATCAGTTCATTAGTGTTCATCAGTTCATTCAGGACAATAGACATAAATATTAATAAAGTGGCAACTAAACAAATTAAACTTGATTTTTTATTATAACTGAAAAGTATAAGTATGTAAGTTATTTTAATGAATTAATTTAATATGAAATGTGAAATGTAAGTATTATAATGAATATATGGTGTGTAAAGTGTAAACTGTACAATATTTAGTGAGCAAGTTTTGGAAACCTCAAGAGGAGCAAAGCCCCCACTTTTATGTGTGCCATTCAATGGTTCATCCCCTCCCTATAACAATTCTTAAATACGACGCTGACTCTTGTAAAATTGATAGACTTTAACAGAAATGCTTGAAAATTTTTAACAGAAGGTTCATTATGAGTTTTACTTTGTAGTCAAAAAAAAAAAAAAAATTAAGTTTAATGTAATATATTTTTTTTTATAAGGGAATTTTAATATCTAATTTTTCAATTTTTTTTTTTTTTTGAACACATGTATATTAACCATTTACGATGATGGTGAAGTGCATTAAGCAGACTGACTAATTTACGAAATTATAGCTATTTGAAATTCTAATATTATTTTTTATGTTAAATAACTGTATTATCCTTCTTAAAAAATATTTGTCATGATCTAATGGTTATTTATGCCTATTATCATCCCTTGTTCAAACCTGTGTGTCGAAAAAATAAACTACATTTTTTCACTTTTACATAAACAAGAAAAAACCAAAGGCATTTTTGGATATACCTAGAGACTCAAACTATCACTCGCTTGAACTATTTTTATCGCAAAATACCCCTCAATTTGTTGTGCAAACTTTTCTACCAGAAATCTTACTCCAATGTAACAAGTGTGGCTTATCTTCTGAAAGGAAATTTTATCTCCATGGTAATTTACCCATGTCATTTTCGATTTTTCAAGCGATTTTCATTTAATCTGGGAAAATGTACGAAATGTAGGTATTAGTAAAAAAAGTATTATGACCCTTTTTTTCCTGTGTACAACTTTTCAACCAGCAAATTTGTTCCGATTTAAAATGATAGCACTTTTTCTGAAAGGAAATCTGACTGGGAAGGTACTTTAGAGATGTCGTTTTTCGATTTTCCCAACAAATGGGAAAAACGGAAAAATCGATATTATATTAAACAAATATAATTTTAAAAAATATATATTGTTAACAAATCATCACTATCAACTGAACTGAACTCAGAATCGTTTTTACGTTATCAATGGTTTATCGTTGCTTACAGACATGTACATTAAATTACTTATAATAGTGGCTAGACCCGTCTCGATTATCCTAGGACGTCTTTTTTTTATTAACTATTTAAAAATTGTATACATTAGCACTTTACCACGCCCCTCACGAATTTCAAAATTTTGAAAATGTTCTTTTTTGGAAACTATTATTAAATAAGTTATAGCAAAAAAAAACTTCACTAAAAACATCGCTACACGGGACCGGGACTTCGAAAAACTTCATTCGATCGCTTTACGACTTTAAATCCAAAATAATGGGTTTTATTCGGGTCAAAGTCCCGACAATTTTTGTCATAACTTAATTCTGTAATAATGGTTTCCGCGACAAAAAAAATTCAAATATTTTCAAAGTGTTTAACTTCGCGAGAGTATATTGAAGTTCATTTGTTCGGGATATAAAGACAAAAATTGAAGCTCCCCCGGAAGAAGATCGCGGCTGAGTATTTGTATATGCCACAAGCAGACAATGAATGGGAAAGGGTTTTTTTTTTTTTGATATTTGGGTATTATTAATTGAAAAACTTAAATATAAATATGTTAAAAATGTAAAAATATCTAGTACTCACCAATCACAGTCTTCAATCGCATTTTATATTTTGACACCGCTAATTTTGAGTATTGAAGTCTTGACAAACACTACACTAGTAGACACCTACTCTACAATATTGGCGACGACGGCACAAATTAATTTAATATAGAACTTAGGTAGACAAAAAGAAAACCGCAGAGAAAAATAATTACGAACTCTTGACACCACATGAAAAAGAAATGCTATCTAGTATAAAATACAATTCAATACAATACAATATTAAATTATACGCGCAACCAAACTGCGACCGCGAAGTGTGAACGAACGACGAGCATAAACGCAACTGGGGGGGTACTTCAGCATAATGTCCTCTACATAATTTTAGCACCCCCCCAGTGTTTAAATAAAATCGGCGATCTAATTGGTTAACAGAGTCTACATCAAACCAATGAACGCGTCTCAACGCACGCTATCTAGCTCGCCAAAAATTATTTACATATTACCGTGGCTATATATTATATAGTTATTAGGGGGGCGCACAGCACCACCAAAAGGGCCCCATTATCATATTTAGGGGGCCCTTTTCAGATATATTGGATTTTAGATTTTAAACCTATTTACAACTCATGATGAAAATTGAAATTTTTCGATACTAACGTGTTACGTCCAACATCTAATATGTTTTATAGTATTGATTATACTTTTGTAAATACTTTTTTAACTATGACTTTGTACCTCTTAATATCTTATTTTTGAATCGTTAGTTTGAATTTCGTGTTAAATAGTTTTCGACTTCATGTTATTATCAATGATGTTATATGATAAATAATTGAGAAAAATAATTAAGGCTATTTTTAGACTTTAGTGCAGTGTATGATAAATGATAATATTATATTTAGTGAATACACTTTTGTTTTCATTTTTGATTTCACTTAAACAATATGCTTAAAATGTCTCTAAATGCTCGTTGTAGTGGTGCACAAAAGAGGAATTTAAAAACATTCGACTTGCCGAATCCAATAAATTATGTGATTCGTTGGATAAATTGTGTACATAATTGCAAAAACTACACATGTCAATACAGGTAATTAAAATTAAAAATATTATTGCTTATGTTATTTCTTATTTTATAGTTTTAAATTAAATATATTAAAAATTATCATAAAATCAAAATATTAAATAGGTAATAATACCCAATTTGAATTTCATATTTTTAAACTACAATACCTATGTGTTGTATCTACTATTATATTAAAGATATGTCCAATAAAGTTTTATTATAAAGTTTTATTTACATTTTAAAATGAACGTATCTATTATAGTAATTATCTGATTACATATTTTTTATGCAATAAATATGCATTTTGCCCTTGTTATTTTGCATTTTGCTGAAATAACAATTTTAGCATACCTACACACCTATTTTAAAGATAAATTAATTTTGTATACTATAATATACAACTTTTACTAGTTTTGGGTAGTTCAAGACAACTAACAAGTTAATGTACTATTATTTACTATGGTTATCTATACTTTTTATTCAATAATGTGATTTGAGCTGTATAATATGAGCTGTAGAAAATGATAACTATTGACTTTAAATTGTAAATTAATTAGGTAAATTGTAGTACCTATTTAATCAAATGGACATAAAAATGAATGCAAATAGTTAACTAATTTTTAATATTATAATTAAACTCTCAAAATATGGACTAGGAATTTACTAAACAAATAAATCAATAAATTATTTTGAATTAATAGAATATTGGTCTAAAAGCCTTGAAAATTGTTAACTTAGTTACCTAATACATGTTTTTTTACAATGGACACACTTAAAATATTTTTATTACAAAAACGGACTAGATGGGGAAGAAATATAGAAATAAAATATTTATTAAAAATATATGATCAAGTATTTTTTTTTTATAAAGAACAATATTGATTTTTGACACAAAATTTGAATAGTACCGTAAGTAGGCACCTACTTTTCAAAAAAATGTTCAATTACTTTGTAGATTGAAATGCTATTTTTATAATAAATGAATAAATTTGTATACATTTTTAATTTATTTTAGAAGAAAATGATAGCACTACATCTACTTCTGTAAAGAAAATACAATTGGCCATTAATCATGAAGTGGAATGTACGGTAGAGAAGTATAATACATACTATCTCAAGATAAAGATCTCTGAAGATCTTCAAGAAATTGTACTTGAAAATATCGCAGTTAATTTGGCAAACAATAAAACTTTTATTGGTTAGTTAATAATTAGATAATAATAATTCTAATTTTTCAAATTTTGTTTTCCCTAAAACATTTAAATTTTTTAGGTGTAAACTTTAATTTTAATTATCCAATAGACCGAGAAGCTTTTTACGAACAGCACGACTTCTCGCAGATTTTGATCCAGTTTTTGAATATTGTTTTAATTATTGAAGAAAATAAGGTCAAATATATGAGTTGAAGTATACAAAATTATATAAATTTAATAAATTTTATAAATAAACATTAATATTTATAGATGTATTTGATACATTTTTAAAAGAGTTGAACTATTAATAATTTCACTAAATTTCAATATTTTTGTTATTTACTTTCTTGAAATTAATATTTTTAATAAAATAGAAATTTAAAATTTTTTTTGAAAAAAAAATATTATAATTATTTGTTGAGTAATTTAATTTTGTATAAGTTAATTATTGTTACTGTATTACATTATATATATTTAGATATCTAACTTGAAATATTTAATATTCTAACATTTAATCTATATTATTTACTAATTGTCCCAACAGTAAAACAAGTAATTTAAAACATTTTCATATTTTGCAATAAAATCAAAATTAATTTTATCAATATATAGAAAATTATTGGAGGGATGATTATTATCAAATTATAGACACTTTAATAATATATTTTAAAAATATGTTTTCTTTTGATAGCTATTGATTACTTTCATAAAATAAATAATAATGAGTCAATGTTTTGTTAAACAGTACAAAGTATAGTTTTTAATATTGTATTAATAGGGTCCTATCACTGGATAGCTTCTCTTCTCATTGTCCCTTCCCGTCATAAATTGTTCTCATATTTGCTTATTGTATTTGTTTTATTTATTTACAGATTGTAAATGTCATATATTCTTTTAATAAAAAAAAAAAATATTGTATTAATGTTCTAAATATTAACAGGTTGATCAATTTATATGTTTAATTTTCAGGGCTTATTAAAAGTGGATGTAAATACTCTTTAATCAGAAATGCCTATGGTGAAAAACTGTGTCTCATAGAAACCCTACTTTCACTTTAAAAGATATTAAGTTAAACATGGATGCTGAACTTTATCTCAACTTGTATAAGCTGTTAACATAATTGTTAAAAATTCTGATCAACTGTGTGACATGTGTAGCCATTCTCAGCAATAAGGTAGATTAAAAAATTGGCTTCAAACTTCCATGAGTCAAGAAAGATTTACCGATGTATCCATTATTTATATTGAACGGGATTTGTCCAATAAACTAATTTTAGATAAATTTGGAAATTCAAATTGACAGTTACAGTTATAATATATATATATATACACAAAAGTATTTAAATGTTGTTATTTGTTTTAGTAAAAATATTACCTGTTTTAGTACTAGATGTATCTTAATTTGTTAAATGTATTAAATATAGGAAATTAGGTGAGAAAAAAAATGATATATTACACAAAGTAATATATTTTGAAAGGTATTCAAACAAGGAGGTATTGGGGCAGTGTCCCAAAGGGGTTATTTCATATAAATATGTAAACCCCTCCAAGTCAAAAACTGAAATCGCACCTATGTTCATAATTTTTAATTTTTTCAGCTAAAACAGTAAAATCAATGAATTACTAAGGATAATTTGTTCAAAATAATATACATGAAGTTTCAAATTTTTAAGACTTCCAGAATTCGAGAAACAATCCCTTTTAGTTAGAAACTTAATTGCTTTACATACATTTTTAAAACAGCATCAAAAAATTCACCATCACATGATTTGGTTTGACAGTGGCACATTCAGGAGGAGGGATGATCGCCCTCCCTCGAATACTCCAATATACTCTTAGTTTGATTCATTATTTAGCTTGTCATAAATGCGTGCCTTATATGTATTTTTAAAAATCTCCCTCTTCCCTATTACCTTGTCCTGGATCCGCCCATAGTTTGTAACTTTGTAAAATAATTCTGTGATGGAAAGAATGAATAAATATTACGTTTTTGTGTGCGTATACATACAAAAAATAAAAATCATTTACAAATATTTTTTAAACTTTGAAATATATATATATAAATATATTAGATATATAATGTATTGATAAAATAGTATAATAATATATATATTTAGTTGGAATGGTTCAATTATTTAAAATAAGTATTTCCACTTAAAAATAAAGCTAAGGTTATTATTTTAAAAGTAAATCATGAATTAATGATATTGCCTTTAAAATGTAAAATCTATAGGCAATTTGATTTAAATCTTAACACTAATATAAGAGGTTGGTATATTATTTTATATAAAACTAGTAAGTATATCTATTTAGTGTAACATTTAGAAAAACTAAAAGATGATTTGAGTTTGGTCCTGACCCTCGGTGAAGACCATTTTGCATTTAAATTAGTAGAGAATGCTATTTCTTTTGATGACACGCCTTCGTCTACTTCGTCTTCTTCAGTTTTGATTTCCATTTTCTGAAAACCAAATACTATATTGTGAATGAAGTATAAATTAAACAGAAAAAAAAAATTATTTTAAGAACATTTAGTTAAATATATTTTAAAATAGATACGTGCTATTTACAATTTTTGTTAAAATTTGATTATAAACATTTATATAAAAAAAATGACATTACCCAGAACATTTTACCACCTCTAGAAATTACATAATATTATACAAGTGGATAGTCATTGAAAATATCTGGTTTCTACAATTATTTCTAACTGAATTATGACAAACAAAATAAAATCAAAAATAATAGAAACCATTATCTGTTATAGGGTAAATTTTCCTGTTTTCCCTAATTATTAAGAAAACTACAAGCAAAATGCCTCAATTCACTAATTATTAACTAGGTAGGTACATACAATTTGCTCTGAATTTGATAATTGGAACAAGATTTCAAGTAGAAAAGTTATGATCAGAAAGAAAAAATTTAAAAATGTATAGTAATCTTCTCCAAGGAGTTTAAGATAATTAAAGGGCTTGTTCAAGGACTAGAGTACATTCTAGAGTTCAAGACACCTAATCGGGAAAATCTTTCAAAATTAGACTACCAGTAAAGGTGGCTGTGCGGGTGCATATCTTTAAGAAATTTGTACCTCCCTTTCTTCAAAACATTTTAGATATTTGGAAGCCTTGTTCGAGGACTAAAGTACATTATTTGGACACTGTGCGGGAATACAACTACCCAGGATCACGTCGGGAAAATTGTATTAAGTAGTAGATAGGTACCTACTGAAAACTCGTTTTATTTCATAAAGAATAGGGAAATAGGCGAATACTATACACTATGTTATAAATAATAGTATTTAGAAGAAGTTTTTTGATTCCGGTACATAGAACTTAAATAGTTTTAAATGTGCATTTCCAAATGGTCAATAATAATATACAATATACGTCGGAATATATAACGTTATCTAGTGGAGAGATAGTTTATTACAAGTATAGCGGTTACCCTGTTTGTCGCCTCATTTTATTCGAAAATGAATTGGTAACTAGTAACTACTAACTTTAGGCGCCTAAAAAATTGTAACTACGTCACTGACTCAGAATTTAAATATTATTGCATAAATGTACAGTATACTTGAATATTAATAAAAATACCTAATATAATATTATATACCTGTATAATTAGTCGGAGAAAGGTTTGTTGACTTTCAAGTGAACTAGAAATTGTTTTTAGTCTGTCTTTAACCTTATAAATCTCGTCAGCTAAATGATTTTCGTTGTTCTCCAATACCATTTCGATTGCTGTTGAAAATCATAGAAAAAAAAACGAATGAGTACAGGAAAAATATAATTATGAACAATAACAAAACAGTGCGGCATAAACACTACACAACATTTTAAAAGAATTAATACTTAAAAACAATGTATGCCCCTAATTCGAAGTTTTTTTTTACCAGATTAAACAACAAAACAATATACAAATCGATTATACGGACACTAGGGTTACCAACTTTCATATCGTGTGATGTAGGACAAATTTGTCTCATGTCCATTTGTAATGTCTCAGCGCCAAGCTAAATTGGGACAATGCGGAACAACTTTATTTCTTATAATGCAATATAACCATAGACCTGATAATATATGTTTATAGGCCTATGAATATAACATAACAGATTGTAGTTAAAACGATTGAACACCGTCGTGGGTAAACCAAGTTTAAATCGATCACATGGAGGTTAGATACTTAGATCGTACACTATATAGTCGGGGGCATGGGGCCTATGTCATCTCGTGTACAATGCTGACACACTACACTGTTTTTTATATCATGGGTAGTTTAAATATGTAATGCCACTATGCCAGTATAGAATAGGTGTATTACTATTTTGTTTATTGTTATTGTATTATTTATTGTGTTATTTATTATTATTGTATTACTATTTATGACTTTTAACAAAATAATCGTTTACATTTTATTTATAACTTTTTTTTTATTTTTATAGATCGTCTTTTACTCTTTTGACCTAGAGAATTCAGCTAACTAACGAATTGTTAGTAAATAGGTAAGTACATAATATCATTGATTATAAAAATTATAAATATAGTATTGATAATCAATGATAATAATGTACCTATTATTTAAAATATGTGTAATAAAAATGATAAAATATTACCTATATTTTATGAACATTTAAATCTTAAATATAAATAATAGAATTAGAAAATTTAACAAACCTGTAACAAGTTTAGATACTTTAATATAATATAATAATTTATTTGTCTTAAATTATACTGTAGTAGATAGGTATATAAGTGATAAACGATAACTTAATACAATTAAAATATATAATAATGAACTATTAAAAGGTATTTTCTGAATGACATTAAATTATAACCTATTAAATTCTATATTTTGAAATTTAGATTTGTTGTACGTAAAGTTTAAAGCTTTAAAGCATTGTTAATTGTAGGACAAATCAAACCAATATAGGATAATCATCTCCAATGTTGGCAACCCTAACGAACGCAATAACTAATCCTTAGATCATATACTATGGATAGAGCTATTGACTAAATATTTGAAACAAACATAACTAAGGGGAGTTGGGGACAAATGCGCATGTGCAAAATTTATGTCACGCGCAAAAGGTTGAATTCGTGTAATCACGTGTGGTGTACCAGACGTTAAAAAAAACGGTTTATATCACTAATAAGATACACGATTTTTATCAATACCTGCCTACCTAGAATAAACAATACAGTTACCTTATTAGAGATGGCTATTTTAAAATATATACCGACGTTTTAATGATTTAATTTGGACATAATATTAAAATATATTATATTTCAATATTTTCTCAAATTGATAGTAGTTGCCAGTAACAGTTAGTTGCAGCATTGATTAAGTATGCCTAAATGCCTAATTAATGGTAGCTACAGTCAACAGTAACAACTGCTTAAAATCAATCATCAATCTATAAGGTAAGGTAATTGTTTTGTTTTTTCAAGCATAAATATATAAATTATTTCATACAATCTAATATTTTTAGTAAGCAGGTATTAATAAGAACCGTTTATTTTATTAGTGATACATACAGTTTTTTTTAACTTTCCGGGATGTACCTACCATCACTGCCTGTTGGTATTTAAATGATTATACGATAAATATGCGACGAGTACTGATACGAAATCGCAATAGACATCATTCATCTTAGCACTCGTTAATAATGATGTCTTCAACTTGTAATACGCATTTATCATGTAGTAGGTCTATTCATAGTATATGATTTAAGGACTAATTCATCGAGATAGATAAGAATACTTTTAATATTTTACTTACTATTACTTTAAGTATTCTTATCTATCTCGATGGACTAACCTAACCTATCTTGAACAGAGCAGCTGAAATTATTGTGATAAATAGTTAAAAGACTTACCGTCATCTGAGAATGGGTTACAAAACCATTTGCGTAAGATAAAATCCAAAAAACCCATTTTCGTTTTTCTCTCATTCGGATATTCGATCTGTTCGGATTTGTCTATCTTCTCCCTTAAAACGTGTGGCAATTTACGTTCTAGCTCCGTATGTAAAACAACCTCGAGCAAAAACAAATCAGTAATATTTAAATTCTCTGAGTTCGAAACATTAATTGATTTGAAGGTAGGTAATGTTAGGTTAGGTCATATTCAAAGGTAATGTTCATAGACATGTAAAAGATTTATTATTGTTTATTTATTTATTTAACCTTCACGATACTCTTTATAATATATATTGAAACCATGAATTAAAATCAATGTTTTGACATACTAGTGTGCAACAAGAGAAGAAGAAAAGCATCTCCTGATGGGTCAACTTGGTTTGTCATCTAAGACCATCAGTCCAGAATTATGTAAATTTGCTCTCACATTACATTTTCGTTCCCCAAAATGCTTGTGACTAAGTTCTTAATATATTCAAAAAATCTTTACCTCATCCGAGTACAATAAGAAAGTGGTATGCAACAGAAGATGGATGTCTAGAATTGACACAGGTCATTAAAGAGCTATACAAACGAAAGTTGAAGAATTTAAAGAAAGCGGAAAACAATTAATAGGACGTCTGATGCTGGATGAAATGTGTGTAAAAGAATATGTCCACTGGACTGGATCACCTTACTAGGGATATATTGGTTATGGTCCAGGAAGCATCAATGAAATGGATAATTTGACAAATGTCAATGATGCTTTAGTTATTATGGTTGTAGCATATAACGCACATTGAAAAATAGCAGTTGTATATTATCTTATTAATGGCTGAAGTGCTGAAGAAAAAGCTAACATTATAAAAATAAGTTTATCACAATTGCATTAAATGAGGATTTTAATTAAGTCATTGGTCTTTAATGGAGCTTCCATTAACATAACTATGACAAAAGTATTGAGTGCTAATATATATTAGACATAATTTCAATTTTGTTTTGATCATCCTGAATCCAAAGAAAAAGTACATCTTATTTTAGACCCTTGCCACACGCTGAAACTGTGTAGAAATACACTAGGTGATTGGGGTATATTATTAGATGGTGAAGGTCAGCAAAATAAAATGGTCATATTTTAAAGCACTGGTTGATTAGAAATACTGCACAAAAAATATAAACAGAACAGTTGCATCTAATAGTGTGCCCTGTTTTCCTATTTTATATAATAAAACAAAATAAAATAATTGTTTATGACCTGAACAATGGTTTAAAATAATATAGAACTGATATGTAGTATAATACCATCATTCAATACCATACTATAATCTATCTCAGATGAAGATGATTTGATAAAAGAAAAACAACTGTTGCCAATAATTATTTCCAGTGGTAGATAAAATACTTGCAATACAATTATTGTTAATTAATTCAATATTTTAAAAAAAAATGTTATCTACATTGGCTTTAATATACTACCTACCTACCTAGTTGACCAAATTGTTAATAAATAAAATCATAACTGTAATATGATTTGATTATTCTTAGTAGACTTAAGTAAATTATAGTTCACAGTATTTTTGTGTGTACAAGTTAAGTGCAATTTTATACTATCTAACCTGCATTGCTAATCGTTTTAGCTGTGCATTTCTTCTAACAGATTCTATGTCTCCAACTGCCAAACCAATAAGTAGATTCATCAGCAAAATAGGCATAAGAACCATGAATACACCAAGCATCAAAAACACAGGTACTGGATATGGTATGGTTCTGGCCTGACCATTTTCAACATCATTAGTATAAAGTGGTTGTATATAAGTTCCAAGTAAATCTATTTCACCCAACATCATGGCAAACGTTCGTAATAAAGACATTGGTATAGTACTAAACGATAAATGATGACCCTAAAAAATATTCAATAAATATAAAATTGGATTTTTATTTATTTTAAGTAGGTAATATTTTATTATACTTTATGTTATTTTTACATGCAGTACTCATCAAAACCTTAAATTATGTACCTAACTTACCCTTGATAATAAAATGTAGAATGCTAAACCAAAAGCAGCAATAAGTATAGAGAATAAAAGCAGTACTTTAATCAAGGTTTGCAAAATTTCAAGAAACATTACAACGTATATTCCTACTCGATCAAATCTAATAAAAACAAATCATTAAAAAAATATTTGTATAATACATTATGATCATTATTTGTATAGCATATAATACATTGATTATTGATTTTTTATTTTTTATTTTATAGTAAAATAATACAAAACGTTTATTTTGTATTATCTACTAGGTACTTTGTATTATATGTTAGTCCAATAAGTAAAAACAATAAATATTATAATATTCAGAATTACCTTTGTAAATTAAGAAGCAACGTAAACCAGCTAAGAAATACGGTTATGCTTGCAAAAGATATTTGATATTCACCCAAATAATTAGTTAATACTGGTGCTATCATAGCCATAGCTGAAATGTATAACAATATAGCCACCACATTAGTTGGATCCAACAGATATGGCCATCCTTGCTGAAAAAACTGAATGCCTTCTCGTATACTGTTAATGAACACATAAATAACAATCATCACAGCTACCGTTTTTAATGTGGCCACATTCGTCTGTAGGAAATATAATTACTTATTCAGTTACAATAGTAATTGAAAGGTAGGTATTAGGTATTAATATTAACAATTATTTTCAAAATATACCATAGAATCTACAGTTAACAGTGTATCATATTCAATTGTAGTATTATTATTACTGTTATTGTATGTGTTGTTATTATGGACCATTAGTTGAGATGAGTATAAAGTTACAAATATTAAAAATATTGTATAGAACAATAAATGTGCAAGATGAAAATATTTTCCATAGGTATTCCATTTCATTTGTAAGTATTTTTGACTTAGTGGATGAGCTAAAAGTTCAACTCGGCCATGGTTAACCATTGCCTTATTATAAAACACAAATTAATTAAAAATAAATAATGAATAATAGATTTATTTATTGTAACATACATTTAAGGCAGGCAATGGAGTTGGTTTTAATATACCAGTTGTTCCACTTTTTTGTACTACTGGACATTGAAGACATGAGAATGAATATTTAATCTGAAATGAAATAAGTATACAATTGTACAACTGCAAAATTCGCTGGCATTTTTTTTAACCCACATAAAATTGTTTGGAATCTTTTTTACAATTAGCTTTTGTGATGCATTTGTCTTGTACAGCTTCGAAAACACGTGGCATAGAAGCAATCAATGCTAATGTAACACAAGGATGCCTATCAGATTTCAATGTCATTATTTCTTCAGCTCTATAATGGAAATTCAAATTTTAATTTCATGCATAATATATTTATGTATTGTATATAAATTATTTGCCTAGAATCATGAGTAACCATAGATAATGCTGCTTCGGGAAACTTATAGTAAATGGCATAATCAATTGCGCTCAAATCTAAAGAGTTAAACAACAATTTACAATTCATATGCAATAATAATGTAATTGCATTTGGTTTATTCTCCATAGTAGCCAAATGTAAAGCAGTATTTTTGTCTTTGTCGCATTGATCAAGTAGATGTGAATGTACAGAATGTAATATTTCTATAGTTTGTGTATGACCACACATAGCTGCTAAATGAAGGGGGTTGCGACCTTTGTGATCGCGGTGTAGTAAAGCTCCTCTGTTTAAAAAAAGTTGCACTACTTTGGTATGACCTGTTAACAGATATTGTTACATTATATTTGTATTTTATACCTTTGTGTGCCAAAATCTAAATGCATCAAAAATAAATCTTGCCTTGTTGAGATGCAATATGCAAAGGTGTTAGTCCTTCACCATCTGATTCATTGATTATAAAAGCCCCTTTTTCTGAGTCCAATAGCCTTTTGACAATATTATATCTTCCGTATCTAGCACCGAAATGTAAAGGACTCTCTCCATTATGATTTTTTATATTTACACAAGCTCCTAACCGTATTAAACTTTCCAAACTTCTAATATGACCACCTCTACTGGCGTAATGTAAAGGGGAACATCCGGTGTTATCTTTTTCGTTTAATAACATTTCTAAAGCTCCTTGATTGTTTATCTGTAAAATTAATTTTTTGTAATAAATTATTTTATTATACAACAAATTAATCACATTTTAAATTGACATTATTAATTTTAAATAATTTAATAGTAAAAATGCATTAACCTAATTAAGTATTGCATAGAAGCTTTATACCCAGCATAAAATTATAATCATAATGCTAGATAAAAAACAATTTGTTTAACTTGTACCTAACTATATTATTTTGATATTGTACTTATTCTATCTATACCTTGATAATAAAATTGCATCACTTAATTATTTCTGTAGGAAACACTACTCTAAATGATAATGATCTACAGTTTTATATTGAAAAAAATTTAATATTAAAATTAATTTAATATATTTATTCAGTACTTAATTTGGTTATTCAAATATATAACAAATCCATTAATTAGAATTATTTAAATTAATAAATTATTTAAAAAATGCAATTGCCTACAATAAAACTGAGAAAAATTACCTACTGTGTTGCTATCTAGTATATGTTCTACAGTTCTACATCATATCCAATATGCAAAATTGAATAAATAACGATAAGTTTAATCCTTAATCTTTCATTTAATCATTAAGTATCACGTTTCTTCACTTTAATTAGTAGACTTCAATTTTTAAGAAAATATTTATTAACGAAAAGGTATTAACTATGCACTAATGAAACAATCAGGTGGGGACAACAGAGAGCTATTGCCCCTTGTGGCTAATTTTAAAGGGACAACTATATTTGAAAAATATTTTAAATGTTTTAATAATTGCATAATTCTGTTTACTTATTCCACACATTTAATAGAAGAATAAAAATTAAAAAAAATTGCCCACGATGAAATTAGACAAGTTGAATTTGATATTTGTGGAAGAAAACTAATTTTGATAACTATCTGAATAGTATAATGTAATTTTAGATAATATTCAAAATTCATTAAACAAAAAAAAAAATCATATTTAACACCAAAATATTCCCTTTTTTAAAAAAAAACCTAACTTCAATGTAAGAAACATAATTTTTAAATGTCTACATATAATAACATGATCTAAAGGTTAACAATCTATCACTATATCGCACTCAGAATATTTATATGTACACAGGCTCCCAATTATTGTTTGAAAAAATCATTTACACTGAATAAAATAACAAAAATTTATTTTAGTTCGATAATGAATAATTATAGCCTAAATTACAAAAAAATACCAAAAATATTGGTAATCTTTCAGTTTTTAAGTTCTTTAAATGTCTGACGAAGTCCCATAATTAAATGTTCATTATGGCAGTCTAGGAGTTTAAAATTGCCCGTGTTAAAGCATAGGCCACCTGAAAATTGTTAGGATAAATAAAATTTTAAACATATTGCTTAATGTAACTATACCAAGAATGTTTAACCTGAAAAAAATTAAGCTTCTAATTGTTTCACAGAATTTTAAACTAGCTAACTGATAAAATTATAAATTTACTTTTATATAATAGGTATAATACTTCTAAAATAGTTGATGTGTAAATATATTTTTGTATGTGCAAGTCAGCTGCCTGTTAAGTATTGAAAGTATAAATAAATTAGGTATCATATTATTTTATTTTTTTATTATTATTTCTCTAGATTAGATAGAAGTTATAATATTATTATATCCCTACCTATTGAGAAACTTCTGAAAATCCTTCAAAACACACAGTTCAAATTATAAAAATATTACACAAGTACCATAAATGTTTTTCTAACATTGACAAAAAACAGTGTCTATGAATTTTTGTAGAATTTTAACAGCTTTAAATTTATTTGTTAAATAACCATAATACAAAACAATTAATATTTTTTTTAAATTAGTTAACTGTTTAAATATTAATAGAATTTATAATTCTTAAAAAAATAAAAAAAATAAACTAATTCTGACCAATCCAAGTTAGGAACAAACTCATTGAAATATGTATTGTTTATAGAATTATAAAATATAAAATTAATTATAAAAGAATATTGGCATTCAATTATAAATATGTAGATACTGCTTACTGATGGTCAGATATTCTAAGGTTAGTAGATACACATGCAGTATGTACGCCAAATAAATTTACTAAATGTATAAACAGTAACTATCAAAAAAAAAATACACAATATACATATACTAGGTTTTTTCTAGGATATACCATTTACTACTTATTTCTGTAGTAATCACTGATATTTTTGTAAATATTACATATTTAAAGCTCATTTAAATTATCTGAATGATATTTAACTGCATTTTAACATAGTAAAATCGATGGAAAGTAGCGTAATAAACAATATTCTACAATAATATAATTTATAAAAAATGTTCAGTTAGCCATTCACTTTTACAGGGCAGTATAGCTATTTGAAATTGTACATTTTGTTTTTTTTTTTTTACAGATTTATGTGGATAATTCTTCATAAATTATATACCTAGGTATCTAATATTATTGTACTTAGGTCACAAGTAGTCAAAATAATTATTCAGATTAAATTTAGTTTTTAAGATAAAAACCTAGGTAGGTATCTATAATTTAAATAAAAATTAAACAAATTTTCAGAACTAAGAAGATCTTTACTATTTGTATTCAATATAGCTTTAAATTGTAAAAATCAAAACCAAATATTTCAAAAATATGCATTGCAAACTAATGAATAAATTGATTTATTATGAGTAATTTATTTTAGAAATTATTATTATATTTTTTTTAACAAATCAGTAAACTACATATACATTATACACATTAACCATTACTATTTTATTACCATAGTAATCTCGTGAGCAAATTCATCAAGTCTTCCTCCATACATGACTACCAAATGTAATACATTCCTTTTACTAGAATCTTTTACTTGAACATCAGCTCCCAGTCTTATTAAACTTGTAACAGTCCTCCATCCTGATCTGCTGGCGGCTAAAAGCAATGGGGATCTACTTTCCTTGTCTAAAGCGTTTATGTCAGCTCCCTAAAAATATTCATTTTTATGAAATATATAGTATAGGAGTGGCCCTTATTTTATCGATGAAAGAAAAAAGTTTGATGGTTTTTATCATGTACCTCCTAACTTAACCTAACCCTCTCTTTCTTGTTCGTTGTATAAAAGTAATTTTGTATAAATTTGGTGATGATAACTCAACTCCTTCACGTGCCGCAAAAGAGTTTAAAATGACCAACCTAGTGTAATTTATAAAAAATGACTTCAAAATTTTCAGTAAATTTAAAATAAACTTCAATTTTATCAATTTTTTTCAGAAAATAAATATTAATTAATTAATTAAGTAAATAAATTTATGAGAAACTTTATCAAAACATTTGTATAGATAATGTTATGTTCTATATTTAAGGCCTGCTACAGTTTTTGAATTTAATTCAAAAACCGGCCAAATTTCCCTCTGATCCTTTTGGAAAACATGTAAAAGTTAAAATAAATTTAACCAAAATGACTATCTTATACTGACAAACAAAATGGTGATAGCAGGTTCTCGATAAAAATAATTTAGCATTTTATTTTTCATCTATAAAGTAAGTACCACCCTACTATGTATATTAACCTTATGTGACTTATATAAAATAAATTGAAATTATAATACCTCTTCAATAAGATATTGTACGATTTCTGATCGGTCAAACATGGCAGCGCAATGGAGTGGTGTCATTTTTTGTACATCACACGAACACAAGCATTGGTCTTTTTCAGCAGGCTGTAAACCAAACATTAATCTAACTATGTCAATAGCTCCTTGAGCACAGGCCAAATGAACCGGAGTGGACAAATCATACTGTTGCGTTGATATCTTAGCTCCAGATTTCAAACATAGTTCCACGGCCTACAGAAAATCATGAACAATTTTAAATTTACTAATATTTTATCAATTTTTTTTTTATTTATAAACATTTCTATCAGTAATTAGGTTACCATCTACACAAAACTCTAATCTTAAAGTTAAAATACCTTGTTTTTTTATATAATATATATATAGGTATATATGTATATATTCTTGAGCATATCAATGTTTGATCCAGGTAAAAATATATATTAAAATTAAAACACAATTATTGAATTATTATTATTTTTGTATCAGTAGTAAAATTGTAAAATATTACCTATACCTATCCAATGTTAATCCAATGATCTAGATATTTGATCATTTAAATTCACTTTTGATCTATTAAATCAATAAGTAGGTATACTAAGAAAACGGATTGAAAAAAAGTAGGTACCTCCTATATTGTATTATAGTTAGTGATCAGTTAATTTTTTACAGGGAATACATAATTATTTTAATTAAAAAACTTTATTACAAATTAATTATCATTCAATTAAATTTTATATTTATCGGGATAATTCATACCAAAAGTATAAAATAAAATGTTGGTTTATATTTAAATAAATTCTAAATTAAAATGAATTTGAATTCAGTTAAGTATAATATTGTACAAAAATAAAATGTCAAATTATTATTATAAAATTATATTATTTGGCTTAGTTTTAAATTAAAAGTAAACATTATAATATCAGGGTTGCTGTTATTATATTACGTAGGTACCTACTTAAAGGTAGCTAATTGAATTTATTGGTCTACAGTTTCTTTTTTACACACTAATAATGTAGTAAGTTCAAAAAGCTTTTATTTGTATAAGTATCATATGTCTATACCCTATAGTATATAATAAACAATCCCTTTGTGAAATTTAATCCCAATCCCTCAAGTTGATATTTTATACCGTTTTACACGCTTTCCAATCATTGCATTTGTACATGTTATTTACCTTAAAATCTCCACTGTGCACTGCAGAATGAAGCGGTACATTGCCTTCAGCATCAAAAAACGATATCATCTGATGTCGTGAATTGCCTCTTTTCTCTGCCCACTGTAAAAGCACTTCCATCGTTCTGGACGCTGCGTTTTTTGCTGCTTCGTGGATTGGGTAGTAGCCATTGTGACAAGGTTGTCTATTATCAGCACCAAAACCTTCCATCTATAATTATATAATAATATACATCAAATTCATTAAAAATTGCACATAATTGGAAAATAAGCGCCCTTTAAACTTAAATTATAGGTACCTTAATATTTACAACAGGTAACAATACACGTAAGTAATAATAATAATAATAATTTATAGTGTTTTTATATTATACATACTAGACTCGATAAAGAGAATTATATTAATTTTTATTTTACAATTTGTATAATTTTATACAAAAAAATACTAACTTTACAACAGTTCAGAACACTGGATGTTTACATGACATTCATAAAAAATAAGATAATTAAATCATTTAGATTTGTTTTTAGAACAAATTAAATAAACAAAAATGGAATTAAAAATATGCGTATTATGTAATTACTAAATTCAATATTATTTGAAATTATAGACAAAAATAAAATAACCACACGAATTATTGATGAAAAAATAATATATATAATAATTGACCATATACAATGTAATAAAATGTTAATTTATTAACAGTAAATGAACATTGAACAATTAAAACAAAATAGATTTTTTGGAAAATCTTGATATTTTAAATTTAACAGTTGATATAGGTAGTTAAAACATTTTTGTTGGGTAAAGGACGCTCATATAATAGTATCTGACACAAATGTAGTCAAACCTTTATCGGATAAATATTGCACCGTTGCTTATAATATTTAGTATATTTCCATGTCAAGCACATTTTGAACATTGAACATAAAAAACTGAAACCAATCCCACGGATTTATATTGATTTTATCAAAGTACTCCAATGTTTATAATACATGTGTCGTTTAATACTTTTTAATAATGAATATGAAATTCAATAAAACAAAAAAAAATTTGCTCACGCCATTAAGTAATAAGACTTCGAATTTGGTTTAGTATCTTCGTCATTTGAAAATATAAATTTTGAATCTGCAAAGCTTGTAACCTGAAATGTGTCTGATAAATAAATAATATGCTTACAATGCACAGATGAAATCAGTGGTGCATCTAGGATTTGTAAATTGTGTGGGACAATAACTCATTTCACCACCTAAATGCACCACTGTACACTGGATGGAATTTTTACACATAGTTAATAATAAAAATTTAAAACTAAAAAAAAAATACGACATATTTGTTCAACAATAATTATTATAAACCAATTTTTAAAACCGTTCATGTAAAACATACAATGTTTAATTGTAATTTATTTTGCGCAACATAGGTATTATATATATATATATATTTTACAAACTACCTAAGGGATGTAACTACTGAAGGATTATCGAGGGTACTATAAATAAGGCCAATGAAACAATACTAATATGATGACATCTCATTTTTGAGCTTGCCTATTCTAAATGTGAACATCTTAAGTCTTTAATTGTTTAAGGTGGTCTTCACTGAAATTAATCATACAAATATATTTTATAATGAATATCTATTATAAACTTCATTCATAATTAATTTAGAAAAAGGTGTTATTTTTTTTTCAAGGAGTATGAATATTTCAATAATTTAAACATCTAGAAAAACATACATAATAGCTACACATCCTTACTTCAGTTTCAGTTTCAATTACAAAAACATATTTACTTACCAATATACGTGCACATTCGTCGTTATCATGTATAGCAGCCAAATGAAGAGCCGTTCTACCATGATTTCCACCTTGGCCAATGTCGATTCGGTCTTTGAATTTGCACATTACTTGAAGAACGGCTACGCGATTTAGCTCGACCGCCAAATGTAGAGCCGCTTGTTTTTTGTCATTTAATGCACTCGGGTCAGCATTACTTTAGAAACATGGACAAATGTATTCAGTAAATCATATACATCATTTGTAAAATATAATAAATATATCAATATACTTTATGGCTATTAATTTTGTTCTTACCCTAGCAATAAGTAAACATAAGTAAGAAAATAGATAAAAATAATAATACGTACCTAATGGTTGTATTCAATACAATTCTAGATAGGTATGTATAACTAAACAATAATTATTATATTACAATTTTCAATTATAATTATTGTTTAATTATATACACCTAAAATTTAATTGCATTAAATAACTTGTAAAATTATGAATAATTTGAATATAAAATATATTCTGAGTTATAAATTACAGTATAGGTAGTAAATATACTACCTATACTTTAAAGTTTAAAGTCAACTAACGGTAACTGATTAATAATGAAAAAAGTTATACAATTCTTGAAAATCTTAACCAATTTTTATTACCCTATAAAATAAAATCTTCTCATCAGTAGGTGTTATTTTTAAAATATCTGCTCGCATCACTTTCAACACTAATCACACTGTTTTTAATTAAATATTTAATTTTTACTTTTACTGTGTTAAACAAAAATTAATAATGACATTCTAGACACTACTGCCATAGAATAACTTATTTTTTTTTTTTAATTAAGTAAAACAGCAATGTTACAAAAGAATTAAAAATGTCTTCGTTATTTTTCTTCTCTTTGACTTTTCTAATGATCGTTTTCTAATGATCGTTTTCAAGTTTTTTGTTCTTATACACACATTTAATAAGTAAACCTCATATAATTTTATTTATACAAGGTTATATTATTTTCAGTATAAATAGGTATAAATATTTATGAAAATGTATAACTACTGTATTTTATCGTCTGATTAAAATATCATTTAATACTTTCAGAAACTTGAAACGTACATTTTTTTTCTTTGACTTTTTGATGAACAGCTATCAAATCATAAGTCAATTTAAATCAATTTGCTTTGTAATATAATTCGATGTAATTCTCGTACAACTATTATTTATTAGCCTATAATCTGCAAACTTAGTAAGATATCATAATGTTCTATCTTACATTTTGAACTTTTAGAAATTAATTTTTACAGTCAATTATATGGGTAAAAATAATCAATGGTATTACTTATAAAATAGCATTACTAATAAGTTTTCATTTAATACCTAAGTAATTTTAACACATATCTTATACAATGGTTGTACAATTTTCGTATACGATTTAAGAATAAAAATATGAACGTTTAAAGAAATGAAGATTATTTATAATTAAATAAATATTACTAAATCATAAAAATAAAGATCACGAAAATATTAGTTAAATATATGTATGTATGTCTAATATCTATGTAAGAAAATTAATTTAAGATAATTAATTTAATTTAACTTGTATCTTTATTTGCGATTATCTTTACTATTTAAGATGAGAAATTTTTAGGTTGGTTTGGAATATTTTTAAAAATAATTAGATGAACTTTATAAATTGAGTTATGTGTTCAGAAAGTTGAATTTTATAAGTCATACAATAAATAAAATTATCTATCTTACGAACATCGGTTTTTAAGTTTTTTTATTTTTGGTTATAAGTTATCACAAGAGAACTAATGAAGTGTCAGTAAATTTGTTTTTAATCCAGAATACAGATAGGTATCAAAATTTCGACAGCACGAGAATAACAAGTGCATAATTTAAAACATTAATGTGATATTTATATATGATAATAAATTTATAAATGTATATAAAATATAAATATATGAGATACCTAGTCCAAGTTATTAACATATAAAAATCCAATGTTTACTTAACCCCGTTAAAATGTAAATTGTGTAGTTATTATTTCATTTTAAATTTCTTCTTTATCCAATAAACCTACTACTTACCTAATAGAAAATCAATTTAAAAATGTTGAATTATGATCTACTTATTCATAAATTTCAGGATGTAATATAGAAGAAAATAGCTTTGTGTCATTTCTTTTCTAAAGTACAGTGAATTCCGCTTAATGTGATTACTGGTTTATAGAATCAACCGTTTATTGGAATCAAAAATGAAAATCCCAAACCAAATTTTTTGTTACAATGTTAAATTAATATTTTATTAGAATCACCAAGTACCAGATAATTGAATAACTTTTATAAACATTCTTATCGGTTTTATAGTATTTTATGTTTTAATTATATATAGTTATATGTATTTTTTTATTGTATATTCAAAAAGTTACAGGTACAATGCACATACATTATTAAGTATTTAATTTTAATTTTATGTATATTAATTGAATGTGGATTTTATTTCAAGCTAATATGAAAATGAAATTATTAGATTCTCAAATAGAATCGAAAATAGATACCTAGTTTCATTATTTTATTTTAAGTTTACGTATAAATATAGAATCATTAAAAATAAAAAAATTTTTTTGTAACTAACCGGTTAATAGAATCAAAATGACATGAACCAATGTGATCACATTAAGTGGAACTTACTGTACTTAGATAGACTAGTATAACTTGACTTTTTCACAAAATATTGAGGAAAAAACTACACGTATAGAAATATCTACAATTCAAAATAACCGAGAACGTGACCACAGTACTTTAACTAAAAAAATACATAAATTAATGATTTTTGTTTTTAGTTTAGAAACGAAAATAGGAACTTTCTAAGCACTGTTTAAAGGAAAATATCTACCAATAAAAGTTAATTAATTTGTATTAGCATTGATTATTATTATTTAAAATCAATGTCAGTGGCGTGCTGATCATTTTTCATACTTGAGTCAAAACAAACAAATTTGGACCCACCCAATCAAAACATAAATTTTTATGGCTGTCCTACAAATAATTACAGAAAAAACTTTATTTAGTTATATTGACTACATAATATAGGCTATCATATTTGTAAGGAGATACTTACATATACTAATAATATAAAATAAAATAAAAATAAAATAAAGGCATATCAATATTCAACATATTTGGTCAGTCACCCACCCACTCATCCATTTTATTTGTGTGGCAATTGCCTCAAAAAACTACTTCGGCACGCCACTGACCAATGGTATTTTATACGAAAATACATAAATCATAATCATTATATTAATAATTTGTTTGTTATAATCGATACATTATAAATTTATAACAGATAAATTAAACTTAAATTCATGGATTTAAAGATCAATATAAACCATAAAATCTGTAAACTTTTATTTATTTATACTTGGTTATTGAGAATTGGGATGTTTATGGCATATTATAGAACAATAAATTATACAAATATTGAGGTGTCAGAGCCGACCATTAATTTTGAAGTTAAATATAGGCGATTTTATTTACATTTTGTGTCAAAGATGGTAGGTATATGAGTAGTATCAACACTTTACAAGAACAATATGGTATGTCTTCTACAGCGGTCCGATTTCAGTATAATTTTCTTTTTTTTTATTTTTGTTTTTATAATGGAGAGAAAACAATTTTTACAGGTAGCATTGAACTTCAATTATTCATTCAACATTCAACATACAAATAATATAACAACGATGTATCTATAATAATATTATAATTTTAAAGTATTCATACTTTCATATGTACTGTGTATATAGAATTTGAAAATTAAATGTTGATAATCAAAATTCAAGCGATCTGTAAAATGACTTCTTTTTTCTAGTAATAATAAGAAAAATCCGTGCATTCTATGAAGCGTAAGAGTTTTTCCCGTGAGACAAGTTTTCGCACACTAAAAAATCGTCGGCTCCGGCAGCTTTGAAGAAAAAAATAAAACGAAAATGTAATATTGCTTACTATAGAAGTAAAAATTCCACCGCATCCAGTGAGTTGTGTTCAATTGCGATGTGTAGTGGAGTGTTTCCATAAGAATCTCTGATGTTCAAATCTATACAAAAAAAAAAAAAAAGAAATGAATACAGTTTGTCAATTTTTTTAATAATATTACTTTACGCATGATTATTTGAAAATATATAAAAGTTTGTAATTCAAACGTAATTAATTATATTAAATGAGACATTTTACAATAAAACTGTTAAAAATAATTTAAGGTTTCTTTAAAGGTCTATAGAGCTTTAGGTTACTTTTATAAAATAATAATAATAATCGTAAAACCACAAGATATATCTTTAATAAAAAATAATATTTTATTATCTTGCAATAGGTACATAAAAATATTTATATCTCTACTCAACAAACCGTTCGAAATCAGGAAAAAATTATATTGCAATGATTTATGTTAGGTAGAAATCTTATTTTTATACGAACTAAGTAAAAGACATTTTTTTTATCTATTCTACACCTAGTACCTACAAAAATTTATGACTGGAAATATGATGTATTATACACTAAAAATGTCAATACCTGAAACGATGAACAAACAAAATAATTTTATTATCTTTGTGACTATCCATGTGAAAATAGCGATCTGAAAAACATATCCCCAACATATATATGTACCTAATAATGGTCTGATTGATTCTGAATGAGCAAATAAATATACAGTATTTGTTATTCTAACAAATTCGATTTAAAGTGACACGTGGTTGAAATGGGTATGTTGCATTCACCTTTACTCTCATTGAAAAAACAATATCGACCAACAATACAAAATAATTATCTTATATAACTTTTACAATTAGGAGCCGAAATTAAAAATATAATTAAGACATTTCTAATAGCTCCAAAGTTATTAAAAATATACCTATATTTACTAAGGAAAATAATTATAGTTAAATTAAACTTCAATATAAATTATATAAAATGTATGTAAACATACGTAAGTTTACTTATAATGATGTTAATGATACCTAGCTATACAACAATAGTCAATAATAATGTAGGAAATATAAAATGATTTTAAACTAGGAAATAATTAATTATAAAAAAGACGTCCAAGAATAATGAAGACTGGTGCAGCTACTGTTACAGGTAATGTATATCTGTAAGCAACGATAAACCATTGCAAACGAAAAATCGATTCTGAGCGCAGTTCAGTTGATAGTGATGATTATCAACAATATATGCGTCATATAATTTTTTTGTACAAATTTCAAATTCCTACAAATACTTTTAACTGAATTACAACAAATAACAAAATTGAAAAATAATTAAAGCATTATTTTTGTAAATTTCCTGTTTTTCTTACTTTTTATCTTGGTTTTTCCCAGATATTATGAAAACCGCATGGAAAATCAAAAATATGACCTAAAAGTATTATCTGGACAATATTCTCTTTTAGAAATGGTGCTGCACATAAATATCTGAGCATTAAATTTTAGTACACAGTATATAAAAAAAATAATAATAAATAAATAAACATCTTAGTATAAAACCAATACTTTGAATCACTCAGAATCTAAAATGCGATATTATATTTTATAATAAAAATTATTTGTCAAACATATTACATTCGTTAAGTGTGTTAAAATTTTAAAATACTAAACGTAAAATATATAAATTAACTATTTTCTGGCTATAATATAATCATATAATTAGATAATGGGTATACTGCGATATGAAATAAACCACAAATTTACAAAATCATATTTAGAATGAATTTATTTTATTTACCATACACAAATTGAAAATATGAGTTTGATTAAATAAGAACAAACTAAAATATAAATAACCAAAAAAAAATTCAAAATACTATTACTATTTGTTTTTATCCATGTAATCAAGTAAAACGAAAAATCAATAAACCAAAACCGGCATTCTGGGTACTGATGGCGTAACTGGAACTTAATCAAGGAAGAGAGGATGTTTAAGTATTGTAATAAACCACGAATATTAATTTTTATTACCTATTTAAATTTAAACCTATTTACCTATTTTATTAGCTATTTAAACATTACCACTAAAAAATTCCAAAGTTAGAAGGGGGCGAACAAGTCATCGCCTCCCCTCCCCCATAAAAACGCCAAAATGTTTTAAAAATTGCATCACGCCTTGAAAGTGTTAATATAATACCTACATAGCGCTTTAATGAAAGGTCTTTATAGAGATCTATACCAGTCTCTATAGTATATTAGTATTTTTCACTAAATTACAACAAATAACAAAATCGAAATTAATAAAAACCCTTTGCGTAAATATTTTATTTTTAAATTTTTCCCCCTCCCCTATTCTTGAGAAAACTTTAAGAAAAATTAACTTATACTTTCTCAATGCATCAACTAGATAAAATTTGTAACTAAAAAGTTTTTAAAAAGCTCTTGATTAAAACAACATTTTTGATCGTTTACAGAAAAAAAAAACAATATTATTTAGAATCTAAAATTCAATTTTCGTTTTAGTTTTAGAAATGTAATTGTAAAAACTCAATAACTTAAATAGAAATTGAAAAATCTTGTTTAAACTTGCATATATCTGAGGGTCAAAGATTTGGCTATACATAACATATACTTAGTGTACCAATATCTAAGTATGAGTTTACTGATATAATAAAAGAAAGTAATTTTATTCTATCAGAAAACTATTGTAAAGAATTATAACACTATAATATATGAATTATAAATAGACAAATTAAGTTTTAAAAGAGAAAAATTTTTAAAAATACCCATTCAATTTGTTTTATTTATTTATCCAATATCTATATCGTTTTTGATAAAATATTTGTATAAGCATACTTTTAGTATAATATAGTATTAAAAAATATTTTAAAAATAAATACAATAATTTTATACAAAACACATTATTTTGTAAAATAATTAAAAAATATTTTTTAAGTATAGCCAACATATAATGATTATAGGTCTATTACCTCAGTATCGCCAAAGTATAAATATCGAAGTCAAAAAATATTCTATCGTTTTTTAATTTTTTTTTTATTAGTCATTTAGTATCTACCATAGATTCATTATGATTTTATAAATTACTGAAGGATAACTTATACTGTTTATTCAGTTGCAATTTCATAAAGTTTTTGATATTTTGCAATTGCAATATTTTAAAGTACTATAAAATAGCTATTTACCTCCTCCTTTGTTTCTTATAAAATGTAATATATTCAATTTATTTCTAGCAGCTGCTTGGTGTACTGCAGCCCGTCCTTTTGAATCTCTCACTTCGAGGCGAGCAGGTTCCGCTATAAAAAGGCGATGAAATTCATCCAAGTTACCACTTTCGGCCGCCTGGAAAAAAATGTATTTAAAATTATAATACGATTTTGATAGTGAATTGTATTACAGTAATTATATTATTCTAAAACATAAAATTCAAGTGTAAATAAGTGGTGTAGGTGCATATTCTGTAGTATGAGACTAAAAAACATTAAAATCTATAAAACTTTTCTTGGGTACACTCAGAATCTAAAATTAATTTTTTTTATATAGTAGATCTTTGACAAAAAGTATAAATTATTAATATTACCTAGTTGAAAAAGTTAAGAATAATTTTGAAATATTCTAGATATAAATAGAACACTATTAAGTTAGGCATATAGGTACTTGAATATTGTACTTTCACGGAATAAAATTTAAAAAAAAGTATACAATTTTATTAAAACTCAGGAGAAAATCTAAAATAATATACGCTTACTACTGGCATATACCAACTATAGTAATAATATGATATTCGAATTTAAAACAAATAATGAAAAATATAAGAACCTTTTGATTCAAATAATTCTCGATATTATTAAAATAAACATATGTATACAATAAGATTTTTAAATTCAATTAAGTGTATCAGAAAATATTTTATGTATATTACAGAGTGATCAGCATAACGTAATATACTCTTTATCTAGGAGTGTATTAATTTGTTTTTTAAAAACTCTGAGAAACAAACCGCTCTAAAACGAAATGTTACAATTTTATTTTGGAGTTAAAACTATCACTTCATTATCTGTGTGGCGGCAGGCATATGTTTTTTAAATAGTATTTTACTACTCTCCCAGTCTTTCCTTACCAAAAATGAATTAAGAGTAGAAACAATCTCCATAATAGGTTAACTAAAATACAAAATTGATATTAACTTATACTTTAATTATTTATTTATGGAATTTTTAATACAAAGTACTATTTTATATTTAAATATCAAAAGTAGGTAGTGGGTTCATACCAAAAAATACGTGCGACAACAAATAATGCTAAAGTAACATTTTAGAATTCGTTGTTTACAATTTCTATAAAAGAAAAAAAAATACAAAAAAATTAATATTTCCCGAGATAATAAGTGTCTTACGTTATGTTGATAATCCTGTATATATATAATATATATGAATTTGTTATTATAACAATTTTTTGTTAAAAATACCTAGCAAATATTTATTTTTAATACTATTATATAACAAACTAAGTATTTATTTATATATATATATATATATATATATATAATTTTTATACATATATATATAATATGAGATTCTGATAGGTACCTACTCGTATAATAGATACTTAAGTCTGTTCTTATAAATAAATTTAAATATAATATAAATTATAAATCAATTATATTAGTATTTAAATTAGGTAACTATATACTTACAGTAGGTAGGTAAGTATCTAAATTTTTTTTATCCATTGCATATATAAATCATTTTAGTTTAGGTCTTACATGAGTAAATTCATATTTTAACATTTCTACAGACATGCGTTTTCCTTTATAAAGAAAAATGTATGATTTGAACCTACTGTATTGAAAATAGGTGAAAATAGTCTCCTAAAGAATAATTAGTAAGTATATTGTAGTATAAAATGAACAAAAGTAAAGAAAGATAATTAGAATTACTATTCATAATTAAATATATAGAATTTAATATCAAAGGCTTGTGTAAAAACAATAAAACAAATGAACGCAAATAAAAAAATACCAGCCTTCAGCAATATATTGCTGAGTTATAAAATATTATTTTACCCTGCTGCAAGGATAAAAGAAAATGTGCTAGCTTCAGCCTCTAGAAGAAATTTACAAAATGTATTTAAAATTTGTTTCTATGAATACAAGAATTAAAAAAAAGAGAACGTTTATAAGTATACAGAATTTTAGATTCTGAGTAGTGAAAAAAAGCTATTATAGTTTTATTAAAATGTGAGTGTTCTTTTATACGGAAAATATTTTTTTATTATTAGGTCTTTCGAATTGTTTATACTGTATCTTAAAATATGAAAATTTCTGTTTAGTGACAGTTTATTTGAAACAAATCTTCAATAGTTTTTCTAAATAATTTAAAAAAACTTAACAAATTTTTATTGGTTTTATTTTTATTGATTTTTAAGTTATGTTAGCCACAATAGATAAAGAAAGAAAGACACCACAGATACGTGTGCTACTGTTGTAGGTGAGAAGTTGGTAGATTGAAAGTATATAGAATGATTTTAATTATATCTATACGTAAAGATAAATTATTGCTAATGAAAAAAGATTCTGAATGAAATTCGGATTATTTTTCATCAAGATCATTTCTTGATTACAACGATTTATCGTTGCTTTCGATATTAAATGTGATCAATCATCAATAAGACAATCATTATCTCGGAAAGTATTTACTTCATTACTTTTTTAAAAATTGATAATAAACTTATGAAAAAAAGTAACTTTAAAATAGTGCATACAATTTATTATTTTTCACACTAATTTTTGGGGGGGGGGGGAAACCACAACCCACTTTTGATATTCAAATAACAATCTATATTACAAATTCCATAAATAGAGATAACGTTTCAAAAAAAATAAATTTTAGTCAACCTTAAAAATTATTTTAACTAAAACTTCATCTATTTATGGAATTATTATTATAGATCACTCTATATAAACTATATAACTTATAGGTTACCTTCCAAACTATACACCCACAACAGTTGTCTATCCATTGTGCGCAGTAAATCCGGTTTTTTGAACTTAAGAGAATAATTTCGATGGAATTTCTGATTTCTCAACATTTTTAGAAAAAAAAAATAAATAATAATAATAATACTTGAAACTTGAAAACTGTACTGTTAATGTATAAGGTATTTCATTATAAATTGATTATAATAAAGTATTGACACATAATGTAATTATTATTTTAAATGCTCCTATAGATTTTAAAAAATTCAAATTTTTCAGTTTTCAATATTAATTTATTATGACATGAGATTCTTCTAAAATGTTTTAACACAACAAGGTATATATTGGTATGTACTATATTTCGAAAATTGAATATTACACTTTTTCTTATTTATTAAAAGGTTATTATAGATATATTAAGGTTACAATAATTTCAGAATATTTATACCAATATTTGTTGTGGTTAATTTTGGTACAGTTGTAAAATTGTACTAAAAATGATAAGCACATTCATTACTAGTTATTAATATTAATAAATACATATTAAATTCATTATTTGTGAACATAAAGCTGTTTTTAATTTGTTTCTATTAATAATTTAAATTATTTTATTTTTATTATTTTATAAGCATTTATACATAGTTGTATTATATAAAATAATATACATTTACAATACACAGTTTAGCTCTGCAGTTAAAATTGTAGACGGTAAAATCAAAATACAACATACAACACAATTAAACGACGCCACAGGAAAAAAATAAATACAATAAGCAATCTATACAAAATAAAAAAACATGAACATACTTTGCACGATGGATGGACAACTGCAGGCGAAAAGTTGGGAAGGTAGGATATAGAGGGAAATTGTTAACATAATACGATTTTGAGCGGAGTCCGGTTACACATGTTTTAAAAGACCATAATATTTACGATCTTCGGCAAAATTTGTTATTAAGATGCTAATAAAAAAAAAATATTATATAACACACAATTTCTTCTTATTGACCACTACTAATGCTTGGTAAAACGAGATGGAGATCTTTTGTGATCAAAACGAATGTCGATCTTATAATATAGAAAAGTTGGCCCTAAAGGTAAAACCTAAAAGGCGTAAAAGGTTTAATTTTTTTTTTCTCAGTTTAAAAATGTATTATACCCAAACAATAGGACGTAATATCTGTATGTGCTGTTTTAATCGAACTAATAGGCAATATAGCAATATTACATTACTTTGAACATAAATTGTGACGTATAGATTGAAATTTGAGTTTAATTTAAAGACAAGTAATAATATTAAAAGAGGAAAATATTTCCAATGGTTGAACTTATCTTTTTTCTAAAAAATATCGAAACAAAAGTTATAGCCATATTTGTTAGTATTCGTTGTTTTAAATACCTAGCTTAAGATAAAAACATTGATATTTTTAAAATTAAAATAAAATAAAGTAATGATATTATTAAGTATCTACTGGTAGTTGTAAATTTCTCAAATTTCTCAATTAATTATAATAATAGACTTGGTCTTAAGTTGTTTAACCTGTCTACACAATTTGGTTTAAACGAACCGTTTAACAATTAAAATAAAATATTAAGAGTATTATTATTTAAAATTATAATTTCCATACAATTACATACAAACTATGGGTTATATTGTAACATCAGGCTCAGTACCTATTGTACATCATACCTTTATAGTTAAATATATATGGTTATAGAAAGATTATTATAGGTTAGCCTAACCAACATAACTCTGCATTAAAATATTTTATGCAAATTATTGTTTGTTTTTGTATGTAAAATCGTTCACAGTATCCAAACATTGCGATATCGGCCATCCAAATAATTTATAAATAATAACAATAAGTTAAATGTATATGTATGTTTATACATATTTTTATTGGATGCCTATTTTCACATTATTTAATTTAATATGTACCTATTAATATTTCTAAATATTAAATTCTAATACGTGTAAGTAACAGGTACTGACCTATCCGAATTCAGTACGTCGAATTGAATCAATACTATACCGTTGGTATAGTTTGTAGTCCTGTCTTCGTCATGCTTACTGCGTCGGGGGATAGGTACTAAGATTTTTTTTTTATATATAAAGCTTTTATGTTTGGAATCAGCATTGGGAAATAAACACCCACAATATTATAAAATAAAAGAAAAATATAAGCTGCTATACTTAATTATTAATCTTCATTGCGATGCATTCAAATATTAAGTACCTATGTTTTCTATACTTGTACATAAGTTCAACAAAAATATTATAAACATTGAAATTAAAGTTATAATACTGTTATTATACTACGCAACTCTCTTTGCATATACAAATACAAATAATTCAATTTAATCTTTTCAATAACTTATTCGTTATAAGAAACTTCAGTTTAAAGATAACATAAAAATTTAGTGTAAGTTTATAACATAATATGCTTAATGAATATTTTGATCATTAAACCGTTTGATTCAAATGTAACTTGTTTACATATGTACAAATACTATTTCTATTTTCAATGATTTATTTGAATGTATTTATAGTATACAGAAATTAATTTATATCTTTTTAAAACATAATATATATTTATCGTGTTCAATTATAAATTGATTTTAATTAAAAAGCTTCGTATTTTACTAGATACACTCTCATGTTACATACATGAAAGTTTTTCATACATAAATGCTTGGCAAAGTTTACTTTTGTAAATTTGTTTATTTAACTGACTGCAATGTTACTGAACCTATAAAAGTGTATTAAATACATTTTTTGAAAAAAAGGTAGGTGGTTCTGCAGTAAAAAAAAAAAAAAACGAATATACCTACGATACTTATTAACACAATTATTTAAACCGTTTAGTACACATGAATAAGTTTAATATTTTAGTTTCAACAATACAAATCCCGAAATGTTTATAATTTGTATTAAAAAATATAATAAAATAATTAAATTTTAGATATACATAGTGGCCAATCCCAAATATTTGTGATAAAGATAAAGGGAAATAAGTATAAGAAGAAGAAGAATATACGAATTTATGAATACAAGACTAAAACGTAAAACTAAAACGTACAACACTAGCTCATTATCTCGGAAAATATTATATTTTGGCAACTTTTTTTTTTTGAACATTTTATGAAATAATTTTCTGTATACCCATTGACGAGATATTCTACTTTAAACATTTTTTATTTAGTTGGTATAGGGAGAAAGTATTGGAGCACTATTTATGTACAATTTCAATACCAAAATCTATTTGAACTAAAACTTCATCTACTTATCGACGTTTTAATATAGGCTGCCATTTAAAAATTAAAATGTGATAGTGTACATTTCAACCCCAAATATAAGGAAGTTGTACTCAGGCTATTGCAGTTCCATACTTATAGAGTTATAAATATTAAAAACAATTATAGAATTTTTTTAACTAAACAGAAAAGCTACGTACAGTTAAACATAAGATAAAAAAAAAAACAATTCTCTTTCTCTAAGTTTTTTTTTAAATTCAATCAATATTTCCCCTAGTTATGAAACCAAAATAAAATGAATAAACACCTTAGTTACATTGTATAATGGCATAGAAAAATCGTTTAGTTCATTAAAAGAAATATACCTGTATAGAAATTCTTTTTTCCAAAACATAAGCGATGATGGGGACATAAACATTAACCTGAAGATTATTTTGTTACACATTAAAAGAAAAATAGGTGATAATTTCGGTTTCGGCTCAATCATAAATTTCTACAATTTTGAACAGTTTTATTAAACTTCTATAAGTCAAACATATTTATTTATTTATTATGTTTTAAAACATATTTACATATATATATATATATGTATGTTTCGTTTGGTTTTTTATTATTTAATGCCACAAATATTGAAATAAATAACTTTAAAAAATTATTAAAAGTATAGGTATTTTTATAATATTTTGTTTTTAAATTAAGAATGGAAACTTTAGAAAGTATAATACAACGGTATAGATATGATGAGGGTTTAAAAAAAAAAAATCAAAATTATACATTTTTTAATTTAATATAAACTTTTATCGAAGGTATGGAAAACTTTGTCAATAAATATAATTATTTATATATATATAGATAAATTTTTAGCATAAATATAGTAAATTATTTTAGGATTTTAATCAATAAAAAAAATGTACAAATAGATTACAGATTAATATCTTTATTCAATTATCTGTGAAGATCAAAAAAACAAATAACACTAAAACAAATTTTAGTTTCTGAGTGGAGCGTTTTTTGTATACAACTTTTCTACTAGAAATCTTGCTCCAATAGCAAATGATAAAAAGATTTATCGTAGCGTTTTGGATTTTTTTCAGTACATAAACTAGATAAATTTTTTTCCAAGTAGTTTTCGTAATTGGCGACAACAGGAAAAATTGATAAATTTATCAATATTTTTAATATTTTCAATTTTATTTATCTTAAAGGAATCTGAAAGGAAATTTGGTCTTTTTGGTGTATATAGGGAAGTTGTTTTTAGATCTTGAAGTTTTCTTAATATCTCGGAAAAACGTATAAAAATGGTAAAGTTTACGGAATAATAATTTTATTATTTTCGATTTTTTTAATAACCTCAGTAACTTAACATATTCACAAAATATTTATACTACCCTTTTTAAAACCTGGTAAAATTTTAAAAATATTCTGGCGATTTTTCAGCTATTTATAAACGTTTGAAATTGTTGAGATTTTTTGAGATTTTGAGTGGAGCAAAAAACCTTATAGTTTTACAAAGATGTTTATTTATTTTTCTGTGCCCAACTTTTCTACCAAAAAACTTGCTTAGATTTTTATATGTAGCACTTTTTCTGAAAGGAAATCTGCATGGGAAGGTATATATGAGAAGTCATTTTCGAATTCTATTTTTCCCGGAGTTTTTTCAACAAATGTGAAAAACCGAAAAAATGGAAGAAAAACGGGAAAATGTACGAAATCTATCATGATTTTTTTTTCCTGTGCACAACTTTTTAACAGCAATTTTGGTTCAGCCTTTAATTATAGCAATGTTTCTTAAAGGAAATTTCACAAGCGAGGTACTTCAAAGAGGTAATTTTTTGATTTTCTCAGGAGTTTTCTTATCAAATATGAAAAACCAAGATAAAACATAGGAAAACTGGGAAAATCGGTACAACATTAAACAAATATTATTAAAGAACAAATGTAAAGCCTATTTAATTATTTTACTATAAAATGACAAATATATTTTTGAAAAAGCATCACTATCAACTGAACTCCACTCAGAATCGTTTTTTCGTAAGCAATGGTTTATTATTGCTTACAAGTACACATTAAATTAACTATAACAGTAGATGCAGGTGTCCCCATTATCCTAGGACGTCCTTTTTAGATTGTATTTGGTTTATAACAATTTGTATACCGATAAAAAATTATTGAAAATTCTATACAAGATTCGTCATAAATCGTAATTAGTGATCAAAAAGAGAAGTTCAGCGTCATTTACTAGGTTTTTTTAAACTAGCGTTTTAAGTACAAATTTTAACGAAAATCGTAAAAATGTCGACATTTCAAACCATCATCAATCAAATTTCATTCAGAATCGTATTCCGTTATAAATTATTTTTCGTTACACGTATATATTAACTAAATAACTCCATATATATTGCCTTCCCAATTTTCCGTCTACATCAGTAGCTCTTTGTTTTATTAATCTCAAATTTAAATACGTACAAGTATCGCTTATAGTCATTATACAATAAAATATAGATACAAAATAGTAAACAGATTATAACAGATTCTACAATCTGTACCTAGGAAAATTATATTTCTTTGATAATTTTATCGATGTAAGATTAAATTTCCTTAATTTTACTTAAACTAAGTGTTGATAAAGTACTTTATTAAAATATAAAAGGTATTACAAAAAACAAACATATTTACTAACTTTTATTATTTACTTTTTAAAATCCCATTAGGCACTTTATATTATTTTATTTTATAATATAATTTGGACTTTATTTTAAAGTTTAACTGGGCATACTTTGTATCACTGGAATAAATAAAAACATAGCTACTTGAAGCTGCATTTTTGCATCATTGATATTTTTCATTATTCTAAAATACCTACTCTTGCAGCGTACTTACTCTTTATAAAACAAAATCTCATTTATATGATTTATTTAAATACAATAGCTATATATTTTAATGTTAATCACGTATAATTTGAATTCATTTAAGTACATACCTACTGTTTTCAGTCAAGAATTAAGATGATTAAATAATAAATACCAACTGTAATTAATTCTTTATATAATTAAACACCGATTCTTAATTACTCTTACGTAGAAGTTTTTAATAGTATTTTATAATATAAAAAAAACATTAACCACGAATATAGTGGAATAATAGTATTCCTACCAAGTATACCTTTAATCTAACATATTTAGGTAATACACATTATTAAATACAGAGTGATCATTCTATAGTAAAATACGTATTATCTTGTCAAGTTTTAATTTGTTTTATAAAATATTTAAGAAACACGTCGTTCAACAATTTTACATTTATATTATTTTTTGTCACCCTTGGGGATAAAACCGCTACCTACTTTTTATTTTCAAATGGCAACTTATATTATATATTCCATAAATAGATAAATAGAGTAAATAAATAGAGTATTATTTAAAATAAATTTTGGTCTTAAAATTTTTGATTTCCGTCAATTCGTTGACGAGATATTTCACTTACTTTTAAGATGTGTGCGCGTTGTTTTAATAATGCACCACAACCCTCCTCCGATCCAAAATTAAAAGTGAAACATCTTGTCAACGGATTGACAGAAATCAAAAGTAGAAAGTGATTTTACCTCCAAAAATAAGAAAGACATAATATATATAAATGCAAAATTGTAGAACTGCTTGTTTCTTAAATGTTCTGAAAACAATGTTCTTAAAACAAAGTCCAAAAAAAATAATACTTTCCGATATAGTGTCTTATAATAGATTTATCAGATAGAATGTAAAATAACACGGACATTGTGAAATTTCTAGTAATTTATGATGTAAAATCTAAATTCCAAATATTGTAAATCGTTTTAATACCACCATACTTATAAGAACGAAAAAAGACGACCTAAAATAATGGAGATGGGTGCAGCCACTGCTTTAGGTAATTTAATATATATATGTAAGCAACGATAAACCATTGCTAAAGAAAAAATGATTCTGAACGCAGTTCAATTGGTAGTGATGCTTTGTCAAAAATATATATGTCATTTTATGGTAAAATACCTAATTAAATAGGCATTATGTATTATCTATAATAATATTTATTTAATATTGTACCGATTTTCCCGTTTTTCACATTTGCTGTGAAAACTCTTGGGAAAAATTTCTTTCTAAAGCATCTACCCAGTCAGATTTCCTTTTAGAAAAAGTGCTATCATTGTAAATCTAAGCAAAGTTGCTGGTAGACAAATTGTTGACAGTAAAAAAAAAATATATTTTTTTACTAATATCTACATTTCGTACATTTTCTGTTATACCGATATTTTTTTCCGTTTTTCCCAGATATTATGAAGGCACTTGAAAAATCAAAAAATGACCTCCCTAAATTACCATGGAGATAAAATTTTCTTTCAGAAAGTAAGCTACAATTGAAACACCAGAGCAAGATTTCTAGTACAAAATTTTGCACAACAAATCGAGGGGTATTTTGCGATTAATAGTCCGAGGGAGTGATGACTTGGGTCTCTAGGTATATCTAAAATGGATTTGTTTTTTCATTATTTAAGTAAAAGGTAAAAAAAATACAAACAATTTTTATTCGACACAATGGTTTAAAACTCGGAACCCTTAGGATGATAATAGGCATATATAACTGTTAGATCATGACAAATATGCTTTAAGAAGGACAATACAGAATTATTTAATATAGCATATAATATCCGTATAATATCAAAACTTCAAAAAGCTATAATTTAAAAACTTAGCCAGTTCACTTAATAATTCTGACTTCACCATCGCTCTTAAATCGGCAATATATATAAGTTCAAAAAAAAAATTGAAAAATTATATTTGTTCCACATAATTTTTTACTCAAACGATTTTCGTCAAAATTTGCTATTGAAATCCCCTATAAAATAAATACCTCATTAAACTCAATTTTTTTTACCATAGTAATACTCTTAATTAATCTCCTGTTAAATTTCCAAACATTTCCGTTAGGTCTAACAAATTTACCACAGAGTACCTACCAAATAAAAATTACGTACAAAACTCGCAAAATTAAAATGTCTATAAATAGTTCAAAATTGATTGAACTTTTGAACATTTTACCACGTCTAGAAAAGACAAATATTAATTTTTTGTCTTAATTTTAAGCTCATTGAGTCGATGCGAATATTTTTAACTAGATTTCAACAAAAATATTAAAATTCCTTTAAAAAGCTTAAAAATGGCGTAAATTTTCCGTTTTTCTTACTTTTTTCCCAGATATTATGAAAACCGCTTGGAAAATTAAAAAAATGATCTCCAAATTAGACCATCTTAACAACATTCCCTTTTAGAAATGGTGTCGTGCGTATATATCTGAGCAAGATTTCCGGTAGAATTTTCGTACACAGTATAAAAAAAAAATCTTAGTAAAACCAATATATTCTTCGCTACACTCAGAATCTAAAATTAATAGTCACTACTATACATATTATAGCCAGAAACAAATTTTGGTAAAATTAAAGTAAGCAGGTAATTATTTAAAAGAGCTATTACATTTTACTTGGGAATAATTTACGAGTATTTAATTAACATCTTTATTTATAATAATAAAGTATTATGCTATAACGTGTACAGAAAAGATTAATTAAAATTCTAATAAATTAAATATATTTCTAATTCTTACCTTAACTAGCTCATCTGAAGATAATTTCTTAATAGCATTGTAACCGTAGAATATTTTACGCCAAGTTCTGACGATCCTCATTGGTGATAAAGTCATCATATCAATATTGAAATTGATAGGTTTTGTGAAAAGAGCAAACACTGATCCAAAAATCATACGATTACAACTACACATGACATGAAATAATTTTCAACCGAGTTATCAAATATACAACAAGAACAAAATTTATAAACGGATACAATATAAAAAAATAACCTGTGAATGGAACAAAACATATTTAAGATATTAAAATCAATAGAATTTTCAAAATAGCTTAGTATTACAAATTTAGAAAATAGGTAAATATTTAATTATTTTGAGCTAATTTGGCTTTTGGCTGGCGCCTTTGCCTATAATTTTTTGCCGGGCTGGGGAAAGCAATGCTGACGCGGTTTTCCCCGGTCCAGTGGGGAATATTTGAAGGGAAAAAAAAAAATTTAATTATTTAAAACGAATTTCATCCATTATAAATGTAATATTAAGTATGTGAAAATAAATTCGGTAGGTCTTTCCGACTGGAAAAATGCGGATTAAAATAATAAATCAAATAGGTACCTGTGAAGTAAAATTTGAAACGTCTCGGATTAATATTGTATCGAACGATGGAAGACCGTACTGGCGCACGCGCGCGTTAGGACTAAACTACTGAACATGAGAAAAGGTTTGTATGGGTAGTGTATAACGTTGTTGCTGTAACGACCTCTACAATCTAAGATGTGATCAAATCCAAATGATTATAGTTCATATTACATTCAATGATATAGTTACATTATTTTTAGTTAATAATTAAAATGTATATTATTGTTAATAATATTAATAGTATTTTGCATAACTAATTGAAATAATAAAATATATTTTAAAAGAAAATTGTTACGTTTATCGTGTCACTTACGTGATTTCAATTTATTCACATTCACTTATAGAATTGAACCAAAATTAGCAAGTAATTTTGTTTTTTGTACGTTTAATTCTGTCTATTATAGTAATTTAAAATGGAATAAAATAATTTAATGGGTTTCATTGTATTCATGTCCAGAAATGATAGGTGCATTACTTATGAATAAGATATCTGAATAGATTTCAACACAAAAATATAAAACTACACAATTTTAATTTGATTAACAAACTATTCCATTACCTTGATTATTCTTCCATTATTGGATTTTATAATATTATTTTAGATACAGAGCGTAGCGTATTACTATGTTATTTTTTATTTTTATTTTTATTATTAGTGATCAAATTTTCTAACAGAAACCCGAAGTATCAAGTGTAGCATCTTTTCTGGAAGGTAATTTTATCTAGTCGGTGCATTAAAAAGGTCATTTTTTGGTTTTCCAAGGGGTTTTCAAAATAATTGAGAAAACCCCGAAAGAAAATTATAGGTAAAACGGAAATATTATTACCAGAAATAATGCTCCAACCGACAAATGACAAGAGAATTTATTCTTTTTAATATACAGCCACATAGCCACTAACTTATAAATCGTTTTTTGATATCCTAAGTAATTTTCATGATAATTAGGAAAAACCAAAAAAAAAAACCAAAAATAACCTAATTCATATTATTTCATTACCTATTAATAAAATGTTAAGATTATATTTTTCTACTAGAAATCTTTGTTCAAGAATAGCATATTTACTAAAAGAGAATTTTGTTTTATTTATTATTAAAGAGACTTATAAAATTTCAAAAATAAAACTAGTACTTAGTAAATTAAATAAAATAATGTAACAATAAAGTCTATTCTATACCTAAAATTCAACATTTCCAACAGTTTTGAAAATTATATTGAATAACGACAAAAAAACTGACAAAAACATTTTGTGTTCCATTTTTAATTATATTGGTAAGAAAGTTATTTTTTTTAATTTTAAATGGTCTTTTTAATGATTGAGCAAACTTGGATTGTACCTATTTTTTCGTTTTCCATTACGGTTTTTTTGATTTTTCTCATTTATTGGGAAAATTCAATAGAAAATCAAAAATTGACCTCTTTAAAGTACCTCCCGAGTAATTTTTTTTTCAGAAAGAGTGCTATTATTGTAAATTGGAGCAAAATTGTTGGTAGAAAATTTGTCCACAGGAAGAAAAAAATAAGCATATCATTGTAAAACCATTAAATTCCTCGCTCCACTAAAAATCTAAAATTCTTGAGATGGCCATAAATGACGACTCCACTCTATACAATAGTATAGTATAATATTATACCATTTTCAATTATTTATCATCTATATACAAATTTGCATTAAATAAATAATTTTTTCATACTTTAAATATATTATACTGATTTGAATACTCCTAAATAGTATTTTTTAAAAAAAAGGGAGCTGATATTGGGGACGGGTGCGGTCACTGTTGTAGGTGAGAAGTTAGGAAGGTAGGATATATAAGGTTATTTCATTTATATCTGTAAGCAACGATAAACCATTGCTGATGAAAGACGATTCCTCCGAGTGCAGTTTGGTAATACATAATTTGAAGTGCTGTTATTTTCTTTAACCTTACATTCCTACGCTTTTTCCCGATTATTATGAAAACTAATTCAAAACTAATCAAAAAAACAAACTGCATCATTAAAACAAAATTAATTTTTCAACAAAAAAGGTCTTTTGTCGTTTTTCAATATGAGCCATATTTGTACCAGAAAACGTGGTAAGTACTTATGTAAAATAACGAAATCGTGAAAAAAATCGTATTTTTTTCTCTAGTTAATCGCTTTTATTTTAAATACCATTTCGAAAATCAAAAAATGATCTTCGTTTTTATTAAGTAGATAAAATTGACTTTCAGAAAAGGTGCTACACTTGTACATCGGAGCAAGTTTTCTAGAATAAAAGTGGTCTACCGTGTAAAAAAAAATAAAGTACCATTGTAAAAAAATTAAAAAAAGGAAAAAAAAAGTCCGATGAACTTTGAAATTTTACCACGTCTAGGTAAATCCAATATAAGTATTATTACCAAGTTTCAAGTCTCTCGATGAATTTATAACCGAATGACCGAAAAACTACCAAAAATTAAAATTCCTTAAAAGATCAAAAGTGGCTTAAAAGTTTTGGAAATGATACCGTAATAAAGTAAATCAAAAAGGCAATAAAAAAGGTATTTTGTGATTTTTCGATTAAATCATTTCTGGTAAAAAACATCCGTAAAATTGTACGTTTTCCTTAGTTTTTCCCATTTAAGTGCTTTTATTTAAAAATGGCGTCGAAAATCAAAAAAATTATCTCTTAAAGTACAATTTAAACAACTTGAACTTTAAAAAAAGTTGCTACACGCAAGTTTAATAGGATGAAACATGTCTACAGGCTAGAACAAAGAAAGAAAAAAGAAATTAACAGCATTGTAAAACCAATAGCTCACTCGTTACGCTCAGAATCTAAAATGTAATTCAATATTATAAATGGCTAATACATCAATTAACATATAAGCTAGTTAAGTGAACTAAAATATCACTGTAAGTTTTATTTTGAATTTAATTCATATGCCTATTATATACACATTTAAAACGCAAGTAAGTAATTTTATTTAACAAAAATCTATGTACAAAATTTGTCAGTAACCTGAACTGTCACGCTTTGAAATAGAGAATGGCAGTTGTCAATGTGTGGCTGTGTAAATGAAACATTGATGCGAGCTATGGGAATATAGTGACAAGTAAGATATGTCTCATCAGCAAATTTAAGTTATCAATAAAGTAGAAATAGGCGGGGGTTCATGTGAAAAATAAATGTTAATATGAGATATTTTCAGTATTATTTTAAATAAAGGTCTAAGTTTCTTTTCATATTATGAAAAATGTATTTTAAAATATAACAGAAAAAGATCTTATGTATATTTTTAGTCAAGACCCTTATTATATAATCTCCCAGTCCCTTTTGAAAAATTATCTACTTAATGCAATTTCTCATGTGTCATCATGGTTGAGGACATACACTATACAATGTGAGTATAATCGTAGGGGTAAAATATAAAAATATCATACTACATTAGCATAACATAATACACTTACCTACCTACCTAAAAAATTAGTATATTATAATGATGAAAATTGAAAGAACTATTTGTTATATAATAATAAAATAAATAATAACCCTTTAAGGCACATTGAAACATTGGACTGCTGCAGTAGATAGGTATTTAGGTATTTTTAGTTGGCTACTAATTTATATTAACTGTTCAATAATTGATTACTATTTTGTATTTCGATTCTTCATTGCCATTTTTACTTAGTTAATGTTATTACATATTATCTATATAATTCGTTTAAATTACGCATGAATCACAACATTTTTAAAACGACTATGGAATGTGGTTCTTTTTTAATATATTTTATGTATAGTTATTTCATAAAAGTAGGTACAATAATCTTGTTGATGATATAAATTATTATGTAAGTAGTATATAAAAACAAATTTGATGTACATTGTAAAATATAACCTATATCATCTTAGCTGTTATAATATTTATGTACTTACCTAAGAAGAAGTAGGTACAATCAGTGCTTGAATTGGAAAAAAAGGTTAGATACTATAAAGCTTAAAAAAAGTTGCGTCCCTTAAGCCCAGTATACAATAAGGCAACATATAACAACTTTTTAAGCCGAAGTATGTTGACACAACAAAAGTTCCTATATACTTCCAGAAGTTACGAAATGTTTCATCGATAATTTGTCAAGCAACAAAAATTTCTCATTGTTTTATGTTTCGATTGAAAGGGAAACATGTTATCTAAACAATATAATATTGATGAATGACTTAATTCAACCAAAAAAAATGATTATTCTAAATTTAGTTAAATAAATTAGTTAATTTAGTTTTGTCTAAACTTAAATTTAATGGACTTTCTACAAGCACGGAAATAAAAGCGACAAACTTCATTGATAGACAAGATGACAAATCCATTCATACAAAGGAAATCCAACTTCAGAAAGTGAGAAACTGTCTAAACAGTAATGAAAGACATCATAAAAGGTATAGGTGAATACTTGTTTTACATTTATATGAACAATAACAATTACCGAGTATGTTTTCAGCAAAATGAAAATGTGGAAAGGCAGAAGGAACTGTTAAATAATGAAAGAACAACTCATTAAGAAACTAAAAATCAATTTAAATAAAAAAGTTATGTGTATACATTTTATGTATCATAAGCTATTTTAAATTCTGAGCGTGGCGAGGAGTGTAATGATTTAGTAGGGTAATAGTAACTTTACTATCAGAAATCTAGCTCCAATGAAAACTGACGAGTCATTTTTTTTTACATTTTTATTCTAGTTGGTGTATTGTAGATTTTTAGATATATTGTCTTCTTAATAATTTGGATAAACCTAGAAAAAAAGGGTTTAGTTCACGTAATTAACGGTTTCATTATTTTCGATTTTGTTTTTTGTTATAATTCGCTAAACAAATCATAGAGACTTGAAGGGGAATACTTGTCAGACTTTTGCAGACGTGGTAAAATTATTAAAACATTCTAGTAATATCTGATATATTTATAGACATTGGATATATTCTAGTTTTTTTTTTTTTATTTTTATTTAATTTTATGTGGATAAAATTATATTGCCAAATACAGCATAACGCTTGAAAATTTAAAACAACGATTTATTTTAAGTTTAAATTAATGGTAAAAAAATGTTGAACATATAGTCGTTTTTTTATAAGCGTTTTAATTTCAAATTTTGAGTAAAATCGTAAAAATTATAGCATTTCAAAACACGTTTAATTGAATTTTACTGAGAATCGTACTAAAATACTATAATGATTTATCGTTGCTTACAGATATAAATTAAATAACCTTATCTATCCTACCTTTTCAACTTCGCACCTACAACAGTAGCACATCCATCCAAAGAATCAGCTTTTTTTTCTTTTCTGTACCTATGTAAACAATTTTTTGAAAGAAAAAATTTCTTCAAAAAAAAAAAATTACCAGATACATTTTGGTTGAATTTTGAATCTTGTTGGTGCTTGAGGTACATTTTTTTAGTTTCCAAAGGATTTTCAAAATAATTTAGAAAAACCGAAAAAAACGAATGGAAAAAACTGGCAACAGTGACACTCCCATTGACCCATCAGCAGTGTCAGCTTTTTTTTTCTATCTGTCAACAAGTTTCCTACCAAAATTCTTGCTTCAATCAAATAATAACAAGAAGCCTTTTTCATTGCATTCTGATCAAGTTAGTACATTTTTTTTGCGTTCTCGCAACTCTTGAGCTAGGTATTTATAGACATATTAAATTATTGAATCACTGCATTTCGCATAAAGCGATACGGCGCAATACATTTGTAATGGTTGATTCAAGAACGGTGTAAAGAGGGTAATTTTGGCGGCCGTGTAGAATACGGGCGGTGTTGGCAGTATAAAGGGGGTAGTTCGGACGGCACTGTTGTATTACTACATAATAAATAAATATAAATGTTATGTAACTACTAATTTGTTTTAAAGAATTTCCCGAGTTCCACAGTATCTGCTGTTTTTTTTTTTTTTTTTTTTTTTTTTGTTATTCAATGAGAAGCCGCGAGTTATCGTTAGGGACCAAAGACGTATAATTTGCACAAAATATTATTAGCATTTACTAAACATTTTTATTTTCTGCTCACCAGCTACTATTATTAAGTGATACCTAAATTCATTGACAAGGGAAAAATATATTTATAACTGAAACATGTTCTACCATGCTATAGTAGTTACATAACTTTTATAACCCTATGATTAGTATATCCGAATTCTAAATATTCAAAACTCGTATTTAAAGTATAATGAAAACCAGTGTTTCAATTTTGTACACTGCCAGTAGTTAGTACTAAAACCTTGTAAGTCTAAAAAGATGAGTACCTTTATGTGTCTACTCACTATCAGTAGCGAATTGGGCAACCGGGAGGCCGGGAAGTCCGGCTGGGAGCCCAGTCATGAATCTAAACGGACCTATCATCATAAAACTGATTTTATACTTAAAATTGTTCTTTTTTTTATTTTTAAAAATATTTTTCAATACAAATATTTTAAATTAGCTATGACGTATTGTGCATACGTCTGTGACAATAAGGAGAAAATTGATCAGGGTTTAAGGTAATATGATTGCCAGACGAACAATGATAAAGTGGTTAAATATGATGAAATGCCGATGAAACTAAATTCTCCCAGACCAGTTAAAATTCAGAATCCACCGCTGCTTACTATACTCACTAAATGTAATATTGTTTCTACATACATCTCAGCACAAGTCCTTATTTAATCGATTTAACATTTAACACAAAGGTTGAACGTTGTAAAATAATGATACAACATTGATACGAAATCCAATACATTCGAAAATAAAACTGAAGTTTTTGATTTCAAAAACGATTTTTGCAAAAACAATCAATATTTTTGTCGTCAGTTTAAAACTTGATTAGATACGATTTTATTTTTATAGTTTTTTGAGAGTATTTTTTAAACTACTGGAAAACTCGAAAACTACCACTTTAAATCATCACACATTTCTTATTACTTATCGATTTATAGAAATAGGTACATGAAACTTTTGAATCACTAGTATTATTCCTAAAATTGTATTCGAAAGAAAATACCCATTATATTGTAAAACAAAAAGATAGCTCTATTTCTCTGTTTAGAATCTAAAATATTATTTTTTGTATCAATGAAAAATATAGATTGATATCTATCTATACTTATTAAAAAGTTATACTCAGTAGCACCCAAAATATATTTTTATAGTGTATCAAAATTTGAAATTCAAAACCACCACCCACCTCAAAAACGTTTGTATCTAAATTTTACTACCTAAAAACTAAAAAGTGTAATTTTTGAATGTTTATACCCATTCTACCCAACTATCCCCAATCCCAACTATCGGGAATACACAACCACCCAAAATATGGTGTGTTATACTGTTATACTCGAATTATAGTTTAGGTGCCACTGGTTATACTTATATCAATCGATTATATTACAGCTTTTTATATTAAAAGTAGTATTGGAATCGTTAAAAATTAATAACTCAAAGTATGTTCGTTCAAGAACCTATTTTTCTAATGTCTATAATAAAATTCAAATTATTTATTTCCGTTTAATATACATTTTGTATTTAAAAACTTTCAATTATTTACAGTACGTAACTAAACGAAAGTTTCGTCTAACCCTAATACCAATGCATGTTTATTAACGATAACACATCCGGAGGACGGTAGGTGGATCGCCACGCACCTATTCCAAATCGTATCTACTTTTTCTAACTTCTAATCTTTTATCATCATTATTATATAAAGTATAGTGATATACTGTAATTTTCATAGTATGAACTATAACGACCCTCAAGAGACCATTTAAAATTATTATAACCAATCGTCATGATAAACTTTAATAAACAAAAATTATAAAGGCCGTATGTAGGTGTGATATAGATCGTCAATATTCATTACGTAGGTCACAAGTATTGACCAGGGACTAAAATTGTCAGTAGTAGCGCAATGCACGCAGACTTATACATCTAGACGGAACATTCACCCCGAGAACTGGGAGGCGTGGTCGATCCAAACGAATCAAGAGAGATAGAATCAAACAGCCTAGTATGCGAAACAGCAAATTTGCACTCAAGGACAGCCAATTTTATTGAAACCCTCCGTTTATTTCGAGTGTTCCTGTTCTCGAAATTAAACTCCACCCACCAGAACGTTTTTACATACTCAATGTTCCGTCTAGATTACAAGCCATAGTAGTACGACACATTTTATGTAGGTAATATAAATTAAAAGTGGCTGCATTATGATATTTATATGTTTGTATTCGTTTTTAATTTTTTTTTTTTTTTTACACTTAATAATTATTATTGGAGAAAAAAAATTCTAAAGTGTTCTCTATGAAAACTTTAAATTACAACAAGTTGACTCGTAAAACATTGACAGTTGTCACATATTTTTTCAAAGATGATGAAGGCCCACTGCCCAAAATAAATTAAATATCGAGGAATATTTTACGATTAAAATAGTTCGAGCGAGCGATGGCTTGGGTCTCTCTCTATAGACACACCCAAAATGCATTTAGTTTTTCTATTTTACCTAAATAGGGACAACAATTTTTACGGAACACGGGTTTGAACTCGTAATTTCTGAGATGATAACAGGTACGTACCACCACTAGACTACAATAGACATACTATAAAATTGAAAATATAGTTATTTAACATAACACATAATATCAGAATTTCAAAAAGCAAAAATTTCGAATTTAAGTCAGTCCGCTCAATTCTGACTTCACCATCGTTCTTAAATCGACAATAAAATGATGTTCAAAACAAAAAATTAAAAAATTAGATTTCTTCAATATATTTTTTTACTCAAAAAGATTTTCGTCAAAATGTTATATTAAAATTCCTTTAAAAAAGAATACTACATTAAGCTCAAATTTGTTTTTCTTGGCCATAAAGTACGACTTTTACCGAACCTCCTGTTAAATTGTCAAGCATTTCTATTAAGTCTAAAAATTTTACTACGAAGTACCTCCCGAATAAAAATTACTTACAAAACTCACAAAATTAAAATCACATCTAGAAAGTGAATTTTAATTATCTACTAAGAAAACCACAAGATAAATAAAAATAGTCCCCCTCTAATGTCCTACTAGACAAAATTGGAATGTTATGCTCTCTTACCTAACATACCTATGTAGAACTATTTATATTATTATAACAGTGTGACTAAATGATTCAAATGCGGTCCAGTATTTGGTACTCTCTATTCAAACAAGTTAATGCCCATTTTAATAAACACAACGGGGGCATTTGTTATTTGAGAGAGATCCATATTATATCTCTTAATAGTTGAAACATAATGACACGGGTGAGAATATAAAGATTCACACAACAGTTGACGCGTTTGGCGACATCACTCTCGCGCCGACGTGGTTGCAGACCATGCAAATTCATTACTTAACAGAATTTGTATCTTTAGAGATTAATTAACAGCAGATTATATTTCATCAGCTAAAACACGAAATCGTCACAGATTATAAAAAATAACGGGTTTTTCTTATTGCCTCATGCGTCTCAACAACTCGAAAAATCCTTTTGATAATCACCCTGTCGTAAATCCTGTACCTAAAACCTTTATATTCTTTGTATTATCAATAAAGGGGAAACCTACATACATTACACCCTTACATTATTTATTTTTCATTTGTTTATGTTATTACAAAATTGTCTGCTAGAAACCACTCTTAAAGTTGATAATTTGAACAAGATCTGTAGAATTATGTACATTTTCTTAAGTAAATACCCATCTACCCATGTCCTATTAAAGGTACACATTGTAATAAAATAACAATCAAATTGATAAGTAATTGTTTTTTCCATAAAAATACAGTTATGTAAAAATTAGTAAATTATATTTTCGATTTATTTGTTTATTTTTATCTTTTATCTGATAGCACTTCTAAATGCCCTTCCAACCCTTATTTTTCACGATATTTTTACATGTCTTTAAAATAATCTTTTGTTCACAACACACGGGTTAAAATGATTCTTCTAATAAAAAAAACAACTCAATAGTGGATCTGGAATACAATAAATTAAGAATGTTTGTATAAACTTAAAGGGCTTCAACTAATAATTAACCCCATGAAAGATAATGCGTTTTAATAATAAGAAATGCGAAGAAAAATTGAATTATTTATACTGAACAAATAATACCAATTATTTGTACGTCATACAAACACTAAACACAGATGTAATCAAGCAAAATACAAAAAATACAGTGTAAATAAATATAATATATACCTAGTTATTTTTTCAAACTATGACAACCAAACATAATCTATTGTTTTCATTATTAAATAATAACTAATGCAAAAAAAAACTTAATAAAACTTACATTGAACCTAGTCTAGCAGTTCTTATTCTTAAACTCAGTAAACCCAATAGTTCATTGATTGATTAAGATAAGATGCCCATTTTCAAGTTTCCAAATATATTATAATATAAAATTTAATTAAATGTGTAATATTAAATCAATTATGAAATAGCAGAATACCAAATATATATTTCAGTTTTACTATTCAATAATTAAAACTATAAAACTATTTTTACATTTAATATACTTAACATAAAAATATAAAAGATTATAATATATTTTTAAAATTGATTTTACTCATTACTTGAAACCTATCTATACCTATATATTATCAAATATTAAACAAATACATCTAAATCACACATTTAAACTAGGTATGTTAAATCACTAAACCTTAGTCAACATTATATTTTAATGTGAATAGATAAATATCTATTTACAATCTACATTTTATTTTAGTAAATAAAACAAGATTTATTGCATAGGTATTAGTCGAGGTATTACTTCTCAATTTCATACCATTTTAAAAATGCCATGGAGTCTGGAGAACCATCACAATAATTACTCTAAAATACATTAGGTACAAATTATACGTGACCTAAGAACAATGACGTTTATGTTATTTTTCTTTCTCCTGTGTTTAGAATATAATTTACATACAAAAATGAATTTGTACATTTTTCATTTTGTCTAATATACAAGTACAAATCAAAAATAACTTTATTTAGAATAATTATCATAATATTTTGTTTTTAAATATGTTTTTATTTATTTTAATAATTGAAACTAACAGAAAAAAAAAATTAATAAGCTTAAGTGTCAAAGTCATCATGGCATTATATGTGAAAAATATTGATTAGTTTAACTTAAATGATCAGATACAATGGTTACTGCTACTTACTACTTCCCTTCTTCAATATAAGTTTATTTAAAAATCATTCAAATAACAATTTAATTAAAATAATATAAAAATGAGTAAAAAAACATTAATTCAATAACTATCGATTAATATTAATAATAAAAAATGACATAGACAAAACTATAACTAGTTTGTAAATTATATTTAGGCTCAATATTATCATCTATTAGATATTTAATTGTTTACAGTTCAAGAAATATAATCAAAAACACTCTGGATAGAGTACATTAGTAGGCAGAACTACCTTATAAGTTATTAGTTTTTTGATTTAAGTTCCTAGTAGTAAAATATTATAATTAAAGTAATTATAACTACCTTATTAACTAAAAGGTAAAACTAAACAGTTTTTATGTTAAACATTATTAAATATAACTTTATACACTACTGTATATTTTAACACTTGTAAGATTCATTAAATATTTAATAAATATTATTATTATTATTATTAAAAGCAACCATACAATATTTAGTTTATTATTTTAAAGCAAAATAATGAAAAATATTAATGAATATCAATATAATTTAGTTATGTAACCATTATTAAACGGTAAGATTCACGCGAAAATAAACGTGGCATAATATTGCGGTTTTTGAAATTATTAGAAATAAAAAGGTAGGTAACACTATTTTCTTTCTACAATCATTGTATATTTGCATATTTAAAACATTAAACTGGAGAAAAAAGCTACCTATTATTTACAGTTACTATTATTATAATAAATTATATAATATAGGTGGGTACTAGGTAGGTATATATAGATAGGTACTTGAGTACTTGTAGTGAATGGATTATATATAACTGTAAAAATAAAATAAATACCTAATTTAATGCGATTTTCAGTAGAAACGCACGTTTTACGATTTACTCATTTTAATTTAAAAATTATGTTTTTAAAAATTGCCATATCAGCAGCCATGCCTACAGCCATATCAATTTAAAGAGAACAACTCTTTTTAGATTTCCACTTGCTACACTAAAACAATCTGGTTCTAAATCTTTTCCTCAATTTTATATTATGTTTTTACGTTTTATTATTAGTTGGTAGTTATCTAAATTTTATTAAAAAAAAACAATATTTGAGTTTAATGTATAACGTTCGTATAATGTTTAAGTAAATCCATTGTATTTATTGTAAAATTCATATTATGATATAATAAAATAGTATGTAATAGGTATTTACTTAATAGCTAATATCTCTTTCTATACTGATCGGTTTATTTTTATCATAATCAGTATATATAAAATAATAAGCCAATTGACTGATCTATCAACGCACAACTCAAACCATTGGACAGATCGGACTGGAATTTGGCATACAAATAGCTATTATGACGTAGGCATTCGCTAAGAAAAGATTTTTGAAAACTAAACCCCTAAGGGGGTTAAAAAGGGTAAAAGAGGTAAAAATTTAAAACGGTTTTTTGTTTCGATTTTTTTGAAATTAATCATACATACTCTGTAACACAAATACACATTGTCTATAAACTTTATTTTGTGAAATTTAACCCCTAAGAGGATTAAAAATCTTAAAAAGTGTAAATATGGGAAACATCGATTAGCCGAAACCGCTAAAGTTATGATTATGATATTTGGTCAGTAATTTTGTTTCATGGCGTAGACATCCACTAAGAAAGTATGTTTAAAACTACTAAAAGGGTAAGTAAATTATGGATATTTCCTGAATTCCGATTTTAATTTTGAAAATATATATGTATACGTTGTTGTCTGGATTATGTTCGTTAACCTAACAAAAATTAGTTAACAATCAAATTATTACAAATTTTAATAATATGAAGATCAAATATTCTTTTTAGATGCTCTAGGTGGAACCAGCAAAACTTTCCTAATCAATTTGCTTTTAACGAAAGTTAGAAGTACTCGTGACATTGCCTTAGCTGTAGCTTCTTTTGGAATCGTAGCTACACTGTTCGAAAGTGGTCGATCTGCTCATACTACCTTCAAATTACCACTCAATCTAACAACTTCGGATACTCCCGTTTATAATATATTAAAACAAAGTAATTTTGCAGAAGTATTAAAATATTCAAAAGTAATAGTGTGGGACGAAATTACAATGGCACATAAGGGTGGTGTTGAGCCTTTATAAATAGATCTCTAAAGGATATAAGGGGAAATTGTCTACAAAGAGGTTTTGTAGATAATATTTTAAATAACTATTAGTAAAACATTTATTTTAAACCTTCACTGCTAAAACTTATCACAAATGAAGCTACGAACGAAAAGCCATAACTAATAGAATAGGTTATGAAATAAAATTGTAATAAAATGGTAATACAATTGTCTTAATAACTAATTAATATGTATAAAATACTATTTAAACAATCTTAATTAAATTTTATTTAAATAGAATAAACAATATTTAATCTTACCAGATTACATACATTTGTATACTTAAGCCCGGCAACGACAGGTAATTCAGCTAGTATATTTATATGCTATATTTACATGTCTAATGCTATACATTTTTTTGTAATTATTATGAATATAATAGGTATTACTTACCCTTAAAATTCTATAAGGACTATCTGTTAACAAACATACATCTCCGTCGACTGTAGAACTCTGACAAAAAATTAGTGGCGTAAGACTAAGTTTTTCACTTGACGATAATACTCTAGCTGTGCCACTAACTTTACTTCCGTGTATTCGTCTCATTTGAATCAATTGCCACAAACGGTTTTTCTATAAACACAATACGGTTTAAAATAAATATAAAGTCAAAATTAAATACCTATTATATTTTTAGGCAAACTTATAATATCATGAAATAAACCAAATATGTAAACCTTTTACCTAATACTCTACGTCTCTACTGGTTGAAAAAGGAAAATTTACTATTTTCCAAACTATACCTTATTTATTATTATTATTTATAGGTATACGGAGTGATTTTTTTTATCATGAACCAGCAATTACTTCAGAGTATTTTTATAATCCTTCCCTACTCCTCCAGTCTAAACTTTAAACTGTTATAACGCATAAATGGTAAATCTGATATTAGTATTATGCATATCAAAATTTCTAAATAAATATTCTCTATTCAAATCTGTGTTCAAAGGGGGAGGGGTTCCTATTTTAAAATCAAAATTAAGCACTTATTTAAGGTATATGGATGAGTAGGTAGGGGTAAAAATTAAAAATAGTCTTAAAATAAAGCTTAAACTATTCCATAATGATTGAAAAAACCAAGAATCAAATTCACTTAAAATACTCTGATATAATTGGTGGTTTATGATAAAAAAAAATCACTCTGTATATATACTATGTGAGGTACCTAGGACACAAGAGGTATAAGTGAAATTTTTAAAAAATCTGAGTTAAGAGCTGAACTAAAAATATTTCAGTTTATTTTGTGGTAAAGAAGTAAAAGATTATTCTTCATGTTCAAAAATGTTATAACAGATTAGAAGTTAGTACACTTATTTCTCTTTACTGCCAAGTGGCTAAATATTTTTTATCATTCGAATATAAGAACAGTGATGTTAATATGCTACTTATAATAATTTAATTAAATACAAATACAAAATGTCACTTAGGTCTGCGCACCCATAGGCGTGCGCAGACCTTGCTAGCAGGAGGGGCAAAATATATGTTATATATTATGTCTATGTAATATAATGGAATATTATTTTGGTTATTACTTGTTACTTATTAGTATGGTTCAAATTCAAAGGCAATATGACCAATAAAAAAAGCATTTAAAATGTGTAAAAAGACAAAAAAAAAACAAAACATTTAATTTTTATAAAAAGCAATTGTTAAAAAATTACTAAAAAATTACATAGATTTCAGTTGATTTACCTGGTTTGTATAGAAAACAAATTCACTACCATGTACTTAAATAAATTGTCTTCATTAAAACGTTGACGGTTAGTCTCAAAATATTTATGTAGGTACATACATAGAAAATGATCGGTTTACATCCATTGAAGTTATTAGGGCGTATTTAATATTACTACTTATTAAATCGTCATAGCCATATCCATCAAAATGAAATTTATAAGTAAAAAATACAAAAAAAGAAAAAAATAGTTGATACTGGTAATAGGTGCAGCCACTGTTGTAAGTGGGTATTGGGTAAGGTGAGTTACATAAAGTTATTTAATTTATACTTGTAACCAACTATAAATCAAAACGAAAAACGATTCGGAGCAAATTTCGGTTATACATGTTTAGAAAGGAAGATATTAAAATTTATATTAAAAAAAAAAATACTACATAAAGCTCAAATTTTTTTTGTCTACAAAGTATAATATGTATGGAACCTCCTGTTAAATTCTTAAGCATTTCTGTTACATCTAAAAATTTTATTACCTATCGAATAAAAATTATGCACAAAACTTGCAAAATTAAAATGTCTATAATTAACTCAAAAATGGATAAAATATTTTCAACATTTTAACACGTCTGTCAAAATTTCAAGTTTTTATAAATATACTAAATTACATAAAAAAAAAAACAAAATTAAAATAATAAAAGAATTTTTACATACATTTTCCCGTATTTTATCAGTTTTGCTCAATTATTAATAAAAGTGCAAAGAAAATCAAAAAATAATTTTCTTATTCATAAATTAAATTACAAATTCAAGAAAGAAGATCTTTTGATGATTTTTTATTGGAGCAATATATATGGTAGAAAACATAATTCATAAGAATGTAAAATAATGAAATCGTAAAGCCGTAAATTTATCAATTTTAATTTCATGTTTTTTCCGGTTTCTTTCCTAATTATTAATAAAACTATAGAGAAATAAAAATTAAAAAAATAATACAATTTCGAAAAACGAATAAACCAGATTAAAATTGCAACAAAAAAGGGCTCTTGTTATTTATCTATTGGAGCAATATTTATGATAAAAAAAACATAAGCCATATAGTTTAAAATAATGAAATCGTGCCGTAAATTGAACAAAATCGTATATATTTCGTCTTTTTGGTTTTTTCCAATTATTATGAAAAATACTTTAGATATCAAAAACCACTTAGCTTGTCAGAGGTGAAATATAATAAGGAACAAAATTGACCTCTTGTTATTTTTGGATTGGAGCAATATTTTTAGTAGAAAATACCATGTTAACATAAAAACAATGAAAATGGTAATGCCGCGGTTTTTCCCAATTTTCTTCAAAAACCCCTCGGAAAGTCGAAAAATGACTCTTCAATATACCACTGAGAAAAATTATTTTTCAGAAGAGGTACTACAGTCTATAGTTCGGAGCAAGTTTTCTGGTAAAAAAGTTGTTTTGAAAACAAAAATAAACAATAACACACATCACAGTAAAACCAATATATCCCTCACTACAATCCGAATCTAATACATCCATCATTTTCGATATTAAATGAAACCTATTTTTGTATATAAATTATTTTTCTATTATTATTATTAAAAAAAAAATGTTTTTGCCTTAAAATTCTAACTTTTATAAGTAACAAAAATTTAGGTCAATTTTGAATAAAGGTTTAAAATCCTAGTTTGGCCAAATAATCATTGAGAATACTCATTCCATTTTCAACTACATATTTGTGTGAAAATGGATATTCCATAATGACTACAATAAAAAAATAAAACTAAAAACCGACTGGAAATTTCAACAACTAGGTATGAGAATTAGTTTAATAAATTCTATTAAACCTAGAATTGAGGAAATAATTTCAGATCAATTGATAATTTTTAGGCTTTAGGTTTTAAAAATTTCCACAAATTGTAAAACCTGTAAAATAGTAAAATATAATTTCTTTTTAATTTTAGGTAACTATCATCTGTTACATAAGTGATTAATTATGAATTATGTTTTATAAAGTCATCATAATCTAATTATCAATAAAATTATTGTTTGTTAAAAATTAATATCAAACATTACATTTTACTATCAACATTATTATAAACTACTCACTTGTCACAATCAAACATATTTATTTAAAACCATCAAATAAGAATGACCTTTTAAATATAGGAATATTGTTTTCCAAGTGTGAACCTATAATTGTAATAATATGTTTAAACAGTACATAAACATTGTTTCACATTTTTAACACTGATTATTTAATATCTTAAGAGTTGTCATTTTAATATTATAATATCTAGTTTAAAATATTTAAGCACAAAATGAAAAAAGAGTAACTAAACATTAAACAATTATGTAATTTAGGTCAAAATAATTATCTATATAAGATGCATAAGATAGATAATTTGTAATTTAAATGATAAATGTATAAATCTTAAGTGAGTAGGTTAGGCTAGGTACCTAGCTATATTACCTGCATCGGGAAATAAAAATTGCTGTTTAAAAATAATGACTAATTACATTAAAAATTTTAAAAACCATTCTACATATAAACTTATGTACTTTATATTAAATGGTAATTTAAACTGTCCCAAAATTTAATTTTACACGTATAAAACTACTATAAAACGAAAAGATGATGAACAGAAATATTCCTTGGTTACATAGAGTTTTGTGTTAGGAAGTTTTCACTCTACTGTAGACAGATTACTTAACATACCTAACTACTTTTATAACTACATACCTATTTTTAATAATAGTAATAAATTAACCATCCCCATTTTTGTCAATAATTTTGTTGCATGTCTGTAATAATAAGAATTACCGTTGGGAAATCATTATAAACCACTTATTAAAATGAGAATTACTACTGGCATTACTAGGCCATTGCATTATAAAATATAACTTAAGCTTTCAATAGACAAGGGGACTATGTTATATAAAACTTACTGAAACAGTATTATGATAATAATATCTATTCCAAACATCTTTTTAATATACTTTACATACTAGGTACATATTCTTATTTTAACATACTGGGTGAATTAAATTGTAAATCAATAAGAACATATTGCTTTGTATCAAACTCAGGCACTGAAGGGTACCTATAAGACAGGTTTTTACTATAAATACTGCAAACTACCACACTTACAAAAGTAAATAATTTACCTACTTTATAAAATACATATAAACATCAATGTAAGTATACATACTATATAGGTAGGTACTAGTATTTGTATTCAATGATAAAAGTAGGTACCTACCATAGTAGAATAAATTGAACATTCATTAATGGGTTACCACTGTCTTAGTTTGATCACTAAGTAGTAATATGGTAGTATTAGAAGTATAGGTAGGTACCTACCTATATACCTACCTATTTAAATATTACTGAATAATGGAACATAGTATAAATGAAAAATACATAAATATGTTAATAATATGACACACAATAAACCAGTAGGGTAAATGTTTCATCCACTAAACCTTGCCACTTTGAACTACTTAACACCATAATTACTATCAAAAAATACCTAAAGAACTTTTTTGTTGCATTGTGAATCTAGTTGCTGAATAAGTAAGTTAAATTTTGATTTTCCCATCACTTTTTATAATAATTGGATCATTATAAAGTATCATAATAATATTGGGTATAATAGGTAGGTATATTTAATATAGGTAGTTAATAAGAGGTATAAGCACTCATTGGTACACACAGGACGTGGAGAAGCTAACGGACTGAAGCCTCCCTCAATTTCCATATTATCATTTCATCAAAATTAACTTCAATATGTAAGAATGACAGTGGAATTTCAAGGATTATAAACTAGATACCTACAACAATCAACCATCAATATACTACATCATTGTACAAATTGTACAAATATTCAGATACTTTTAAGACTGTTTGCCACATTCGACCTTCCCAATTACTTCAGCTACATCAGAGAGAACATTTTCAATGTTTGAAATCATACTTAAGATCAACCATGGTGGAAGACCATCTTAAACTCTTAACGAATTAGTTACAGCTTACATAAATAATACAGATTGAAGTACCTAGTTTAAAATGTTTTAAAACATCTCATCTAAACGTCTGTTATTGTCAAAATAGAAAAATAAAAGTAAAATTGTATTGTCCATTATTTTTCTGATTAGGTTATTTTTTTTTATTTTTATATTTTTGTGTACCTACCTATATTTTATGTTTACCTAATATCAGTAAGAATTTAAAAAGCACCTAGTTTATTTTTCAAACCCAATTTGTGACAACTGAATAATTATATATTTTAAAGCCTCCTCCTATTGAAAAATAATACGTACGACACTGTAAGTACTATAGATATATTTAATTTAACAAGCATCTAAAGAAATAAACCTAGGAAAAATAATTCTTCATTCAATTCAACACAACAGTAGTTGTGATTGTGTTTCGTGAGAAATTTTGTTTCATGTCGATACCTATTTACATTATAGTATTGAAAAATAAATCTATTCATACTTCAAATATGCAGCACATATTTACTAAGTAAGGTAACGATGAGATACCTATAAACATATAGGTATACCGATTTTTGAAATATATTATAAAAATAATAAACTCGTGAAATGGTAAGTAGGTACACTGCTGCATTGTTTCAAAATCAGAAATCAAAGAAAATTTGGTTGATTTCCTCGTGCATAATAATATTGTATTTATTACTCTTTTAGAATTTAAATAAATAAAATACATAGATTGATATTGCTACACGTGTCAAGGTACCTACTTTTAATATATATGCAAAATATTATTATTGTTACAGTTTTACATAAATACAATATAAAATATTACTAATAATATATACGAATTTATAATAAACCAAAGTACCTACCTACTTATATTTTTCATTTGAATACAATTCAGTAATATAATACAAAAGCTCAACTTGAAATAATAATGTAACAAACTAACAACAAAAATGAAAACATAAATTACAAAAGGGGAAAACTCTTAGTATGTACGTATTAAATTAAAAAATAATTAATTCAATTCACATAATAATTATTTCATTACCTAAATGAAATCAAGGTAGGACATTGCGATATCAGGCATTATTTTAATAAAAAAAATAGTAATAATATTAATAGTTAACAAAAGTTAAAAACAATAAAAACAGTAACGCCACAGCACGTCACGCCCTAAGTATTTGATATTTTACCTATAATTTTCTTTCGGGTTTTTCCTAATTATTTCAAAAACCTCTAGAAAAATCAAAAATTATTTTTTTAACGCACCAACTAGAGAAAATTTCAGAAAAGATACTACACTCTATACATCGGAGTAAGACTTTTTTTTAAAAGTTGATTACAGACAGAAAAAATTATAGGACAATACACATTAAACGAGACATGTAGCCTCATAATAGGTTGCTTAAAGAATATACCACTCGGAAAGATCTTTTCTCTAGGCTCTAGCAGTCATTGGCTCCCTTGATATACGCCAGGAAGTTAAGGCTGACTGGGAAAAAATGTAACAAAAAAACGACAAGCTACATCCAATGTTTGGAATCCACCTATTATACGCCTGAATTCAAGGAAGAGCTTCTTAAAATGCACACAAATATTGGAAAAAACCCAAGATCGAGAAAGGATCGACAGATGAAAACTTTCTCTAGACAAGAACACCAGGAAGTGGGTGAAACTAGCCGAACATCTACCAGCAGGAAATAATATAGTGGCCCGTGTAGGAAACAATAGATAGACTAAGAGTAAGAGTAGGTCGACCCAAAGAAAATCAGGTAAAATGGGGCCTCATTTTTGATGAATACATAAATTGTAATTATGGATAAGTTCATACCATGACCCACTTATTAAAAATTGTATTTATTTCAGTATATTTTTAGATTTATATTTTAATATTATTTATTTTTTATTGGCCCTCCTAATTCTTAAATCCTGGCTGCACCACTGCAATAGACGACATTGTGTCAGCAACCTAGGATGGAATAGAAGTTGGCAATTTCTGGTATGGAAGAATTTGGTTACAAATAGATCGAGCGTCATTGATACCCGGTAAATAATCTGATAAGAATTTACACCAGGTCAGAGATATTCTGATCTCGAAACAATATGGTCCCGAGTCATTTAGATCCACGACATTTTTAGATCTCGGCCATATGGAGATACATAGTTCCATTTATTATTGATTGTCATAATTGGTAGTGCTATGTTAAAAATGAACATAATGATTAATAATTTACTACTTTACCAATGGCTCATCCCCCAAACAAATTAGGTAATTTTGAATTTACAAAGAAACGCCATACCATAGTTTCAAAAATATAAGTATAACAAATACCTTATGGTATTCAATTAAATCTACCTAATGTTAAATTAATGAAATTGGTTTGGTGTTAATAAAATATTATTTCAGAAGATTTAAAAACTTATTCATACAATGACCTAATTATTAATACCGAGATAAAAGATTTTCGAAAATTATATTTACCCTTAACCATATAATCATATTCTTCTAACTTCATGACAATTTAATACATTGTGGCACTTAAATGAAATTGAGTTCGGGGTTTTGGGAAGTGCGAGGTTCATATTGCTAAAATTATAGTGAAGTAGTATATTATTTTAAAGTTCAAACAAAATATTAATCTTTGTACCTACGACATACCAGCTTTTATGATAATTATATATACTGATAACATTCGGATATCTGGACTAGATCAAGATAAGATAATTTAATCCCGAGACAAGGACAAGTAGATGCACACTGTTACCAAAGATATAGTTGGGATCTAAATGACCAGGATCCTATTTGTTCATACACCAAGAATTTGACACACAACTCCAAACTTATCAACTATTGTTTACATGTAATTGTTTTATTTTATATTTACATAATACTTTTTTATTTATATTATCTACTCATATCTATTAATTTTAATCTGTCATATTTATAAAGGTTACACGAATAAATAAATTAGAGACTATTTTGTAATTTTGTTAATTTTTATTTTATTCGGGCGCGGTTTGCATGTTACCTTTTTACACTCGACACAATTTAACCATCGTGAAGTGATTTTAAGTTTTTATATCGGCAACACTGGTGATCCGGTCCAAACATAGATACATAAAATACGTATTTGGCCGGTTACACCAAGACACGAGGTTTATGACAAGGTAATAAAGAAACGTTTATTTACAACATTAAGACATAATACAAGTGATCGCCAGCAGACGGCTTTTGACGGAGGAAAGGAGAGCACGCAACAATGAAAACAACATTAGTTAAGAAAAACAATCATACATAATAATTATTCGGAGTCGGGAACAACGCTTCGCGTACGGTGTCGGTGCAGAGAGAGAGAGGAGCGGTGGTGACGTCAAGACGAGCGGAGCTTTGGACGATGACCGCTGAACGCCGACAGCGAGGGGCGTGGCCGATGTCCGCCGTGGGAAGAAGAAATGTGGCGCGAAACCCGCCACACGTAGATGGCGAACTCATATCTATTATTAAAGTCAGACGCCATTTACAGGTTAGGCAAAAACGATATTGAATTATTGATATTTAACGGTTGTTATTTTTATTATTACATTGTGCCCATTGTGAGATAATAAAAATCAAATCGATAGTACTTATATCGATGTCAATTATATTCTATTTAGCATTCGTTTATGCCCCACCTCTAAACTGTTGTCAAGTCTGTTGCCAGTATGCAAATTTTGCTTTCTAGGTATTTTATATATCTATGGGTACACAAACGAACCGAATCGTTTTAAATGAACCTAACCATTTTTTACATCATAAGTTAAATATAATAAAAAAGAATGAACGGAGAAAAACTAAGCAAAAGAAATTGGCATAAATAATACGCGTGAGGTGTCTTAAAAACCTTCGGTGTTTATCCTACCTAACCGGCACTGTTCCAGTTCAAGTGTGGCGTCTTTAGCGGATTACGATCCAACTATTTAATCAATTTTGTGTTTCTTCTATCTTCTGGAATAGAAAAATTTCTTTTCATATTAAATAGTATATATCGTATTTATTATTTAAAATTGATAATTATTTCGTGTTATGGTTTTTTTTTTTTGCAAGTTGGTGTTATATTCCATGTTTTATATTCGTATATTCAAATATTCAATATATTACAAAACACAAATTGCAATTCAGTTTTTTAATGTTAATATGCCAATTTCGTCTACATAAAAGAGAAAAAGCATCACATATTTTCAAACCAGATACCTTGTATTGATATAAGTAAGTATAATATCACAATTTAAAATAGCCTACAACTTGACTAAAACTTAAAATATTGAAAACCAATGATGTGTGAACACAGTTAATATTCTTATCTTTAAGTGTGGCAATAGTTCAGTGGTCACAGGTTAGTCCCATTATTTAAAATCTTATATCTTGGTCAGTCCACTGTAATATTAAAACTAGCAAAACAAAGTTTGTCCTATTAAACACAAATTTTGCTAATTTATAAATCACATGTGCTGTCTCCATCTATAATATCTTATAAATGGAGACAGCACATGTGAGTATTTATAACATTATTTTAATTAATCATGCGGTACTTGATGAAGTGTTAAATTCAATATTCTCATTAAATTGAGTAACTTTGATTTGATTTATTTTTTAAAGGGTGGTTAAATCTACTAGGTCAGCCAGTATATTTTTTAGTCTATCATTATAATTTTAAATATATTAAAGTAGGTGATATAACTATTTTTTTTTAAACAATATAATCTTACCCCTACTACAGCATCATCAGTTCGTTGAACATTCTTACTCCCAGCTAATACCCACGACATCCATCTGATGCTACCATCTCTTGTTGGTTCTTCTTTCATATTTCTAAATATTAATCACTTCAATTTATCCAATATTGAAATTTTATTCAAATTTATATCACCAAAATATTAGTTTTCAGTTCTGCTGTAAAATAATTATACTTAAAATCACTGAATGCACTTTTCAATTTGAACATATTTAAGTAAATTAATAATTTCATGCATGTTACACACACATCATTCTAAGTTATGTTTCCTTTATACTATCATTACCTAAAACTATATTTGAATGATGCACAAGTGTGATCTACGTACATTCACATACCAAGAAACGACTGAACTGAAGCGGTATAAAAACACATTATAGAAAATTGTTTTACCCTCGTATATAGTCATAGTTGATTCAATGAGCATTTTTAGGCATTCCTTGTTTTTCATATGGCTTATATATATGTATGTATAATGATTACATACACAGATACACATGCATAATATATGATTATACATTCAAATGTGCACATTAAAAATATAGTTAATTATTACTAACACTATGTACATAATAATTTACATAAATTGGGAAAAAAAAATAATAACATTAATAATTATAGAGAATAAATTTTCATATAAGTTCTAGCGGGTAGGTAGATAACAACTAACAACATATCAAATTTTTTTGGAACACACATTTAAGCAAATACACATACTTTAGTACATTAATGTAACATAACATAACATATACTTATTACCTGAAAAGGTTAGGTTAGGCTTTGTTACAGTATTGCCTATAACAACCACTAAAATAATATAAATATGAATATAATAACTTGGTAGGAAGGAAAAATGGGGTTTATCAAGAGAAATCGAAATTAATAAAAAAAAATATCTATTTTTGTACTTCAAGTTCAAATTTCAAGTTAATTTTGTCGATGACGATAGTGGTCATTGATTTAAAAAATTCAGTACTTGGTACCTCTTTAAATACAGTAACTTACTATTTACTAATTAAGTGTAATTTTATTGATATAATAAATATTTATAAAACAACAAATAAGTTATCTTATAGGCAGAGTACATAAAAGATGAATAGATATTTAGATAATAATAATAATTGATTTTGTCTAGCTAGTGGTAAATAACTACTTTAGGTAGGTATTTAATAATTATTTTAAATTCTATATTATACAATTTTAAATAATTGAAAATGATACATTTTAAGATTTTTAACATGTAATTTACATGAAGACTTATGTATGAATTTATTATTTCTATTATATGAAATCGTTCAACAAACAAAAAGAAACCTAATAAAATCACAGTTAAATATTATGAACATTTCTTATTTGTCATTAATGAATAAGTGTGTGTTTAAAATTACTATTAAAAATATAAAATAAAAATATTATACTATAAATAAAATTAACTATTCAATGAGTTCCATTTATACATTAAGCAATTGTACCCCATTACCTCTATAGATTTGAAATTCGCCCCTCCCCCAGAACTGAAATATATCTACCACTGACTATCGACAAAATCAAAGGCATATGCAAACTGAAAGATAGTTAAAAATGAAAGAGAGATTATTTACGAAGATAATGGGTCTTTGATAACCTCAAGCGAAGAGTAAGATAAAGCGATGATTTGGGATAAATGGATTAGTAGATTAAGGGATGAGTACTTTTATGAAACATTGAATTGTAACGAACCTAAAAATATGTTCAATTTTGAACTAGAATCTTGAATAGGTATGAGTATCTAAAATGAATGTTTGAAGAACTAAAGCTTCAAATAAAAATGCTAAAAACCATTAACCACCTTACGAGAAAAATCCAAACTAGAATTGTTTATTGAATTTAATTAAGAATTGATTAAATTATGGAAACTGACAAAATATGTCTGGAAATTCAAAAAAAAAAAATGAAAATAAAAATTTAATTTTTCTCTTTATTTCACCCTCACACCAAACCCAATTGAAAAATAAAAAATTTTTAATTATGAAAAGTTATAAGCTTTCAGATAATACTGTTGGACGTCTTGTATATTATGGAAAATGCATATAAAAAGATGGACATACTTTGCACAATGGGTTAGAATTAGTAATGAGCAAAAATAACAGTGATTTATAACAGTTACTATAAGAGTAGCAATTTTCACTTGGAAGAAAAAAATACTGTTATTGTTATTTTTTGGTTTAGCTGTTACTGTAAAAGATATAACTGTGTTATTTATTATTTCTTGTATTTTAGATTCGGGGCGTAGCGAGGCATCTATTTATTGGTTTTTCTTTTACTAAAAAACTCTGTAACTAGGTAACATAATATCTGCTAATTTACATCTTGTACTCAGTGAGTCTATTAAACTCCTAACCCCTCCATTCACTATTAGTATGCTACAGCATTTTGAATTATATCACACAATTAAATATCAGTATTTGTAAAATTGTATTGTTAGTATATGAGTAGCAATAATAATTAACATGCGGCTCGCTGTTATTAATTTTAGATACTATTAAAATAACAGCTAGAAATTCGTTGGTACAACCGAGTGTAATGGTTTACTAACACTCGATACTAGTATAGATATTTGACGATGGAAATCGGTGTATCCCCACCATTGTCCAAAATTAACAATAGCAATTTGCACTGTATACTATCAATTATTTAAACTATTAGTATATTATACTTCCCATTTCCGGCTAATAAGTATTTAATAAAAATTAATTTGAATAGGTATTAATTGTTATCAATTAAATTATTATTATTATCATTTATCTGTTCGTTTTTTATTCGTAGGAAGAAATGAGAGGGGATGATACCGGTGTAAATAGTTTGCACTGTATGCATATGATGGTGCAGAAAAATTAAACTGGTGTCGTTAATTTTAACACCGGTTACTCCAAAAAATGTCTCTAATTTACACCGATTTGATTTTTAAGGGGAAATTTACACCGGTTTGTACTAACGAATTTCTTGCAGGTTACCATCATCTTAGATGTAAGCTTGTAAATTGTTTTTCATTAAAATTTTCCTAAGGGGCGTGCTCGTTATTATTAATTTTAAAGTAAAATTTTAAATTTAGGCAATTTCTATTCACTTTTCACGTCAACGGTGGCCGGGAACTTTGTCGTAGACGATTATTAGTGTGAGTAAGCTTCTATTCGTGCACTGTCAAAGCGATTCCACCACCTTCCCAGTCAATGTAAACAGATTCACTGTTTATTTTTGCACAAAATAGATTAAAATTCACTGCCGCCATTCCTGCCGTAGGTCTATCGCCGCGCACCTCTTCGTTATCGCCAATTTATAGCCGGATTATAATATAATGTTATTATAGTTATCCGTTCATCCTTCGAACGAGATAACGACTTTTGGATTGCTAAAATGGAAAATCGATTGATACATTTTTAAAGAAATTATTTACTAACAAAAATAGTGCAATCCAAAATAATATAAAATGTAGCAAATAATTTTAATATAAATTTGTCTTTATTTCTTATGTCCGTGTAAAACCCTTCTACCAGAAAAACTTGCTCCAACGTTTAAACCATTGCATCTTTTCTGAAAGTTAATTTTCTTTTGTTGGTGCATTAGGGAGATCATTTTTAATTTTCCAAGAGGTTTTTCGAAATAATTGGAAAACTCGAAGGCCAAAAAATAACTTTAGGCAAAACGGCAAATATCTGCGACGCGCGGTGGCGTTAACATTGTTTTTAATTTGTATTATGTTAACGCGATGTTTCTACCAGAAAAATAATTGCTCTAATCCAAAAATAATCAGAGATCGATTTTTTTTTTCTTATAATATTTTGTCACTGACAGTAATTCGTTTTTTGATATCTAAAGTATTTTAAAAAAACCAATATACAATTTTATTCAAATTACGACACAACAATTTCAGTATTTAAAATTTGTACTATTTATGTTTTCTACCATAAATATTACTTCAATATATATAAATTCTTAAATAATATTGCTTAAATATTAAATAAAATAATAAATAATAATATTACCTCAATATATGTATACGACAAGAAATCTTTTTTATTGCATTTATAATCTTGTGCATGAGTAAGTTATTCGTTTTTTAAATTTTCCCTTTAGTTTTGTAAATAATTGAATATAATCAAAAAAAAAAAAACTTCCTGAACTTCATAAAGTTTTCCCCCGAAATTCGTCAGACTTTTTTCAGCTTTTTAATGTACAGATAGAAACACACATTTTGAAAAAAAAAAATTTGAAAAATGAGCTTGGATCGTAAAAATGTCTAGGGCGGGCTATTGCTCCCCTTAATAGGCCCTCCGAAACATCATCGTCACTGCCAACTAGATCTAAAATGCAATTAAAAAGATATCTTGTAATTTTTCGATTGGAGGAAGTTTAGCTGATTTCCAAGTACATTGGTGTAAAAATGTGTTATCACTGCACACTTGTAGTACATACCGTGGTATACACTCACTTTATAGTTAAGTGTAATCACATGAAAAACACTACAACTACAGTCAAGGAATTTGATATTTTTGATTGTAAACATTATTATCATAGTTAAATTATTATTCACCTTGGCGCTAAATTATTATTGCATACGATAAATATAATTTTTAATAAAATATCTATGGTTCAGTGTTATAAGTATCTTATCACTTTATATTATACTTGAATTAAAATATTGTGTTTGTCGTTCGATTTTTTTTTTAATTTGTGTTTATTTGTCATTTTCTTTTACTCGCAAGACGAAATGCTTTACACACTACGATAAATTTTAAATTAGTAGATCGGCATTTATTATTGCTATAAGTATAGATATATATAGGCGTGATAGTATGTAAGTATTTTAACATTTATCCTTTCATGTTAAATTACAGTACTTAGTTAATAGATACATCTTACTAATCTATACACCAATTTAAATTTATTTTAAACCTATTTACCCTACCTACTTGTTTTAATATTTAAAGTAAATGTGTAATCTGATTTTTTTCAAACGCGTGACAACTATGTTTTATTTCTATTAATTATAGTCTTTAAATATGAGGTTCGCCCATACATCCATTAAATAAATATATAAATATTAAAAACTATTATTTTTCAAAATGCATTATCATTGCTTATTCTACTTATTGTTTTATCTAACGTTTACCTACCCTTAACCAGCTGTATAAGATGAATTAGCTCATTTTTACTTACTTATGTATTCGAAATAGTTTAATTTTCCCCCCTTGACCTACTCAACTTGGTTTTTATAACAAATTAACATATATTTTTGATTTGAGAAATTCAGTAAACCAGTGCCAAATATGCAGATAATTATCCTATAGATTTTATCATTAATTAAATCAATAGTTTTATTTATTTTTTTATTCTGTTCATAATAATATATTATTTTCATTATTTACAGTTAGAATATAGTTGGCACAGTTAAAATAATAACCAAAAAATTAATAATGTAGGCTAATGAACCTATTTTATTTTAAAACAAATCTACATGTAAAATTACATAAAATATTGATAGGGTACTTAGTACATTTACATTGATAATCTAATTTACGTAATACCTTATAACATTTTTATGTAATTAAAAAATAAAATTTGAATTCATTTTTTTTTATTAGAAACTTTATGATACAATTAGCTTATTTTTAAATAGAGCCTTATAAAAAAAACATACTTATATGTGAAAAATAGCATCATGCTTTTTGTGCAAAATTTGGTCTTTAGTTATAACAACTTGTTCATTATTCTTGTATATTTAAACTTTAAAGTCAAATAAATCTGTTAATTAATTGTTCATAGATTATCAAAATATATTAACATGTCATTTTTAACAACATGATCATATTTCTAGCAAAATGCTTGATATAATATATTCAACTATAATCATATAAATCTATATACTAAGTTAATTTTTTAAGACAAATAATGAATATTATCATAATAAAACATTTAAGCTTATAGGTTGTTTGGTGCACTAATGTAATTTTATTTTTATTAGGTATTTACAATGGACAAAAAGAAGAATAAAAGATCAGTTTTGGAACATTCTCACCATACTACTGGATATTCAATTGAATTTGGCGATACAACCTTTCAGAAAACTCTGGAGGAACGCATACAGGCAGCTAGAATTGCTTCCTCACAAACTAAGCAAACAAAAAAACAAAATAGTAGCAGAGCAAATTTAATCTCCACAAATAATATAAGTTCAATTGTACAAAATATTACTGTTAAAAATACAGTAAATAATAATAATAATAACAATAATTGTGATAATAATCTATATTTACAAAAAAAAACTAAACCATCTACATTTAAAATAAATGTTGAATCTAAAGCTAATATATTTTCTTCTTCTAACTCTACTGAAACTGAGAGTACAAGTACAAATACTAATTCTATACTGAATACAAGTTATGCTTTTATATCCTCATTCAAAGGAGGACCAATGCAACGTCGACTTGAGGCTATCAAGTCAAAAAAGTTAACTAACACAAATGCTTTCAAATGTGATGATGCTTTAGAATCAACCAAATATTCAAATAATTTTAGTAATCAATCTGATATGATAATAAAAAATCATGCTTCTAAGCAGTGTGATATTAATGTTAACAAGTATGATGAATATAATAAAAAATATCCCAGTAGTGAGATACAGCTAAATACATTATCTGGTCACTGTGATCGTACTACAATTAATGTTTCGAATACTTCAAGTAAGTTTAAATATACAGTTATTTTTATTTCTATTTTCACTGACAATTTTATATATTTCTGGTAGATCAAGATTGCTTTTTTCAGTTGATATTAAAAAATTGTATTACAAATTTAATAGAACAATTTTTTAAGATGACTTATTAATAACAATGTTAGTTTTAATTTTGGTATATGTACATTGTACAGTAAAAATTCTTGATAAAATGAAGTTTTTAATGGTAAAATAGAAATTTGATAAAACTATTGTGATGTCAACAATGTGTGTTAAGCATTGAATAAAGTAGACCAAGAAGATGAAATAAGAATGGAAATAGTATAAAGAAAAATATTAAATTAGAGGTGTAGTGTAACGAGGTTGAACTGAATTTAGAATGAATATAAAAATAAGATAATAAATATGAATATAAGAGTTGATCTAGGAGTAGTGATTATAACAGAAAAAATAGAATAAAATAGATGCTGAGAAGGTAAACGATGAGATAATTAATAAATAATAATGTCTATATATTTATATAACCTATAATAATACTGAAATTTCAGTAATCATATAGTTTTAAAAGTTATAGATATATATTTATATTTTATAATAAATATATTGATGATAATATTTTTATATATGTACTCATAACATTAAACATGTACTTAGTTTTTAAAATTTTAAGTTTACTTATAGTTTTTTTAATTTAATATTTATATCAAACACATTTAATAGATTGTACTTATAACAAGGCAACATCTGTTCAAAATAGACTAATAAAAGCTAAAGAAGATTTAAAAGCCAAATCTATATTGATGACTGATCAAAATAATGTTTCTAAAACTGGGACAGTTAAGAAACAACTCTCATATACATGTAAGCAAATGTACATTTCAATAATTGTATTATCTAACATTTATACAAATATTACTATATTTTGTATTTTATATTTTATATTTTAACTATTAAGTACTTATAATTAATAATTATTTTTAGCAGTGGGTAATGTTTATCCAGATAAAAAGTCACCAATTCTTAATAAAACAAAAACAAAAAGATTAAATCAAAAAAAGATGCCTATATCTATTATACCTACTCATAAAAAAAATAATTCAAATGTTTATAAAGTTACCAATAACCAACAGATCTCAATAAAACAAAACAATATTTTAGTCAATAGTATGATTTCATTTAATCCACCTTCAGGTGAGATAAATTTTGAATAAAATTTTATAATTTAATGCTATATAAAAATAATACAATTTATATGTGAATTGCTAATATTTTAAATTTCAGGAACAGTTGTATTCAAAAAAATTGATGATCTAAAACAAATGGAATTATTGAATTCTTTTAGTTTTGTTATGCCACATCAGAATTTGGAAAATATAACAAAGTAAGGCAGCAGTTGTTAAATAAAAATTACTATAAAATCTTTTCAAGAATTTTAAATTTTTTACTAATTGATAATATTTGTGGGCCAAATAATTAGTACAAAAATATAATTTTTATTATTAACAGTGTTTCCCCTTAAGAAAGCTTAACAGAATATAGGATAAGGCTTTGACCAGTCAAATTTTTTAGGTCTAAATTTGGTGACGAAGTTGATTGATTTTTTAATCAATATTTATAAAATAATTTATTATTTACAAATAGTTTATTATTTTTAAATTCATTTTACTATTTTTACAATTTATTTATTTAACATTTTTTTTTTTTTTAAATAAAAAGAGTACATCACAAGTGATTAGTATAATCATTAGTATAATTTCAATTCTCTAAGTTAATAAACAATAGAGTTATTCATTATTTTTTTAAATAATTGGCAAATACACCTTGTGTATTTACTTAAAGTCATGTCACTATAAGAATACTCTGAACAAATTCCATCAAGCATTCTAAATATGTCTGTGCAGTGGCATTTATGTCATTCCTGCTTAACAGTCTATTTCAAATTTTTATTTTAAAAAAAATATTTAAATCCTTCAATTTTTTGTCTGAATTTTATAACAAACATTTATTTGGTTGTTTAATATTTTTAATTTACTGTAATCTAGATATTAGGCTAGTCTTTCACTATATGTGTTGAAAATAAATGTCAAATATTTAATTTCGCAACCTCAAAACATAGAAAGAAATATTATTTATTTATTTTACTCCATTTATTGGTCTAAATGAATGAAAAATTACCTTAAAAAAGATTTACACTCAACTAATAATGTATAATAATATTATGAATTTTTCTAGACCAGATGATGATTTTATGGAATGGGAAGATATAAGTGAACCGGATAACATAATAAACAGCGTAAGCAAGAAAATAGTTCAAACATTTTAACATTGTGTTAAATATTTAATTTGATTACTTTGATCCCAAAGGTTAATGATTTGAGAAAACAAAATCATGATTATGAACCTATGGAATGGACACCAGATACAATTATGCATTCGGATAATATTAATCACTGCTTAGTGATTGATACAAATATATTTTTAACCAATTTAAAATCGATCATTTACATTATTGATCAATACTTTCCAGGTAATGTATTGAATTAAAAAATAAGTATATTAGTCAATATAGAGTAATTTTATTTTTTTAGATTACGGTTTTCTTACAATTGTATTACCATGGCAAGTATTACAAGAACTTGATTGCATGAAAAAAAGAGAAGATGTAATTGGTTATCGAGCTCGAGAGGCAACACGATGGTTGTTAGATGTACTTTCCAAAAATCACCCAAGATTAAAAGGTCAACCTATGACAAACAAAAATAAAACTCTTCCTGATGACGCTGTTTTAAGTTGTGCTATAATTTTGAAGGATAGAGTGAATATTTTAGTAAGTAAATTACTTTTTGTTTTTAAAACTAGTATAATAAAAGAAAGTGTTTGATGTATATAATACAAATATCAATTATAAAACATAAGCCATTATTCAGGTGGGACAGATTGTTTTAAAATCGAAAAAAAAAAGTGGCCAATAATTATTTTTTGGAAATATTAATTTAATGAAGATTTTTTTTTAAAAGAAATACCCAAAAATATATTTACAAGTTCATAAAAAAAATGTTCAGGGAGTTTGTAGTTAACAAAAGTAAAATTTACATAAATGTCTTAAAATATTGTTTATTTAGACTATTATTATATTAAAAAGGAATAAGATGTTTAGGAATTAAAATTGTATACTTACTTATAGTAGTGAATTAAATATTTTCATATATTATAGTAGTTTTCAAAATAATCTTTATGGATGTTGCATTGCTTTGATAGTTATAATATGAGCATTAATATTTTAATAATTGATTTTAACTAACTTATCCTTTAGACTTACTTTTAATTTTATAATATTATTAAAGTATTTAGAGTACACATTTTGAACTAAAATATAGCATGAAAATTACCTACACAACTTATGCCATTTTTCACTGTAAGCATTTGAACAATGATACAACTGGTATTTGATAACTACACATTATCTTGTTAACTTTTTAATATGTATTCTTTAACTGTCATTATGGCTTTACCAAAAATTACAAGAAGAAAAATCCATAATATAATTTATTTTCAAAAGAATTAATAAGTTCAATATAATGAAAAAATACAAAATTCTGTCCTGGGTAAAAAGAAATTTGTTGAGTATAGTGAGTCTGGAGAAGACAGAGATACAAATATTAAAGACTATTAAAATAACATATTTTAAATAAACACTTTTATACAATGTTAATTTATTAATAAAAATGTGTACATAGCAACAGTAAGATTCTAAAACTGGTAAAGTGCATTTTAAAACTAATAACAATTTTACATTTTATGGCTTATAAAACGTATATTACATCAATATACACTGCAAATTAGTTAGGTACATACAAATAGAAAAACACGACACCTTAATTTCCTTACTAAGGGATGTATAAAAAAAACTAATAACAAATTTGGGTTCTGTGGCTATTAAATCTCATGAATTTATATTATTTGTGGTTAAAATTTTAGAATTATTATTTTTGGTTGGTATTTTTTTAAGTTCTAACATTATTATATAAGTATAGATTATTGTTTTAAACTGGTTTATAAATATTGTTGTATGGTAATAAAATTTTAACTATTTTTATTACGTATTATGTAATAACTAGAGATCGGATATTGTAACTCAATAAAATATTAAAATAAAGCAGTGCAAATTCTAAAAAATTTTAAATGATTTATTATCAATTAAAATTTTAAAAAGCTTTTTAAAATTTAAAAAAAAACAAAATACAATTTTGTATAATAATCCTTCAAACAAATTTATGATGTAGTTATGTAATGAACTAATAGAAAAAAAAATGTCTACAACATCTGAACTCTAGTGAAATAACAATGTATTACAATAATTCTTAACAAAATAAATAAATTATAAACTCTGCAAAAAATAACACGTGAAACATATATCATGAAACAATACTTTTATTTTGATAAACTTTTCATATCTTTTTACTATTTGTTATCAACTTTAACTAACTGAAACATAAAACAAAATGGAAAATTTAATGCTTGCAACATAAACATATTTTAACATTTTTCATCATAAAGAAATATGTAGTATTATTTGATGTAGCAATATTTTTTAACTGAAAAAATGTCTATAGTGTACTCTAGTGTGGGACCGACTTTATGTTACTATTTCTATTAAGTTTGGATTATCACAGACAATATGTACTTCATAAACACAAAATATTTTTCTTTTATCATTAAAATATCAAATTAACCAAAATTATAGTTTTAATTAGATCAGTTCAAAATACATATCTTAATGCAAAAAATATAATATAAATACAAATAGTGTAATTAATGTTTATACTAAATCTCCCTATAGCAGACATTAAACAATAATTGAAGTGTCTGCTATTAAGAGATGTTATTGTGAAAGTTAAAAAAAAAAGAAAGAAAAAGGTAGTATTTTCATTTAAATTAATTTTCTTCTTTTTCACTGGCATTTACAACTCTATCCGAGACTTTGTGACCATCACTACATCCCTCCATCTTTCTCGGTCTTGAAGAATTTCCTTTCATTCTTGCACTCCCAGGGCTTCAAGATCCTCTTTTACTATGTCTAGCCACCTCTTCCTTGGTTTACTTCGAGGCCTTTTCCCTTCTGGTTTCCATTCCATAACTGCTCTGATAGTATCCTCTTCATATTTTCTAATAATATGGCTGAGCCACTGTATTCTTTGTTCTTTTATGTGACTAGTGACTGGTGCTAGGCCCAGTTCTTCCTGTAATTCCTTGGATAGAGCTTTGGATTTGACGAATTTGGACAATTCAAAAGAGATACTTTCTGCCTTTACTATCCACATACTAATCTCAAATTTCAAATTCTTTGAACTGAGTAGTGCTCATATATATTTGAATTCTTCGACTTTAGAAAAGCAATTACATCTAAAACCTCTTGGTCTGTTTCTCGTACGCGTGTACACTAAGCGATGGACATGTCACTCTCCCTACGTCAATATAAATCAATTTTATTAAAAGTAAATGCATGTATTTATTTTTGCAGAATTTAGTTACAGATGATAAAATCTTAAGCATAAAATCAGAAGTTAATGGAATACATGTAAAAAATTCAAACTGGCTTCAAAATTTAGTGAAAGTTAATAGTTAAAATGACTATAACTTTTAAGGTAAGCTGACAAAATTATAAATGAGCAAAAAAAAATTATTCATGTGTACCGTAATAACTACAATGTAGTACCTAATAAAATTCTTCTTCCTCTACTTTATGTATAATATTAATGCCATTAACAGAAATTCTTTTGAATGTCTGATCAATTTAATTTTAACTGAGTTACTTTTTTTGTGTGTGTATGTGTTAAAAATAATACTTGAAAAATTGCACGTGTAACTGATACTACTTTATACACTAAAATTATTAATCTCAGATCTTATATTTAAAAAAAAAAAAAACATTTAAATAACTTTTAAAATAAGAAAATTACTATTATAAACTAAAATATCCTAATTGTTTTATCATACTTGAAGTTTAATGAATTGTGTTTTTTACTTTAAGTTAAAATTTAAAATTCAATGAACGATATTGTGTATAATAGTTTTTAATCTCATAGATAATACCACTTATAATGGTAGATTCCATTAAGTTGACATCACAAATCAATATGTTATGAAACCAAGTGAAACATGGCAATCTGTCTGAGAAATTAGTGTGATGTATTCTATTATGTTGTAAAGCTACCACACCAATTAATTTTTTTTATAAAATGTATATAATTTATCTGTTTAACAAACTATAATGACTTTAAAATTTTAAATAATGTTTTAACAAATTACTAAAATAGTAATATTCATTTTGATTAATCTGAACAGGAATTTGCAACATTTAAACAAAAAATTTTCTCTACTTCTGCTACTTTTTAACTAATCTATTAACAATTATCTTGTACTATACATATAATTTTAAATTTCAAACTATATGTTTTTGGGGAAATGTACTACAATAGAAATTGCATTGTAGTAATAAATAATACATAAAGGTAAACTTTGAAATGTAAAATTTAATTATATAGGTTATACCTAATATATTATGTGATTTATTACAATAATGTTAAGCCATAAATATTGTTAGATTTTAATTTTATTATGATCAGTTTTAGTAAAAAGTTATCATTAAAAAAAAAAATGTCACTTATATATATTATTTTCTGATTATTGCTTATTAATGTAGTTGAAACCTGTCATAATAAAAGTGATAAAATTTGATAGTACTCGTGGTATAGCATTATTTTCTTGTTTATTAATAACGACATTGTTAGTCAATATGTCTTACCTTTTAATTTATAAGCTATGTTCATATATTATTAAGATATTAATTTATAATAAGTATAAAAATATGAACCATACATATGGTATATGTATATTCTAAAATAGTTTTATAATAAGATAATAACCCCAGTGTGACAAGACATCAATGAATGTCATAAAAATGATTATTTCTACTTATAATCTCCTTGAAAAAGGTATGACAAAAGGTATTCTGTTGCGTATAAAAATCTGGATTGATAATAATATTGAATGGTTATAGATGCATTTAAATAAATACAGGGTATCCCTCAAAGATACGAGGTTTGGCTATTAAATAACGAGACTGCGCGCGGAGAGAACTGTGAATCAACATTACTATTTAACAGTTTTGGAAAAACAAGTCGTGGATCTTGCACCAGGATAACGCATCTGCCCATAACGCGCTGTCTGTGAAGCGTTATTTGGCCGCTTAAGGCACTCCAGTACTCGAACACGCGTCTTACTCACCTGACTTGGCACCCTGCGACTTTTACTTGTTTCTGAAGTCTGCCTTAAAAGGAATCCGGTTTGAGTCGATGGAAAAGGTGAAACAAAAATCGGCGGAACTCCTGAATGGTCTTACGAAAACAGACTTCCAGCACTGCCTTGAGCAATGGAAGAAACGAATGAAACGGTGTGTGAAGAGGGGAGGAGAGTATATTGAAGGGGAACATTTGATTGTGGAATAATTTTTTAAAAAAAAAAACCATTTTTCATAAGCAGTCTCGTTATTTAATAGCCAGACCTCGTATATCCATTGTAATATCTCATTGGACTACAAATATTTATATTGCAATTCATTTTTTATGTTTTGATAAAAACAAACTTAATTTTGTTATTTTTAAAAAAATTTTAATGTCCAGAGAAAAGAAAGTGTACGGTCAATTAATTGTAATAGTAATAATCAATTAAACAAAATTTTCAAAAAAGTAACTATAAAATGGCTAACTTAAAATTTTTTAAAAATAATAAAATAAGAAGTTATTTTTTATAAATTTTATCAAATCACTGAAAATTAATTACAATATAAATATTTGTAGTTTTTATTCTTGTGACCAGTATTAGTAACAGAATTTGATTATCTTTATAATTTCTGGAGATATTACAATGAGTATATCTGTGTGGAACACCCTGTTCCTGAATACTTAAATATTCTTAAAGAAAACATTGAATAAAATCTTTAAAATATAGATACTTAAAATTAATTGCAACTACTGTTAAACCTAAATGGAAATACTGTATAAATGTTATTGCACATCTAAATAATTTACTTGTTATTAAAATGTTTTTATTTTTTAATTTTTTTTATCTAAATTATGTCACATGGGATTTCAAATGTCAATCACCGAAATATTGTATCACATTACATTAGGTTTATTGAAAAAAAAAAATACCAAAAACCTCCCAATTATAAAATCAATAGATTTAAGCTCAGTTTCAACTACTGTATAGAACATATTATTGTATTTCAACATTAATAATTGTATTTTGTTAAGTTTTTACACATATTTTTCCTTTCCATAATAGTTAAACTGTCATACACTAGGATCATTCTCTACTTGAATTGCAATCAAATTTATAAAAAAAATTAATTGTTTTATTTGTTATAAACAAAACTTCATTCAAATTTTTTCAGATGACTCCTTCATATTTGACGTCTTCATCAGATTACAAATTAAAAGTAGTACATAAATGTAAAGGTATTTCAGATGACTCGCATGATTAATCAAATAATATAACAGAAAACCTACTAATTTTTTTCTTGGACGTTACTTGTGAAGTATCTTAAAAAATAAATAAAATATCTTAATAATATATATTTTGTTATAAATATAAAACTTTCACACATTTTCTTAATTAATTTTAATTTAAAAATTATTATTTTAGTATCATTATTTTGTTTTTAATGTTCAACTAAAGGCTTTTTTAATTATTTATAACTCAAAATATGTTATTTCCCCATGTTGTCTCCATTTTACAAATGCTCAACGTAGCCAATTTACGTTTAACACAATTGTGTGCTGTTAGTTTTAATATTGAAGAAAACTGACCTATTTCTAAACTTAAATGTAAGAACATTATCTATATTATTATATTGATTTTTTCATTATTTTAAATTTTCAAGTGATATATGAGTATGTAAAATATTAAAATTTAAAACTATTTATACCCCTTTAAAATTAAACAAAATATAATATTGTGTGAACAACTAATATTCTTACCTTTTGTTGATAGGTCAATTTACTTTTATATAAATTGATATCACAAAATTAGTCCTGCTGAACCAGAATTTGCTATGTTGTGTGTTTGTAAGATAGAAACAGCATATTCGGATATTGACATCCTCTTATGTAGTACTTGATTAAGTATCAAGTTAAATTATTTCATTTAATTGACTTTTTTATGATTTTTCTTTTGTGAAGAGGTGATGATCGGTTTAATAAAAACAATTGTAAAATTGTCCATTATTTTAAAAGAGAAGAAATTGACTTAGTTAATTTATCTACATTTATAATGTTATTATTTTAATTTTATAATTAAATAGATATATATCAAATACATTTCTTTTATATAATTAGTTTATTTTATATGTACTTTAAATAGCTTTTATTGATGTTTAATTTTTAAAAATATGTACCTATTCGGAAATACATATTGGCATTGTTATTTAATTTTGAACAATAACAAAATATATATATTATAATCAAGGGGATTGAAAGCAGTAATTTAGTTGTATTTTTTTTCATCCTATCAATTGTTTTAACCATACAATAAGATTCAGAACGCATAATTTGAATTTGAAAAATAATCCATTGGAGATTGCTTTTCTTTTTTTTTTTTGTTATTTTTGTTTGAAGCTCTCCAAAAGTGAATACTTTTATTTTTTTATTTACTTAATTAGTTTTAGTAAAATATGTGGGATAAATAAATAATATAGGAATGTCTCAAGTTGAAATAGAATTAGTGAAAAAGCAATGAATTCAAATCTGCTTAAAAAAAAAAAAATGTTAATTACTGCACTAAAATTATTTCAATACTTGAAAAAAGATTAAAACTATATGGATTTGTCGCATTTTAAACATTAGACTGATGTATCTAGTTCCTTTGATAATATATTTTTTTTTTTTATTAACAATAAGTTACCAATATTGTATTTGAGTTGTTTTTATATTTTATTGAATTGTATAGGATTTGATCTATGAAAAAGTAGATTGTTTAATTAAATATTGACATGTAAACATAAATAATTAGTTACTAATTTTGCTTATTATACTTAAATAATATTTATGCATGGTATATTCTGTGATAAATGTTTAATTATTATTAATGTAACTATGGAGCTGACACTCTTATTATGAATAAAAATATATATTATATATAAAATTTGTTTTTTTTTTTTTTTAAATTATCCACTAGATAATTAATAATAAAATTATATTATCCTTATCCTTTTGGTGCTTGATTATCTATTGTTTTTAAAACTACTTATGTCCATAGGTATGTAAACTTTTAGTTTATTTTCTATATAATTAAATTTTGGTATGAAAACCCTTCATATAATTTATGTATATTTAGTTATTTTTAATTTTGTTCCATAAGTATTAAATTATTATATTTTAGAGGCTTTTAACAACTATCCATTTATGGAACACAATTTAATAAAGCAATTTGAACTATATTTAGAACAAATTATTGTGCGAGTACATATTACTAAAAATTGTATTTTAATGTAACAAAGTTTTAAGAAACTTAAAACATCGATATCAATCTAAAAAATTTAATTTTTTGGAAGTTCTATGAAAATTAAAAATGTCCTTTACACAAGATTATGTATATATGTATACAAAAAAATATATAAAATGTAATCTTATTAATAAAATTATTGTAAAATCCCATGGTAATAAATCTGTACTAAAAATTAAAATATTAACTTAAATTATTTCTATATTATAGTCTATTACACTTTGATTGCAACTCTTATGCAAACAGTTGCTAATGATATCAAGGAATTATATTATTATTTTTTAGTTAGTAGTATATACAGGAGATTATTTTATCATTAAACGCTAGTTATTTTTTCAAAGTATAAACTTTTAAAAAAGAAAAAATGTTTTGACAATTTAAGAAATAAGCAGATTTAAATTGTTGTAACATCCCAATTATTTTTTTGTCAGCCTTCTTTATTGAAGTGAAACGACTACAAACTATATTTTCAAATGGCAACCTATATTAAAAGTCCCATAAGTATTAGTTTAAATAAATGTTGGTGTTAAAACTATTGATTTCTGTCAACCTGTTGATGAGAAATTCCATTTTTAAGTTTGTGTAAGAGGAAAGTAGAGGAGTATCATTTGTGTAGTGGTACGGCGCACGCGTTTGAACATTATTTTATAACTCCCCTACCTCAACTTCAAAGTTGAATATCTTGTAAACTAGTTGATAAATTCTTATGAACTTGGTTTGGTTGAAAACTTGTTACTTGATTCATGAAAACTTATAGTAATTGTAGTACTTATTTAGATTATAAGTTTAATAATAAAGAAAAAAAAAATATTACAATAAATGTTACTTTGTGTTTTTGAAATAAGCGCCTGTAATTATATATTTTATTAATTGTATAGTTTTTATCAGATTTTTTAATTTTCTAACATATTTCGAAAATATATTACCTAAATAAATACTACTATATACTTCACAGATTTTAAAATTTGCTGTAGTTCGTAATGAGGATTATTCAAATTTTACAAAGATTTTCTACCATCCGGTGGAATATACAGGGTTTGTCTGGAAAGAAATGAGCCTAATTATTTTTTGACGTGACTATGCAATGCGGAATGGTGAAACCGGTTGGGATGAGTGAAGGGCGCCTTTATCGATCAGACTGTGGCGTACTTAGACCTGAATTTTGGGGGGGGGGTTTAATTTTTAAATTGTTTTCAAATTGGACCTGACGTCCTGACACCTGAACATAACAAAACATATCGTACATTTTAATAGACTACTAATTTTTATTCGTATTTTTTTAATTGACATGTCATAATAAAATGTGTATTGAAGTCTGAAATAACTACTTATTACTAAGCCATACGTATACATAAAAAAATAATGTTAAATAATAAAATTAAAAAAAAGTAATAATAATAATAAATTAGATAATTTTTAAAACATTAACTTTCTATTTTTTTCTGAAAAATTATCGACCACCTCACTACTTTGGATTGGTATTTCTCTGTGGATACTTAGGTGATCCAATCCATTAAGTCGATTTTCCCCCGTAGAATTCCTCAAATATGATTTCAATCGTTTCAACGTTGAAAAGCTCCGTTCTACACTGGCAACTGTAATGGGCAACGTAGCGCCAATTTTTAAATATTGGTATACTTTAGGGAACAGTAACTCATCACAACAACGTATTGCATCTATAAACGTGCAAGGGAGCTTATCTACTGCGGTTATCCATCTTTGTTTCCACAATAGAACTTCTTTATTTACNTTGAGAGTGTATTTTTGTGTTTAGTAAATCTAATATCTTATTCTGTAAGAAGAATAAAATAAATAATAACCTTACCTGAACTAATTTCATTTATTTCTGATCTCTTAAAGTTTGGATCGTTGTTATAATTTGTATCATGTTGGTCTCTACTCTCTACATCAAGTTTAGGTTTTTTTATTATCCACTTATCCATTGTTAATGTATTTTTAAAAAAAATAAGTTTTAACAACGTACTTGTAATTTCGTTTGTCACCAAGTTTAATGGTTCAATGGCTAACACACTAGGCGATTAATCGCACAAAATAAAATACGTGACGGCGATAATACCGATTACCGATAATGCCGATTACACCGTTCGTCCACGTCCATATCTACAATATTTTTGTAGAAATACTTATATTCCCGTAAGTACCCACATTTTACTAAAATAGAATAGAATATTCTAAAATCAATGGCCGTATCATTTAATATTTATATCAGAATTGCATAGAACAATAATTGTACGCTGTTTATTTTATTATGATAGACAATTTGTTATAGGTACCTAAGTTGCTAAGTACAACACAATTAATTATAAGTACCATGCATTTTAGTTTTCTCATATAATAAATAAATTCATAAATTCTAAAAATTTCGGAGGGGGGGTTGATCCCCAAACCTCCCCCCCGTTAGTACGCCACTGTATTCAGAGATGCCACGGTTAGTCACCTCCGAGCTTTCGGAGAGTTACGACGTGCTTTTACGTGAACCTCTGTGCAGTGAACGCGTCGTAGTTAAGAAGGAAAATTTTTTAGAACGTTATGCGGTAAAATTTCGTTTCGAGCTCAACAAGACGCCAAAGGAAACATGGGACATGCTTAAAATAGCCTTCGGGGATCCTTCCATGTCCTATTCATAGGAAAAGAAGTGGCACAAGTCGTCCAGGGAAGGTCGAAAAGACGTCACCGACGAGGTCCATTCTGGACGCCTATCAACATCGCGAACGGACGAACACTTCACCCGTGTGCACGAATTGTTGCACACAGACCGACGAATGAGTTAGTGTTCGTATGATGTCGGAATTATTGAACTTGCCAAAAACCACTTTCCATGAGATTGTTTCGAAAGATTTACGCAAAATGACAATGCGCCGTTTCACACAGCCTTTGTTGTCACCTTCTACTTAACTCGGATTGGTGTCGAAACGATTCCCCAGCCACCCTACAGTCCAGACTTAATCCCAGCGGATTTCTTTTTATTTCCTCGATTGAATAGGGAGCTCAAAGGATATCATCTGGGCACCCTGGAGAACGTCCAAGCTACTACGACAATCTTACTGAACAGTATTTCGGTAGAGGAGTTTCAGGGACCTTGTACAGCATGAGAACCGCGTTGGCAAAAATGTATTGAGGCGAAAGGATGTTATTTTGAAGTTGAAGTATTTGTATGTTCAATATATTTTGTAAAACAAAATCAAGCTCATTATTTTCCAGACAAACCTTGTATATTCATTAATACAGCCATTACTTACATGTCCCAAAAAATGAAATAGATTGGATGTTTTTTTTTTTTTTCTGCAAAGCTTGATCAAATCTGTAAGTGGAAATTATATCTAAGATAATAGGTACTATATTCAATTTTTATAAATATTTTATTTGACTTAAGTGAATAATTTGTAAAAATATAATTTAATTAGTTGATTAATTTTGTTTGTTTAGCATTTGAGACTATTATTAATTGGAATGATATGTGTAGGTTTTTCAAGTATTACACAGTAATTTTAAATAGCTTACCTTATGAATATAAAAATATTACCGACACACTTTTAAATGATTTGATAGTAAAATTCACAATAAATGCTTTAAACTTTTTACTGGTTATCTCATTAATCAATAGGGTAAGGATTGTTATGTAAATAAAAAAGACAAAATATGCAAATATTTATGTTTTTTTTGCCAAAATATTTAATTTAAACATCTTTTCTTTAAAATTAATTTTATATTTTAATTGTATAAAAAAAGTGTTGTACATATAGATTAATTAAATTAAATTAGGCTTAGGTTAAACAATTTTTATTTTATTTATGTATCTTTATTCTTTTATTTATTTATTTATTTATTAATTACTAAACCGTATTTCAGTATTGAGCACACCATGAGGCAATATAAAGTTTTTAGGGATCTAGAAAGTTTATATTCGAGGGTCATTCGCTTAATGACTCCAAGCACCTTGAGCACCCTACAGGAGACACTCTCTATATGTTTATGGAAGCTTAGATTTTCAGTGTAGATGATGCCTAAGTCTTGGAAACAATGTACATTTTGAGATTATCAAATTTAAATGTATGGCCGTTTGGTCTCAAAATTGATTTGTAAGAACTGAAGGAGTGTTCAACATTGACCAAAAATTATGGGGAATATTTCTTACTTGATGTATGCAGATGGTAAAAATTCAATATCCACTGATGTGTTTTCATATTTATTCAAAATAATATTTTTAATTGTTTTTAATATAACAAAGGTTAGTATTAATATTTCTGTTACATTTAATAGGCATCTGCAGATGAATGTATACAAAATTTAAAAATTTGTGTTATTAGGTAAAATAAAAAGTCATATTTTATTTAGGATGTTATGAAACTGCCTAATTTTCAATCAAAATGAATAAATTTGCATTCAATAAAATTATGCAGTTACATAAAAATCCACGCCCTAGTCATTACATAGATAAATAATAGAGGGAAATTATATAAAACTGTTGATGTGTTGGTCCACAGTAGTTGGCATTGAATAAGAGACAAATGTATAATAATAATACATTTGTTTATTTAAACGGATGATTAAACATTAAAGCTGCAAAAGTAATATCTTTATGATAAGAAATGAGAAATGAAATCCAATTGTATAGAATTATAGTTAGGAGGTAAGCTTATCCAAAAAACTAAAATTATTGACCACTCTCCTATGAATTACCTAGGTATTTTATATAATAAAGCAGTCTTAATATAATTTATATTAGGGTTATTCTAGCACCCCTACTCCGAAAATGTATTAAATCTTAGTTTATTATAAGGAAAACAAGAGAAAGTAGATTTAAATCTGGGCATGCTAAGAAAAATAGAATGAGATAAGCCAAAGAATATATGGCTAGAATTTATTATGGGACATAATATGTGGGCCTGTGGAGTAGATGCAGATGATAAAAGCGAGAATAAGAGTAGTTAACTCAGTATCATTTCTAAATTTAAAATTCCCACTTTACATTGTACTGTCATTCAAAGGAGTTACATGTACAATGTCATATTGAGACAGATACCTATTGAAGATATATAATATGAGTAAAATGTTTCCTCCCTTCTTCTCCTTAAAGTTATATTAAATCCTTTCTTCAAAAATTACTAAAATATGGACCTCATTGTATTTCTCGAAGACTACAAAAAAAATTGCATGAATAAAATTGACTTAATTTTTAAATTGCTTTATTAATGTTGATAATAATTTAGTTTGATTACAACATTAAAGAGATATGACATAAAATTACATAATTAATTGTATTAATTAATATTGGTTTGACATATTGAATAGTATTAGAAATTTGTAGTTCTTTGCTCACCATTTTATTAACCTCATTTGTCTCCAATCCAAGCAATATTCAATAGGTAGGTGTGTAATATAATACATAACATAAAATCAAATATGTAAATATAAATCAAAAATAGATCAATTTCTTTTAAACAAATCTGAGATTGCATAATAAACATAATCATAATTAAAATATTATATTTTTAGAAAGCAAGAAAATCTTTGAAAAAGAAATATCAATATACCATATTAGACCATGACGAGTCGTTATCAACGTTTTTGATAAATTTATATATTTATCAAGTAAAAATATGACTTCTAATGTTAACAATATTTTATTAGACATTTTTAAAGGAGTTGATTGATTTTGGTAAATAATAAATATTAATAATCATTTGAATAGTTATTTTAACAGATTAAATTTTAATTTTTTAACTTGTATGTTTACAATATTTATGGATTTGATTGTATATCAGAAGATAAAATAAATTGTATACATTCAATTGTATCATCAACAGTTGATTGAAGACTATTGTAGTAAATGATCAAATCTTACCAAAATTATGTTGAAGTACGTATGTAGTTTAGGTACCTGCATAATTCAATTAATGTTAATTAGATATACAAATTATGACTAATTAATTGTTTTATAAAACGTAAAAAAAAAATACATTCCTTAGAATAAACAAATTAAAACCTAAATAAATAAAGAAATCGCATATAGTTATAAAAGAATTTTCAAAAGCAATAGGAGCATTTGATGATTTAGTAGAACTGAGTAAAGAAAGTTTGATTGATTATTGTTTGATTAAAAATAAATAAGTATTTTAAAATGTTTAAATTAATACTAAATGTAAAATAATTTAAATAATTCATTTTTAAAAATTGTCATATTCTTCTAAAACAATTTGGCAGCCATCAAAAATATATGGACTACAATTAAAATGTTATAGTGTTCATTAATAATTAAGCTAAAGTTTATTAAGTTATTTTATCTTTTTTGATATTTATTTAATTTAAATGTTAAAATTATAGTACACAATTGTACTTGAGTATTAAATTTTAAGAGATTATCATACTACAGAATAACCCTTTTTATTAGTTATTAGTTATTGCATTTTGTTTAATAATCAAAACTGCTTTATGTTAATATTTGTATTTTTTAATTTGATTGTTTATTGTAGAAATAAAAATAGTAAATTGCATGTAATGCAATAAACTGGACCTACATAATATAGAATGGATATTATTAATTATCATTCCAAATATAAGGGTTTGAAACCAGTTTTGGTCTGTAACCAATTATATTTGCAATACTGACTGACTCCTTTGTCAAACACATGAAACGCGTACGCATGCCGTGGGCACTGTGACGTGTTGTGGTGACTTTTATGTATCACCTTCCCGTGTAACAACACAAGACTGGCTGTGAACAAAAAATAAGTAATTTGTTTAATATAAACAAGTGTCGTCTAATTGCACGGGTTTTATTGTAAAGTAGGGTTAAGACACCATAGTATGCCAGTTTAAAAAATATACAGTATTCTAAAATTCTAAAAATAAAACTACCTACAGTTTTATATTTAATCCTAACACGTTGACTGCATTTAATGTTCAACATATATAATATTGTGTAAATAATTTAGAAATCTTAGCGTGTAGCTGAAAAATATTTGATTATTAATTAGATATGGATTAGAAAGTTACACTGGAGTGATAACTGCAAGAAGAAATATACATACAACATGTTAAATAAGAGTATTGATTTTATAACTGATGATGTAGGTTATTTTCTTCTCTATCTGATGATGAACTACTAAATTTAAAATTTAACATTTTTCAGAATAAAATCTTATTGTACCAATTAGAAAACAAAACTGACCAGTGTATCTATGACAAACAAATGTTGAGAATTTGGATGTTTTAATTTTGTTTCAATAATTATTTAAATTATTATTTATATAAAATATACTAAATGCATACTGGTATTCACTAGTGTCTTTATTCTTTACCCTAGGTCAGGGGTGGTGAATCTATGGCACACGAGAAAAAAAATTTATTTTTATGTTTAATAGTTATAAGAAATTTGAAGAAACAAATTGTATACATTTTAATAATGATAATATTCCTATGGATGTTAATTAAGATATTTATTATTTATTGTTATTATATTATCTTGTAACACTTGGAAACAAAAATTTATTGACGCAAGACAACTTATGCAACAAATAGAAATTAACTGTCCCCAAGGAAACGGGGTGAAAAATGTAGACAATGAAATTTTGAAAGCCTGGAACTCGCTTCCAGATACATTTTATACGCTGAAAAACGTAGCTCATTCCATGCTTTCAACTTTTCGTCAACATACGCAAGTGAAAGTTTATTCTCCATAATGAATTCAATTAAATTGAAAGAAAGAAATGACCGATTAAATGAGTATTACTAGTGTTTCATTAAAAATTATAAATTACACTTCTGATATCAAAACTTTATCTTCTAAGAAACAGCAACAAAAATCACACTGAAATATAATCTTAATTTTTAATATATACAATTTAATTGTTAACACCTAATTTAATGATATTATATAGTACATAATTTATAAAAAAAAAAAAATAAATGTGAATTTAATAAAATATATAATAATTATAATATATTAGTAACTTTATTTTTCCCATCAACTGTTGTATTCTTAGAAAATAATTTCTTTTTGTTTGGGCACGTGAAAAATATTCAAAAAAGGTTCACCACCCCTATCCTAGGTAGTTAGATAGGTGCATTTCTTACATTTCTTTACTTCGGCCGGCACGTACAACTCGTTGTCATAATCCGGGAATGTTCCCTGGAAATCGATTTGTCCGTCTATGTCACAGACCAACCTTTTGTGTAAATCGTATTTATGCGAACCAGGTATCATCCACAAGCAACCGTTCTCCATTGATGCATCGTCCAACGCAAACCAAAATCCAACCAAAGTGTCCGGTGTAGTCAATTGATATGTGGAATCTTGGTGTGCAAAGACTGTGTGTTAGAATAAGTTTATTATTAAAACAATAAAAATACATTACAACGTAACTAGAAGTAAAGTTGGTGACTTGACTATAAAACTAGTCGCTGACCTTCACCGCCAACTCCTGGGTTTTTGTAGATATACATGCTTTGCGAGACTACCGGATTTATCAGGCCCAACGCTCGGCACACGCTAATCACTTTTTCGGTATAAGTGCATTCCTCGAATACGGGATGCAACCTGTGCAGAGCGTGTCCGACCTTGTTTAGGGCTAATGATGAGTCCACCAACAGTTGTCCGTTATCGTCCAGTACGTTTTTTTCAAAAAAATAGCCAATTTTCTCGGCGCTTTCCAAAAAGTAAGAGTTAAAAACCTATATGTTATTTACACAATTATCAATATAAGACATAAGTAGACGTAATTTAGAAAAAATGGGGCGGAGGGGTCACAGGTACATAAACAATACAAAGTTCATTAGTGTAACAGTTATTTTTTCTCAACCTAGTTTTTCGCACATATAGGCGTAGTTAGAGTATAGCCAGAGCCGGATTAAGAGGAGGGCCAAGAGGGCTATAGCCTAGGCCCCCATGGCCCTTCAACAAATGAGATCCCAGACAAATGTTGAAATTATAATTTTTTTACAATTATTTCATTAATAGTTAACTATATAAAAACTACATTAAATATAACTCAAATAATTACAATTTTAAAAAACGCTGACAGGTTAATATATAAACAAATAAATAAAAAACTAAAAACCTGAACTTAATGTCACTAAAAATCGTTAGAATATTTTGAAAATGTCACCACAGCTAAAAAGTCATAACAATATTCATTGAAAATTGTGTATTCCTACGATTATTTTCAATCGAATTACAACAAAAACAAAATTGAAACTATTGAAATTGGTTTTACCGTATACTTTCTCATTTTACCATGAGTATTTCTTGATTTCTTCAAATAATTAAGGAAATAACAAGGGAAATCTAAAAACGACTTTCTATTGTACAAACTAGACAAATTAATGTTACTTTTGTATACAATAACGTATGTAAATCTAATGATTTTTGAAAATTTGAATAATTTTCTTTTCAATCATAATAATATTGTTTATCAACATAAATGACCATTAATGATTGGTTGATACCACCTAATACCTATAATATGATAATTTTATTGCATGATATTAACTGATAGAAAAGAAAATCCTTGTCATGTGCCAGACTAATAACTGGTTCAATATTTTAACTGAATAACCACAATAGGTAATATTCACATTTGCAAAAACTTTAAAAAATCGTAGAAAATAAAAAACTATACTTTAACAAAAGTTTCAACCACCAACATTTTTTTAGAAAACCTATTTTACAAAATGACTATTTTGAAATTTGTAAAAAAAATTATAGTAAAATATTAAATTTTTTGTTCATATATAAACTCTAGCGCAGCGGTATATTAATTATTTAAATATATAAATATATTAAAAATATTGAATAGAACAAAAGTAATTTCAAGTAATGGTTCGATATTGCAGTATTAGGAGCACTGACATGTATAGACTGGTATATAGTTAATAAACATAATATACAATTTTCAAATAGTTATTTTTAGTCGATTTTTTATCGATTCACTGAAAAGGAAGAAAGCTTAAACCGTCTAAAAGTTGAATAGTATATTGCTGGGCATTAAATCTTCGACAAAGAAAAAATACAAAGATTCTGCAATTCGACTTAAAGTGATGATGATTATGAAAATCGATCAATTAATGATTACCTGCGTGGGATTTCGTATAACTTTCAATATCTATTAATATAAAAATATAATTTATTATTTTGTTTATTAGAATATTTTTAATTATTATTATTTTTCATTACCTACTTTTATTTATTGTGTATGACTGTGTACTTTGTACATTATACAATAATTAGAATACAATTTTACTTTAAATAGATATATTATAATATATTAATATTGTATTTTTCATATTTTTGACTTCACGATATTTTTGTGTTCACGACATTTTTACAGCGATATTATGACTTGGATTCGTATTTATTACAGTATTGAAACGGTACTTTATTCTCAAAGCTTCTTAGCTTTTGTATAATTTGCACTGTCATCGGCCATACTGCCCATACTTCACAACCATATGTTAATATTGATCTCACAATACTCACATATAACTTATAACAGTACTCTTATATAACACTATAAGAGTACTTTTGTTCCTCAAGAAAATAGTTTTGATTTGAAGTATTTATTTTATTAGTGAAAAAAAAGCCCTTTCCGTTTTTAGTAAGGAACTGGTTATTTCAGCACTCCAGTCATTATTCCCAGTTATTGTTACTTCTAAACACTTGAAGCTCTGGTCATTCTCGAACACATAGTTATCCACTGTAAGGTCCTCCCCACCTCTAACCGCTAACGTTTCCATAACTTTTCTTTTCTTTTCATTTATTTTTAGACTAATCTTGTTTGCTTCATAATTTCTAAACTACAATATAAATAAAAGCATTAAAAAAAATGTGTGTTAATTTTCCCTCCCCCTTATTGAAAACCATGCTCTCGCATATTACGTGTATTATTTACAAGTTGACGTGTAGGCTGGATCGTAGCACTTTTCGTAATAATAGAAGAAACACGTGGAAATTTCATACCAGAAGATGATAATTAGACGACCGTTCGTATACACTACAGTTACACCAACATTTTAAACGAGGTCGCTCAAAACAAAAACATGAAAATTAGGAATAAATTAATTTTAACTAAGAAATTATTATTCGGAAATGTTATTTACATGGAATGATAACAACGAATACCTAGTTCCTGGTCTAACGTGCGATTCGCTTCGATTGTCAATTCATGTCAGACTTTTAATCGAAAATGAACCCCGTTGTTGTGCAAAACCACGTCGGGTAGGTAACAGGGAAAAAGCACGACGTGTAATCATATACCTAATTTACGAAAAAACGCAAATATTTTAGAATAGTTCAATATTATTTTCCTAATTATTTGATCCTCATAGGGCCATAGTTCGTATTAACGGTCCCTGTTTTTTACAGTCCTACCATCTAAACCCTCAGTACTATTTTTCAAGTTTAGCCTATTAATGCTCAGTGTCCTATCTGTTGGACAACCAATAAAAACAGTATTAAATGTTATTAATTTCCCAAGAGCAAAATTATTAGGAATATAACAGAAAACAGGAAATTAAAAAACACTTAACCTTGGGCATGAATGGGTTAGAATTGCGTACTTTAGATTTTTAAACTTAATATACCTACTTGTTTCAATCAAAAACTTTGCATCATTTTGAATTTAGTGTTTACTTTATAAATGTCAATTTTAAAAATACCAAAAACTTTTAGTGATAAAATAAAAATATTCCTGAATCTAGTTGGGTTAAATGTTAATAGGTGTATGTTTTAAACGGTATACGCTAATAATTATTGAATTATAAGCATAATATGTTATGATTGTTACATTTTACCTGTTTTTGACTTGAAATGAATACATTCTTCCTAGCGTCCGCCGGTACGTTCTGTGTGAGTTTTTCTCCCGCTTCCTTGAGATCATTTACTTGCTTTTCACTCAAAAAGTTGTCTATTATCACAAAACCGTCTCTATCGAACTGTAAATATATAAAAATGAAAAATGTTAACATCTATCGATATTTTTTACATATATCATAGCGGTACCAATTATTCAGTTTTAATATTTGTTTTATACATAGACACTTACTTTAAATTTTAAATCTTCGTAGATCATTGTAGTAGGTATCGATTTTTTTTATGGCGGCGTATCTATGTACCTAACGGTAGGGAAAATTGTTAATAAAAATATGAATGAAGAGTTGAATATTGCAAAAAATTATTGCACCAGACAAACCAAGACTATAGTGTGAATTTAAGTTAAGTATTGAGGTTTAATTAGTGGTATATGGGTCACTAAAGAAATATTGATACTGATAAATAAACTAATAAAAAATAGTAGTAATCTACTAATCAGTTTATCTCTAAGATAAAAATATTTATACAGAATGTTTCTGAAAAATGTGCCGTCACAAATCTGGGCGGAGGAGGATAATAGCCAAAATCAAATTGTTTTTTTCTGCCACCAGAGCTTGGATTCCTTTACCATATACTCATAGGATATTTGCGTACTTAAATCTAAAAGTAGTATATTCCACGATATTTCCCGTAAAGTTAGCGTATAAATCGATATGTGACATAATATCAATTTTGCACATTATCTCATGAATTTATCGCTTAATGCCGCCAGAATGACGAAAATGTGATGAGACACGCTTGTTTGTAAAAGGTAATTTTGTTGGAAAAATCATGGTTTAATTTATTTGCCGACATCTAATATAAACTTGATTATTCAATTGAATTTTATTAATATGTAAGTTTATTTGTTTTTGTTAATTTTAATATGTTATTAATCAAACACGTTATATGTCGATAAAAAAATTATATACTATCAAATGATATTCTCAACAAAATTATTTTAAAAACAGATATATGTATTGTACCATGTTTTTTTTTTGTTTTGTTTTTACTCTGGAGACTTTAAGCGTCAAAATCGTGCAAAAATTAAGTGATTCGTCGATTCGATACAAATATATACGAGGGCATTGTAAGATATATTTGTTTTTAAATGTACATAAATATTTAACAAAATCATTTTTATTACAATAATAATAAGTAATTGTATAAAAAAATTTTAAAATATTGAAATAAATGTCATTATGTCAGTGTCAAACGTTTTGTTTTGTTGGATCACCACGCTGAGTATGGTAATACAGCATAATTTTAAGAAACGCCATGTATAACCATGTATTACATAAGCCCACGTGATGAAACACTTTTTATTTTTGATCTTAAACAATTACTGAATTTACTCCAAATTAATATTAATTAGATGTTGGTATATATTTGTTATTTTGTTTATCGAAACCTTTTTATGTTTCATAAGAATCGTAGTATAAGATAAACAAAGAAAATCCTGTAAATACTAATTAATGAATGATAATAGTTCAAAATTATGCGTAGATATACGAAAAAAAATGAACACGTTTGTTCACCTTTGGACTTCTTTGTTTCTAACAAAACATTATTTGTAATAATTTCATTGATTAGTGAAACACAGTATACAGGGTGATTTTTTTATAATGAACCAGTTAATATCTCTGAAGTATTAAGAATTTTAAAATAATTTTAGATTCCGAGCGTAGCGAGTGAGCTATTGGTTTTACTGAGATATTTATTTTTTTTCTTTCTTTTTTTTTCTAGTCTGAGGACACGTTTTTTCCTAGTAATCTTCCTCCAATGTATAAGTGTAGCATTTTTTTGAAAGCTCAAGTTGTCCAAATTGCACTTAGAGGAAATTTTTTGATTTTCGACACCATTTGTCATATAGAAGCACTAAAGTGAAGAAAAAACTTAGGAAAACATACAATTTCACGATTTCATTATTTTATAAAAACACAGACGACGTTTTCTACCAGAAAAAATTATTTAATCGAAAAAACACAAGATACCTTTTTTGTTGCATTATTTATTTAATTCCTTAAGGTATCATCGCCAAAACGTTTGAGCCACTTTTGAGCTTTTAAGAAATTGTTGGTAGTTTTTTTGCTATAGATCGGTTATAAATACAAATTGAGACTTGAAACTTGGTAACAGTACTTATACTGAACCTCCCTAGACGTGGTAACATTTTCAAAATCATCGGACGACTTTTTTTTTTTTAATCCAAAAATTACGGCATTGCAAATTATGTATTACCGAACTGCGCTCGGAATCGTCTTTGTCGTCTTTTGTCAAGCAATGGTTTATCATTGCTTACAGATATAAATGAAATAACCTTATGTACTCTAACTTCCCAACTTTCCCCTACAACAGTGGCCGCTTCCGTCCCCAGTATCAGCTCTTTTTTTTAAAAAAAACTTTATTGTTTTCCTGTTCTATACTGTGGTATAATTTTGAAAATTTTAACTGCTTTCCTTATTTTATAAAACACTATCAATACTTTTTATTTTCAAATGGCAACACCTATTTTCGATAACGAAAATGTACAAACATATTAAAAAAATAATTTTAACGTTTACAGTAATTAATTTGAGTAATTCGTTTGTGACTTATAAACCAGGGCCTATTTTTCGTAATATTCGTACTACACAGTTTTTTAGATCAGAAATTCATGGTCACAAAATAAAATTTGCACCTAAACCCTTAGATACAGTTATTTCGCTAATTTTTCTACCATTTATAGTTGTTTACAATTTTTTTTTTTTTAATATTTCCAGGTTTAAAATGTATCAAGAGGAAATTTGTGGGCACCTAATGTAAGAAGTAAACTTGAAAAGAAATATTACATAATATCAACTAGTTATATATTATTCTTTCGACAAATTTTTTTAAATAATGTTCCTCTGGGTTTAATTCTTATTTCAAAATCAGTAAACTTATTATAACAAGCATTTTTAAATTTTTAAAACATCATAATAATAAATAACAAATTTTAAAATACTTTGTTTTTGATATACTTATTCTAAATTTGTTAAACAATTAAAAAATACAAACATTATACATTTTATGATTCCGTAGTACACATTTAATAATTTCGTACTACGCACAACAGATTTGGTATTACACACAATGTGGAGTATTACACACAATGTGGAGTATTACACACAAAAATAGGCTACTCATTGTTGCCATTAAATCAGCAATATCTGTGAAAAATAATAATTATTATATTATACAGGAATCTCCCATGATCATCAGTGTCTCGGAATCCCCGTAACAGATGAAAAATTGTAAATATGTCCCTCACTCTTCAATAGTTTCTACTGTTGTCCTGCATATTTATTTTGAATCCTGATATCTCTATATTTAACATCAACCTAAAATTTGTCCTAAGATTTTACTATTTCCAGTCATCTCTTCTATCAACTTTGTAGGTGATTTTTTTACTATAGTAAATACGATCAAGTACCTTTATTTTTATCTTTATTATGTGAAAAATGTTATATTCATTACCAAATAACTTCTTTGTGACGATATTATGAAATAGAAATATTATCAAAAATTATATCAATTTGTAGAAACCAACGCTTTATAGTATGATTTATGTTTTATATTTAAGATGCGTTGTATAATTTGTTAATTTATTTAAGTTTATTAACTGTTATTTAATATTTAATAGCATAACTTATATTTATATATCAGATTGAAAAGTTATAACTTATTAATTACAAAATAAATATTTAATACACAGTCTATCTTAATATTTATTTATTTATTTAACAGATTTACAAGCAAGTCCTTTATTTCTAATATTAAATACATAAGAAAATACATTTTAGAATAAATACCATGAACAGACATAAAACACAATATAAAATAGATTTTTCAATATTTTTGTTATGAATACACGGGCTTGAATCCAGTTTTCGTCTGTAACCAATTGTGTTTAGCATACTGACTGACCATTTCGTCGAACACGTGAAACGTGTACGCGTGACGCGACCTTTGCGACTTATTATGATCACTTTTATGGACCACCTTGCCGTGTAGCAACACGAGGCTGGCTTCAAAAACAAAACAACATACATAATTAATTTTATTAAGTAATATCGGTTAAGAGGACGTGATACCCACAAGTTCTATCTCCGTTTTACAAAATGTAGGGTATAACAAATTTTCGTTCAGCCGGAATAATAGACAACACTATGCTCTTGGATTTAAATTTTTAGTATCAGGGTAAATTGATCTATCATTAAACTGTGCAACCTCGTAGGTAATTAGGTGTTTTTTGGTATTTTAATTAATAAGCGAAATATATAAGCTTCCAATCGACTTGAAATTTTACATGTGCTCATATTTTAGATGATAATACATTACCTAATCAATAATCAGAATTTCTGTTTTAAAAAAGGATGGAAAATAGTTTTCAGTCCATGTGTATTTCTGGAAAATACATTGAAATATCGAAAAACGCCTCATACAACGTTTGTTCCTATGCCGTCTACAATTAATAATCTGTGGTATAATTTTACGATGTTATCCCTTTTAACCCTACATAGCTTTCGGAAAAAACGCCACATACCAACAACTTTTGTTCATATATTCCTCCATATAAATAATAGAATATTTAATAATACATTTTCATATTTATCATTTAGTTCGTTTTAGAGCAATGGTTTTTTTTTTAAATTGTGATAATTCCCATACTCATATTTCACATAAATATTAATAAAAGGTAATGGAAAACACATACGTATGTATGGTTGCACAGATAATGTCACTTACCTTCAAGTTTAAGTATAGATCAATTCACTATAATATTAAACTAACAGCACAAAGTTGTCTCCTCTACTAAATGCAAATTGTCTACGCCTTAAGTCTGTATACCTAAGACGGAAACAACACAAGCATGTATCACGTCCCTTTAAGCGCACACCATATTTTTTTTATCGTAAAACGCTTTACATTTCTTCACTTCAACCGGAACGTACAACCCCTTGTCGTATTCCGGGAACGTTCCCTGGAAATTGGCTTCTCGTCCTTCCGCATTGTTATCAAAGACCCACATTTTATGCAAGTCATTCTTGTGCGAGCCGGGTATTATCCACAAGCAACCGTTTTCCACCGTTGCGTCGTCCAGAGCCAACCAAAATCCAATCAATGTATCCGGCGTCGTGAATAAGAAAGTGGAGTCTTGGTGTGGGACAACTGTGGACAAGTAGTTAATGAAAAAAAATGTGTATCTCCGTGGTTAAAAATACAAGTACCTGTCTATATACAATGTATTCGGGAGAACCTATCGGCCGGCGTCATACGAGAGTACATAAAAAATGATGGAGAAACCCTCTTTAAGGGAGGAGCCTAACTTTTTTATTAGCAATTTAAGTTTTTAAATTCAACAGTTTAATTGGTCATTTTACATAGAAATAATTTATTTAAATAAGAGAGATGATTTAAAATGAGTTTTGACAACTTTGTCAGATTTTCACTAGTCCCTACGTATGTTGTGTAGATTACTAATAGGTAACTAACATTTTTTTGTCGAAAAAATTTTGCTATCGTTCGTTGGGTACCCACGGAAGTTGAAAATAACTAAGATAGATAGAAAACTAGAATTTTATCTACAACAATTGCACTAAATTGTAATTAACTGTTATTGTATGTATGTATACCTACGGACTATGCTGTAAATAAGACTTAATGGTCACGGTCAGTTTGTTCTATTGTCTCGTGCTCGTGTTCCTTCAAAAATACTGTGTATTTTGCAAATTTTACGATTTTTATAATAGAAAATAATGAAATATAAATTATTTGATCTGAGAGAGGCACAGTTGGCAAATGTTGGAGTTTTCAAGTACAGGTTTATTGGGTCAAGAAAAAGAGGTGAATTGTTGAAATGGCGAAGTACAAAAAATGATTGTACAACAACCTTTTTTATTTTTATTTATTTTATTTTTTTCATATATATTCGGTATTTAGGGGAACAAATTTTGATTGTAATATATACTAAACTAACTAACCCAGCAAACGCTGTCTTAATATGTGATTAAAAACCAATAAAAGATTTTTATTTATAAATATTCAAGGTTCAAATGTATTTTATTTTTTAATAATAATATTCTACGGTACAAAGTGACAATGTCGCACCTATTTTCGTGCTCAATCGTGTATTTTTTGGGGGTATTTTGGGTTTATATTGTTTAATTGCAACTGTGCTCAATCGGGTTCCAGCCTATAGCCCGGTATAGGTACCTAAAGGTATACAATTACAATAAAATAATAATAGTTTATTATTAATTATATCGCTAAAATATCGTTGGTTGGCTATATAGGTACTTTTCTATTGGGATACACACCTTCACTGCCCACTCCTGGGTTTTTGTAGATGTACATACTCTGTGGCACTACTGGCTTCACCAGGCCCAACGCTCGGCACACGCTCGCCACTTTTTCGCTGTACGTACACTTCTCGAATACTGGGTGCAACCTGTGCAGAGCGTGCCCGACCTTGTTCAGGGCTAACGATTGGTCCATCAAAAGTTGTCCGTTATCGTCCAACGCGTCTTTTTCGAAAAAATAGCCGATTTTCTCGGCGCTTTCCAAAAAGTAAGAATTGAAAATCTACACGTTATACATAGATATTAGGTAGGTACCCACAGGTTACAGGTAGGTACATAATAAATTGAATAAAGTCGCTCACGTACGATGTGCAGGGGTGTGGATGCGTTTTTTTCGGGGGAGGGGAGCGGGAGTTAAAGTATATTAATGATTATAAGATAATTATGTAAATATTCATGCCTGCATTGTATGTTTATTTTTAGTCGTAAATATAAGTAGCCGGCAAGCTAAGTTTAATTATTTATATTAAATTATCGCACTTCATCAAATGCAAACAATTGTATACAATTTCTATATTAATTAATTTAAAATTACTTAGCCTCTTTATCACAAATTTTCTAACTTGAGTTTTTTTTTTCTTAGCGAGGTTTTACTAGTAGTTGACTGAAGGTTTTTGTTGGGATATATATTATATAATTAGGTACTTATACATTTGGTTTTTTACATAAAATGTTCAAAATATGTTCGCTAGGGATTTCTCTTGATGTATACTTTCCCAAAAATAATTTTAATTGAAGATTACCAATTTTCTGAAGAGGCGTATGTTTGCTGACAATAAAGCTTTACACAAATTTTATGAGAATAAATACTTTTTTGGAGTATTAGTTAGGTACTAATTGTTGAACTTCAGTGTTTTTGGTTTTTTCATTACTACTTCGAGTCGCAACAAATATTCTATCGCTACTTACCTTCAACTCACTTACAAGAAAAATTATATTTTACTATACTTACTAAAAAATTACTTCTACATCGCTGAATATAAAAATTGTACAATTTACCTGATCCTTTTGATTTGTATGGAAAATGTTCTTCGCATCCCTCGGTATGTTCTGTGTGAATGTTTTTCCAGCATCCTTGAGCTCGATTACTTGGTTTTCGTTCAAAAAATTGTCTATTATAACGAAACCATCTCTTTCAAACTGTAAAGGTAAATAAAATCTATACGTTACCTATTGTTTTTATTTTTCTTTATATTCATTACTATTTCGTTTTTCTGGGATTTGGGAAGCACACGTGTATATTTTATGTAGTATAATAGTATAATAGATATATATTTACTTTAAACATTAAATCTGCATAAGTCATTGTAGAGTCAATTTATTATTATTATTTTTTTTTTACCAATTGAAAGTGAACTACGAGAAAAATGAATACACACTTATGTAGGTACACTATAATAGACACAAATATAATAAATACAATAACACTAGTGATGATCGAACTATCTATTTACTCGGTTGTTTTTAAAAACTATTGGCACAAGCTCTTCAGTTTAAAAAGTACTCGGTTGTTTTGTTAACCAGTTGGTGCCACAATACTATCGATAGAAAACTTTCGGACCATCGATTAATTAATTCGATAGTTTTCAAAACAATTGATGGATAAAACTATATATTCAATCGATAAATCGCTCGGTTGTTCTTTAAACTATCGATTGTAAGTCGATAGTCAAAACTAGTCAGTTCCGTTTTCTAATAGATATTTGTGTGAGGTTACTATCAGTAACCAGTCCGGGCGACCAATGGACTATAAACTGTAGATCTATGCAGTTCACCTTCACAGTTTATTAATTAGACATGTCGTTATATTTATTATAATAATAAAAACAAAAGGCTGATACTGGAGTAGATGGGTATGCTAATGTTTTAGTCAGGTAGTTAGAGGGGAGAATATTATATAGATTACCTAATTAATCTACATCTGAACGTGACTTTAAATAATTGATAATGAAAAACAATTCTGAATAGAGAATATTATTAGTCGTAATTTTTTCCTTGTTTGGTAACCCAAAAATCAACATGAATTGTATAACAAATTACCAATTTCTCCTATTTATTAAGAAAACTACAAAGATATTTAAAAAACAGCGTTTTCAATGTACCATCCAGATTTTAGATCAAAAAAGTTACAAGAAAATTTCTATAGTTTTTTATTAAATTAAGATTTCTGGTATGAAAATTGTTCAAAAAATGTATGATACACTATAGAACACTTTTGGTTTGCGGATTACCCACCTTATTGAACTAAAAAAAATTAGTAGAGAGCTGATATGAAAGCAATACGGAAATAAATGTAAAAACAATACAAAATTGGCGCGGGACAATTAGTTAAATATAAAGTAATTATAAACTAATATTAATTATGTATAAAAAATGTTTGTTTAAAAAATATATTGATATAGTGTTAATAAGTTTTATTTAGGCAACTGCTTAATTTCGGCTTACGCCTTCATCAGGTTGCTGATAAATAATGTTATACAATGGTTTATATAAATAAAAATAAATGTTTATTTTAATTTTAAAATTTATTTTGTTCCTTTTTAAATTATTTATGTAAACTATTGTATAACATTATTTATCAGCAACCTGCTAATGTTGTAACCTGAAACTAAGTAGTTGCTTAAATTAAATTTATTAACACTTTATCAATATATCTTTTGAACAAACGTTTTTATATATAATTAGATAAAAGTGTCAAAAATCTCAAATATACAATAATATTAATTTCCTTTTTTACATTTTCAAAATTGGATCTGCAGGTTAGTAGGTCTATCATGTAGAAAATGGTCATCAAATATGTACCTCTAAAAAGAAAACATTAAATTGCAATTACCTTAGAATTAAAAATTGATGTTGAATTCTGATTTTTCCGTCGGTGTCTGAATTGAAAGGCACATATTCTAAGAAAAACAATTTAATTGTGTGAAGGTTAGCTAAAATATAACTGTTCCGCTATTTTTTAGGCACTGTTTCTTTTCGACTAGCATGGTAAACAATTGAATTCAAATTACTTACAAATTATAATAAATAAATTACAATAAATATACAGTACATCTTTAATATTAAAATAACTTAAACATATTTAGTAAAAATGTTAAATAATACCAAACAAAGTCTTTTTATTCAAATACAATTTTCATAATATGAGCAACTTAAAAATTGACTGGAATCATAATAAATACAAAAGTATATAAAACACTTAAAAATATAAATAAATTTGTAATAATTAACATTATATAAAATTATTAACTCATTTTCTAAGCAATAAGATGAACAAGTAAGCAATTTGATTATTTTATTAAATAGATAAATAATAAGTGGTACTAACTAAATGTATACAGAAAATATGAGATATAAATATCAGTCCATATATTCAGAATTAATATTCTTGCTTCCTGTTCCTGAAAAAGTAAATAAAAAGTTTACAATGAACAAAATCGATTGACATAAATTAAAATATTAACTAACCAGTAACATGACAAACTTCTATTTTTGCGCCAAACTCCAAAAGTTTAAGTAACCAACAATATTGTCTTTCTGATAATTTATCATTTGGACCCTTTACTTCAACAAATTTGCACTAATCATGAACATTAAAATAAATTATTATAATGCATTTTGATAATTAGGTGTCAACGATTTTAAATTCAACTTACTTTAAAGTTAGCAGCATCCCAAACAATAAGATCCGGCATGCCATACAAAAAAATTCGGCCATCTTTTAATATTTGATTACCGATTTTTAAAAACACAGTTTTTCCTACACTTTCCAGTAGTGTCTAAAATTAATGAATATTATTTACAAAAATGTTATTACAAAACTACATGGCAATTAAATTAACATACTTTACACTGTGGTAGGTTGTCTACATTCATATAATTCCAGTTTATTACTGATTGAGTATTAAAATATTCATCACAACGGGTTTTTAACATATCACAAATTTGATCAACACTCATATTTTTCAGTTCTGTCATTCGTTTCTAGAATTTTAATAAAATGTAAATAGTAACGCAAAATTAGTCAAAACATTCAAATTGATTTCATTTTTACTTCAATATGTTTTTCTCTGATATTGTAGAAGTGGTGTGTTCTCCAATCTAAAGGACAATCTTGATATTTTCTGATAAAAAGAACATGTGGTGGATAACTGTTGTATATTATGTCCCAAAAACATAATAAAAACATTGATTTTATAAATTGACCTTCATCATGAAGTCCTATAAAAATAAATACATAAAATAAATATTATTCAAACACAGATATACCTATATTACTATGAATGTGAACAGTAATTTAATTAAATATTTTATAAAACATTTCATAGTTAATTTATTAACTCTTCTTTTTAGTTACGAAACTATTTTTCAATAAATAATATAACATCAATGATTCCTAGGTGGAAGATTTGGAAAATGAATGAAAATATAATATTATTAATAATTACCATTCATAAATCCTTCACTTTTATAATGTGACAATGCAAGTTCTTCGACAGACATAAAATGAATGTCTCCATTAGGGGTTTTCTTGACAAAAACTTGCTTACGGCCAGATACACCTCTAAATTAAAATATTGTTACCTATGTTAGCCCATATTTGAAATGCAACACTTACAATATAAATTGGCATAAAGTGTCCCATAATGATCAAATACTTATAATAACTTTTGTTCTATTCAATACTTTTTATATTTTTTATATATATATACTTTAAATAATTAGTATGCCTCTTGCTATAGTTAATATGGCAAAACAATTTTTTTTTTTTCAGGTGGCGAAACTTAAAATAAAAAATTGTAAATAAAAATAGCTATTTTGTAAAAGAGAAAATTTGTATAATAATAATAATAATGATTTATTCAAAAGAAGAATAAAACGGGCAGAAGCCCAATAGTATAAAGACAATTTAGAGATTATATAATACGAGATAATAAACAAAATTAAAATGTATAGTAGTTTTGTATTATTCAGCAGCACAAATCAATACTTAGGAACAAGTTTAAATTATTGCTAAAGATGAAAAGAAAAAAAATCGGCATTTGTTGGAAATTTATTACATAAAGCCATGACCTTGGAACAAGGGAGTATTCAAATAGTTTGTACTGTGTATTGGTATATAAAACAGAAAGGTTGAACGGTTATTGTAAGCTGGAATGTTAAAAAGGATACTAATTAATAAATCTGGTGCATAAATTTGAACTTTGACTAATTTATAAACAAAGGAAATATCCACTAGATCACGTCTAGAAGAAATTATTGGAATATCTAGAAAAACCTGGCTTATATATACTCATGGTCATTAATAGTTACATTGAATTTATAATCAATACACCTCAAGAAACAGTTTTGGACTTACTCAAAGAAAATTAAAACCTAATTTTGAATACGGACTTCAAATAGGCAATCTGTATTCTAAAATGGATCTAACAAATGATCAATAAAAAAGAGCTTAAATAAACGCAAATCTTTAAAATCCGAAAAAGTGATGCTTAACAAAACCTAATACATGTAAAGATTTTTAAGACATGCTCAATATGCTCTCCAAAATTTAAATTGCTTGATAAAATTATTCCTAAGTCTTTAATTAAAGTAACTTAATTGAATTTAATGTTATTTTTAAATTACATATGACTTATAAAACCACGGGATATGTAAAAACATATTGAGTAGCATTTATTAATATAAAGGTTCATTCCCCAATTTTGACATCAGTCTGATAAGATAATTAATTTCTTTTGTAAAATTAAATAGCCGTTTATTGATGAAACTCGAGTGAAGATTTTTAAATTGTCTGTAAAATAAAGAACATGCCATTTGTTAAAAACTAAAGAAATACTTTGAAACGACCATTCTGATCATAACCAGTGAAATTAGGTTTAGTACGAATAGAAAGTTTATCAGAATAAAGAAATAATTTAAAATTATTAAATAAAGTCCTTAGCTTACTTACATTACTATGGGCTTATAGGCTGCTATAGGCTTAGCCTTCAAACTTAAATTTTTTTATATTAACAATTTTAGGGAGACCATTAAAAGAAGTGAATCTTGATGCCCTTTTTCCTAGTTTCAGGTCTGCTATTAAATTCAGTAGTTCTGTTTGAGTGCAGTCTCTAATGATAGAGATGTTATTGATGTATGAAGGAAACTCACATTTCCATTTCATGAAGAATGAAAAAAACTCTATCAAACTTATTATGGTAGTTATAACTTGTTTAAGTATGATCTATTATTTTCTAAAACCGTTTGAAGTTTTTGCAAATGTGAATATTATTGTGGTTTAGTATCTATTATAATATTTAATCAGTAGTGAAAGCATATCAAATGACAAAGATTTTATTTTTTATGAGTTAATATCAAACCATAAAATAAATTAAATAGTATAATTGATAATAAACTATAATAATATTCATATTTGTAAAAACTTCAAACAATTTTAGGAAATAAAAGAGCATACTTAAACAAAAATCAATAGATCAACAGTTATTGCTACGTCAAATGATATGGACAAATTTCTAGATATCCCAGAAATATATGCAAGCACTGGCATTGAAATATACTTCACTGTTTATAAAGTAATCAAAAACTGGGGATTGACTAATAATATTCAATCATTTGTTATGACACAACAGCTTCAGATGCTGAAAAATTGAATGGTACGTATTTCTTATGGCTCTTTTAAGTGAGGTTCAATTTTTAAGAAATTTACACAAATACTTAAAAATTAATAAAACACTAGCCAAAACCACAATTGGTAAATTTATGAACCATTTGCGCTATTTAAATAAAGAATGTGCAACGATTGCATTTAATAAAAACATAGACAGTTAACATAAACAAAAACTTATTGCTAATAAAGTCCTTAAAGACACAAAAGAACAGAAGAAAATGAAACTACCAAAAAATTAATTTTAAAAAGTCTCATGTGCAGTTTTTTTAAAAATATTTTTGAATAAATGTTTTGGGGGAAGTCTCAAAAAAATGTTTAAAAAATTTAAAATAAATACAGATTTTTTTAAAACAGGTAATTTTGGAAAGTTCAATTGATTATTTATATAAAATTAAAAAATAGTAAATGATACAGCAGAAAGATTAATACAACTAATGGAAGAATTTGATCAAAAAATAACAAAAGCAATGTCTATTATAAGTAAATACAGTAGAACATCTTTAATCCGTCACCTTTGTGACTGGAGGTATGGTTGGAACACGAAAAAGGTTGGATTATTAGAATATACAGAAGTATTGTATTTACATATGTAATACTAAAAATTTGAATGTAACGCATAATACAAATGCAAGTGTGTTATGTAAACATATATGAAGTAAAACATTACTTAGAAAAAAAGTCAGAAAATTTTGTTTAGCAAATAAAATTATAGACTTAGCTATGATATTACTCAATTTCTTGTTCCACAAAATTTCCATAGGTGTTGAAGTTGAATTCTACTTGATGTAATGAAGGGCAATATCAAAAGCCAAATGAAAAAAAAAAAATCCAAATGTATTCATATTAATAATACTATGGTCGGATCAACTGAAGTCGCGAACCTGTTGAGAGTGGACGAGAGAGGTTCTACTGTATATCCAATATTAATTTAATGACCATAATTTTATTAGATTTATGTTATTTTATGTTTCAGACCATACAAGATTATCATCAAAAGTATTCTAACCAACATTAAACATTCTTAAAAAATTATTTTGATAATCTATAAGATAAATTTATAAATATTAAAAAAATGTATTTTTTTTGTTAATATAAAAAAATTACACAATTTGCCTTTTTGTTTCAATTTGAAAATTGATTTTTCTTAATTTTTCAAGAAAGTGTTAATATTCTGAAAAATATTAAGAGTAAATATTTTAATGAAACCCACAGTAACAAAATAATAGTTATGGAATAATTATTGATATCTTTATAATTTACATGGATAGTCACAGAACAATAAAATCAAGAATTCTTCAAAAAAATACAAGCAATGAGCATATTTTTGTATATTTCGACTTTAAGAGTTAGTATATGCCAAAAATAACAATAACTAGATGACACTCTTTGTATAATAATCTATAGTAGTATACATTGCCTAATATAGCATTGTCTTTTTCGAAAATAAGCTTATATTATATTATGTGCCATTGACAATACAATACAATAAATGTTTCCTATGCAAATATTATAAAAACAAATTAAATGCATTTTAACTAACTTTTAAGGCAGTAATATTGAATTTTTTCAATTTAAGTGTATTTTAAAATTAATTTTGGTACTCAAAAATACATTGTGAAATATAAAATTTTTTGACTAAAAGTAAACACATATTTTCATATGTTATAATTTAATATTATGAAGCATAAAGTTATGGAATTCTACACAGTAATAGAATAACTGGAATGGCTAATTTATGGACTAATTGCATTTGCGCTTATGTAGGTTGCAGATATTATGTTTATTAAATATAGGCACTTTCTAATAACTTCGAATCAACATCAGTCAAAAAAATTTGTATTAATATTAGGTAATGACTTTATGTGATATTTTCTTTAATTAAGTTAAACTTTTAAAAAATATTTGTTTTACTTTTCTTAATTTTAGAAAAATCTACAGATTTTGAACATAGTATATTTCTTACGTATACAAGTGTACACTGTTCAAATTACATTGAAAATAATAAAAACAAAATTGTCTACTGTACTTTTCTGTGACAGACATTATTTGTCCACTAATTGTCGTACTAGGTAGTTTTTTTTGAACTGTAATAAAATTCAATAATTCGTTTTTTAATCCTTCATCCAACTTCCTAACTTTACGATTTGTGTACATCACTGCTCTAGTTGACAACATTTGACGATTTAACTCAGTAATCTTATCATTTTTAAAACCCTCGAGTATTACTCCAGCAGCCTAAATAATAGATTTAAGTAATATTTAATAAATATATATTTTAAATTTTAAAAATTGTTCGATACTTACAATATTTAATTGTTTATATTGTGATTCAAAAACTTTTGCTAGTTCAATACGAATATCAGTTTGTTTAGATATTAAAAATTCCTTGTGTTTTAATAATGATTCCAATACTTCTTTAGCTAAGTCTTTTTCAGTGAGAGACTTTTTTAATATTGGTATATTCTTAAACAAAGTATGAGCGTATACAGATACTGCAGAATATTTTCTCAAATAAGTAGGTAGTTTAAAGTATGCGTCTCTAATGAAAAACATTTTTTTTTTTTTAAAACAAATTTTAATATTATACTTCATAGTATTATAGTGCTACATTAGTACATATATTTGTTTTATAAGTTTTAGTTTGAATGAAAATACTTACTTTACATCACTGTTACATACAGCAGATTTGAAATTATCAAACATGGTTTTCAATGCTATAAATGCATTTTTATGATCTTTGTGCTCCAATGATAATTGAACTTTATAACGAAGATTCAAAGCAACTTTATACCTAAAATTAATAATTTCTTAAACAATAGTATTGTATACCTAGTATACAATAGTATTGTTAGTATACAAGTACTACAAGTATTTTTTACACTTTATGACAGTATTGTAGCCAGGAGGGACTTCCAGGCTTAGCCCCCCCCCCTTTCGAAATATTAAACGACAATAATTTGTTATTTTAAGTGAATTCAAAATACAATTTGATGACTATACTACGTCCTGGATACGGTGAACAGCCAATGGTTAAAGTGGGAGGGGGGTAATCTCCCTACCTATTTAATGTAAAATTATTAATCCCCTTTAACTTGAGTGTTCAAAGTCCCACTTCTCCCAACACTTCAGTTATTGTCACTGAGATATTTTTAATGACATTTTTATAACTCAAATAAGTTTTTTTTAAATAAATCTTTTAATGCCAATTAAATTATATGTAAACAGAAACTGTTTCCTTTAATTTTACTAAGCAGGCATACGCATAGAATATTATTTTCATGGGGGAGAGAAGTATTTTTTTAACACTACAAGTATAACATTTTTATAAACAAATGTGTAGACGAGAAGAACATTTTGGAAGTCTTGTTTCCTTAATTAGTTTTCTGAAAGTTTGGTTAAGTTAGTTCTAGGGAACGTTCCACAGTTTTCAATAAATATAGTCCCTCTTTGAAGTTTTTCCCATTTTAACCACTGAGAACAGCTCATGATTTTGTAAAATGATAACTAGTAAAAAATTAACATAAAAAATCCAATCTGAATTAACCACTATATTGTTCCTACGTTTATTGATATTTGTGATAAAAACAAAATAACAAATCTTCTGAACAGCTGATGCTTCGAGTTGCATTCTATACGTTCATATTTTTTTTTCGTTTATCTACATAATTTTTTTTTTCATCATGGGACGTAAACATATTGCTTTTAGGTCAATCATATTGTTTTACCTAATCAAATGTATTACTATATGACATTATAAACAATGTGGTGCATATATAATTTTTTGACCATCAAAATCTGAAGCTGCCATTAAAAAAAAAAAAATATTGGCTAAGGCAGCTAGTACTAGTCTGCCAAACAGACTACTTTACTATTTTTGTTTCTTAATGATTAATATAACTGCAATTATCTATAAAAATACTAATACTAAATTCTATTATTATACATGCTGCTTTGACTTTGTGCTAAAATTTTCTAGACTATGTATGTTATATTCAATAACAAGTAAAAATATCCGATTGAATAACTTACATGTCTAAATTATCTTCAGAGTTAAAATTAAGTGAAACACATTTTATTTCAAACTTAGGAAACTTGAGTTCATTTTTTTCAACCAAAGTAAATTTATTAAAACATTCTCGAAATCTGTCCTTTTCTTCTCCAATAAAATATGGGTATGATTCATAGATCAGACAGGTTATAATATCATCTCTTGAATTATCTGATAGTTTTAAGCAGTACCCTAATATTTTTTTAACACTGAAACAAAAATATGTAATTTAAATATATCTACGCATGATTAAAGTAAAATTAAAGTAAAATAAATTAATATAACAAACTGTTCTTTTAAATTATTTATTGAATTTCCACAAAATGTTCTTTGATTCTTTACATGATTTATAAATGATTTAATCATTTCAGGTTTAGTCTTCTTATTAGAGTTTAAGTTAATATTGAATATTTTTTGTAATTGTTTAAGTTCATGTGATTTCAAAATATTTAATAAACAATCAAGTTCACAAGAAGTAACATCTACAATTTTCAAAAATAGGTTTGAATTAAATAATTTTATTTAATTGTAAAATATAATTTTGAATTAAAACAAACCTGTGTTTATTAATTGTTTGGTTGCCAATGACTTTAAAGTACTATTTAAATCATAACACAGATTTAATTCTTTATATTTGCTTAGCCCATCAGGTGTATTTAAACGAATCCAGTCGTGTTTTCTAGAAATTAACCTTCCATAAAGTTTAAGTTCATCATTAGTACAATTTTCAATTTTCGCTGCTATATTTGTTTTACCGAGACAAATTACTTCATTAAAAACAATATATTTTATAAATCTGCTGTATGTGTCGCCACCTGAAATAATAACTTTTCTTGATAGAATATCAGTGATTGGACTTTTTATAACACCATTAAACATATTTTCAACTTTTTTTGGTGTAACATCTCTACTATCATTAGTAGTACCATCTTTTTGGAGATTATTAATATTTTCTTTCTTAATATTTAAACTTTGATTGGTCTTTTGTGATAACTGAGTTGGATTTAGTACTTGAAGCTTAGGAATTTCTATACTATCTATAGGAGAGTTAGATTTAATAGAATTTTCAGTTTTAATACTGGGTTTTTCACCTAATTGTAGAATTGATGAATGACAATTATTTTCAACATTATTAACTATAAAATCTGGTCGTTTTTGGGTTGGTTTGAAATAAAAAGTAATTTTACAATTATTGTTTTCATTTTCATGGAATTTTGATTTTTTAGATGGTTTTGGTGTAGCAGATTTTGAAAGACTTCTTTTTTTAGGAGACGGTGTGATATTGAATCGTTTAGGATTATTTTTGATACTCGGAGATAATAGAATTTTATTATTTTTCTCAATAAATGGTTGTTGACTTTTAATTGGTGTTGTCGGTTCAGATTCACACTGTTCATAGTTATGAGGTAATAATGCTTGTTGACTAAGAGGTGTAACTATTGTATTTAATGGTGAGTAGTTATTTGAATTATCAAATACCAAAATCCGTGAAACAGAATTAGATTCTTCATTACTTTTTCTCTTAATTCGACTTCTTTTTGGAGTAAATGGTGAAGATGAATCACAGGATGCTTGTTGACTTAGAGGTAAAACATCAAGGTCTTCATTAATAGGTGAGTGGCAATCTGAACATCCAAAGGTCAAACTCCGTGAAACAGAATTAATTTCATCATCATTTTTTTTCTTAATTAGACTTTTTTTTGGAGTAAATTTTGTAGATGAACCACTGGATTGCATTTGAAATGGTGGCACTTTAGATGGCGTTTTAAATGAAGACTCCATATTATTTGAACAGTATTAATTATTAAGTTATAAATTTATAAACCAGGAAAATTATATTGGTAACCATAAATCTTAAATATTAATAAAAACTACATTTCTTAACAAAAATTAAAATGAAAAAAAAAGAACTAAATATTGATTATTGTTATCAGTTGATAACAATAATCAAGTATATCATTAAATTTGCGGGAATTAGTAGAGGCTCTTTGGATCAAATTTAATATTGTTATAATTATACCATGGTTAAGATATATCTATTTAGGTACCTTAAATCGTGATTATATTATTATAATATAATTTTTAACTTATAAATTATTATTAGTATACTTGGTCTATTTTGGTAAATGGTAATTAGTAATTACTAATTCTATTTTCTAAAATTTTCAGGAACATCAAACGTTAAATTAAAGTAGTAACATCTGACAAAGTATTTACTTTGTAAATTACAATAGTAAGACTAGTAGGTATCAATTAAATTGTTAGTTGGTACCTATTTTATTTTCTTGACACAACAATTTTAATAGATATTCACTATTCAGTGCTTTACTTTATTCGAAATTAGTTTATTTTGTATTATATTATTATATATTATGTGCCTGCTATAATGTACGTATTTTTTTAATGTTTATGCACCCATATAGGTTAAGCATTGAATATAATAAAAGTTAGTAGTTATTTATAATAAAAATGAAAAACGAAAATGAACATATATCTAACAATAATAATGTAATGATTAAAGTATTTGAACCCACATCAATGTGTTCTAAAAATAAAAAAGACAAATTAATAAATGAATATAATCAAATATTTAATTCATACAAGGTAGATTTTATTTGTTAAATATGTATTTTTTACTATAGTTACCTACCTAATATAAACATAGTTATATTACTTGAATTTAAATTGTGATCACAGGAAATTAATTTAGAGATGGATCAAATTTCAAAAAGAATCAATATACTACAAAATTTATGTGAACATGAAACCAAAATTAACAATTTTTACCATAGCATAGCGGATGGTTCTAAAAGTAATTATAATATGTGTTTTATGTATAAATTTTATATATTGCATTTTATGTATAAAATTGTCTATTTAATTGTAAATACCTATGTAAGAATATTTAATTCCATTATTGCTAGGTTATATAAAAGATGTACAAGTATTATTCAGTTATTGTAAATAAGATACAATTAGTAAATAAAATATAACTCACTAAGTCAAATGTTAATATTATCTATATAATTTATTTTAACTGATTGCTTCAAATAAATAATATAGATACTTCCATTTTTTTTTTTTTGACATAATGAATCAATTTATTATAGATTTAAATACAATAATTAATGAAATTTAATAATATTATATTATTATGTAATATAGACTGTTAGAAGGATATTCGGCATAGGCAATAAAAGGATGTTCAGGAGAGTTTATGTATGATTTAACTTATTTTAAATTTATTTACCATCATTTTTGGTGCTTACAAAAAAAAACAAGTAAATTCTATTTGTCATATCAATACTAGAATGTATTCTATGAAAAGGTGAAAATAAAAAAAGTTAAGTTTGAGAAAATGGTTACTTATATCAAATAGTCTACTAATTTGTCAATATCCTATCCATTTTTGTGATTATTATACTGATGAAGCACCTATTACAGCTAAAAAAATTTGTTTACAATAAAATATTTGTAGTTTAAGTATATGTATAAGAAAAATTAAATAAAATAATGTTTGATAACTGTATTAATGTAAGTAATTAAATTTGTAATTGAAATATGTTAGTTATTATTTTTATCAACAGATCAAATAAATAACATTACTTAGTTAAAACTATTATATTATAAGCATTTTATGCTCCTATTAACAAGATAATTAATTTGATTAGGCTCAACATACTTTGAAACACATGAAGTTAAATATAACGATCTATACATTTTGGAAAATAACGCCAATGAATTGACTAAAGAACAACGATTAAAAATAAGAATTGTAAACATGTTCTAACATTTACTGTTCTGAGTCATAATTATTAATTATCTACTTGTTCTCATAGAATCGAAATACTGCAATAATTTTACGCTTGGAGAAACAACTAAAGAAAGTCAATGTCAACTTAGAAAAAGTCAAAGTTGATTTGATTACTGCATATAAAGTCCATCTACTACATAAACATAACTATTAAATTATATATAATTTAAATTTATTCTTATTATATTTTATATGTATAATTTATTACTCTAATAAAAACTCTAGTACAAGGATGTTAAATCAATATATTTAGTTTCTATGGTTATGCAAACACTATTGTATTTTTCTTTTAAATTAAGGTTTTTGTATTTTTAAGTAAAAAATATATTCAAATTACAAATTATAAAAAAAATTAAAATATAGTGTTATATAATATAATTTTACTTTCATAATGCCTCCAAAATTAGATCAGATGACTAAAAAGGCTACCAGATTATCATTGGTAAGATAAAAATTTACCCCAACATTTACTTATTAATACATTTTTTATGAAATGATTAGTCACAGCCTATTCAAAAAAAACCATTCAATAAAGAACCTTCTAGACGCCAAGTAAAGATAGCTAAACCTGTGGATGATAATATTGGAATTTTATCCAATGAACCTGTTAAACCAGACGATCAACTAAAATTAACTGATGAAGTAACTATTTGTATTTGATACCTATATAATATATATATTTTTTTTATTTATCTGACAAAATAAAAAATTATAATAATATTTAAAACATTAAAAGAAAAAATTAATAAGTTTTAATAATTAATAGGAAACTTAGGAATGTACGTTTTTATGGTTTAATGACTGATATGAAAGAAACAATATTTAATATTATGATTGTTTGAGAAATATTTGTTGTAACTCAAAGGTCAACTCATTGATTGTTTAACTTTATTGTCAAAAAACAATTCAATTTTAATTGTATTCTAAAAATTAACACAATTTAAGAATTATAATAATATAGTTTCCTATTTTTCAATTATAAATTAAATTTTTAAGTATTTTGACTATTAATAATATTCAAATCTCATATTTATATTATTACTATAGTCTTCTATAACTGAAATTTTAGAATAGTTTTGTAAAAAAAAAATATAGTTCTCAATAGTTTTAATTTTAGGTAATAGTTTTTCTTCTATTGAATGTTATTATTCTGAGAATAAACTAAATGCTATAATATTAAATCTAAATTTTTACTATGCAGTGAAAGTAGGTATATACTTATGCTGAATTTAGTAGTTCAGTGTTATATTTTGTTTTTCTGAACCAATGATTTCTTTATTTACTTTAATATTTAAACAATTTAACTATTTACCGTTGGCCATTATTTGAATCTAATTCATCTCATACTTCATAGATATTTTACTTTTACATAGTTATGATAAAGTAAATAAAGATTTGATAATAATACCCACTTTAACCACTCAATGAACAATAATATGCACTTTCATAAATTTTTTAAATAATTATACCCATATGAAGAAAGTTTATATTCATAGGCATTTTTTAATTTCAAGCAAAACTCATTACTTTAATATGAATAATTTATCACGTTATACTTTTTACTAAAAAATAAGTAATTAAACTTATAATTGTATTGGTTGATATCTATTTTACCTATTTAATATTTTGTGATAAAGAAGTTGACATTTCTTTTTAAAATATTTACTATTTTATATTTGTTTCTCTTTATTTATATTTAATAATTAGTAGTATTCATTATTTTATTTATACATGTTAGAAAATAATAACGATTTTTGTAAACATACACGTTAACAGTATTTTTGTTTTTTTTTTAGGAATTGGATGAACTAATTAGTAATGTTTTGCAAGTTGTAGAACCAACAGAATCAACTGCCCGTGTAGTTTATAATTATAAAGATGGAGCTTTTATTCCTTATACAAATAGTTTTCCATTTATCACTCTGATTGAATTGAAATCTACATTAGTTCATCGTGAATCAAAAAATGAATATTTACACACTGGTAGACCTTTTTTTAAACTATAATTTGAATAGCTCATATTCATATCAAAAATAATTTTGTATTTAGTGAATTAATTCTTTTGGGGTATCCTGGGATTTTGCTATAAAGTAAAAGCTTATACTAATTTATATTTATAGAGTTAATTTCAGATCTCAGAGGCAACAATAATGGAACTAAGCTCCTAGAAGTAAAAGAAGAAACTTACCAAGATAAAGAAGATCATGCGACTGATATGGATGAAAATGTTGAACAAATCCATGAAGAAGTAGAAGAAGGAGAAAGTGAAGGCGAAGGGGATTTCCCCAATGACGAAAGAGATGGGGGAGACGAAATAGACGAAGAAAAAACATCAAAACCTAAGGCTGCATCAGATTCAGACGAAGAAGCACCAGAAACAATAAAAGAAGAATTTAAGACTAATACAAATTTATCAACCAAACAAAAATGTGCACCCAAAAAGCTTATGAATCAATTTAATTTCTTTGAAAGATGTGCTCTAACAGAAGAAATAATTTTAAGAGTATTATCATTTATTGGTTTTTTTGTTTTGTGTTTGGTTAACTCAGAGTTGGGCAAGATACTTCAATATGAGTATCTAGATACTCGATACTAGATAATGTAACAAGTATTGCAATATAAGATATACCGGTGGCATACCAAGGATTTATTAATGGGAGGAGCTAAACTATTAAATGTTGTTTTTTAGATTCTGAGTGAAGGTGTTTATATCTGGTTTTTTCACATTATTAAGAAAAATACTAGGAAAAAAAATACTTCCTCAATGCACCAACTAAACAACATTTTTTATCAGATTTTCTTTAGTGGTCTAAAGTTGACTGAAACAAATTTTCTGGTCGAAAACTCGTAGGAAAACATATTGTTAATATAAATATATATAATTTATATGTACCAATTTATAATCATAAGCACCACTCCATCAGCATACAATCTGAATACTGGAAGCAGCTAATGCTTATATCATTTTTCTGAGATACACGATACTTAAATTTTATATATTCAGTAGATACATTAAATTTAGACTATTAATTAATTTTCACGCATACAGTACCAAATTACTAAAATAAATGAGGTTTTTAATTTTTTTAAAACATTTTTCGAATTTTTCAACAATTGACTTATTTTCGTACCATCTATTTTTTAATGTATTTTTGATACATTGATTTTAGTTTCTATCACAGTGCATAACACTTGATTTTTTCCAGAATTGTATTGTGATACAAAATACAATTGTATCTAAAATAGGTACTGCCCAACCCTGAGATAGGTAGGTACATTCTAATATGTATACATAATTTTGTGTATTAGGATAAAGAAGTTCAAACTACACCACCAATGAAAAATGATTTTTGTACGTATACGACACAGTGGATAATTTATGATGCATATAATGAAGACTACTTGAAGCAACAAGAAGAAAAAGAAAAAGAAAAAAAAGATAAAATAGTTGTTCATGGAAGTAAAAAAAGTACTTATAAAAATAAAAAATACGATGTAACTGAAGATCAAACTGAAAAAAGTATGTTGATGGCCGCTAAATTTCTTGAAAGAATAATCAACTTGAATGCAATGGATGCCATAGCTCAAGGTATATAATAATATAATCTTATATTGTTGATTTATTTTTACATTATTTATAATTTAGAAATATTACTGAACTTTGTCCATTTAATGAATTCTCTTTAGATTTTCGATATTATGAGGATCCTTCTGATCAGTTTAGAGGTAGGGAAGGAACTCTACTCCCATTGTGGACAATGACTTATGACAAAGCTCACAATTTGTATGTAACTGATATTAGTTGGAGTCCTGATTATTTCGACTTGTTTGCTGTTACATTAGGAACTTGTAAGTATATATTTTTATAATATACAATATAATCATAAATAATATATAAGGGTTATTAAAACTACAGTCTATAAGATTTTTTTCTTTACGGTGTTGGTAAAATGGTGCCCCTCTCGCCCAGTGCATCGCAAGGTGCACTGCAATAGCCACCACAACGACCTGTAAGGGTCGGTGTGATCTGGTTCACCGGGGGGGGGGCGTCGGGCTAACAAGCCGACCTTGTAAAAACAACTTCTTTCATAATTTTAATGAATTAACAGTAAACCTAATAAAAACTGTAGGTGAAGTAGACACTTAAACAGAAAAGAAAACTTTAAATAAGTAGATTTTAATAATAAATAAAAATGTGTAGTTGATTCATATTACATTTACTCTATAACCCATGTACATCATCTTATTTTATAATACTTCCTCATTTACTTTAACCCACTCAAGTAGTGTCAGCTACTCTTATTTTCGTCCTTCATAGTCCACATCTTACTATACATCATCGTTTAATATTATCTATCTACTCCATTATTTAAGACCATCGTTGTTTCTAACATTAACTCTATTAATAAAAAATATTCGGTTATTTTATTGAATGGCATAAAACAGGAATAAAATGCCATCGCTTGCAGTTTACAATAATGGGTTTTTAATTTTTTATTGAGCTTGGACATACTTTAAGAAATTTATATTTAAAAAAAACATATCTACTAAAAGTATTTAAAAATACATTGTGTTTCATTAACTAGTGACTCATATTTGATAGGTAATTAATATTTTTTAAAAATATTTAAGTGTCTAGCTAGATAAAGTAGATATAATACTTACAATTTTTGTTTTATATGTGTACTAAAAACCACTAGTTTCGTAATAAACTAGCATATTCTAAATTAGTTATGATATATATAGTTACATATCCGTTTTTGTATAGTTTATCCTGATTAATAGCTTTTACAATGTGACGAAAATATTTGTATTTTAAATTGTAGCTCAAGGTCATTTTCCATTAATTGATAGTCCAAGTGTTGGTTACGTATGCTTATGGTCTTTAAAGAATCCATCATATCCTGAATATATAAATCAGACACATTGTGGAGCAATGTGTCTAGATTTCCATCGAGATCGTGGTTTTCTTTTGGCTGTTGGATTTCATGATGGTCATTTAGCCGTGTATAATGTAAGCTTGCCAAGTAAAGAAGCCCAATATATGACAGATTCAGTCAATACCAAACACATGGCTTGCGTAAGACAGGTGTACATTTTTATTTTACTATTATTTTTTTTTTAAATTGAATAATCAATATTATCCAACAAAAATCGTTTGAATTAAAACAATTGTCTATTTTAACTAATGATTTTTTAAAATTTAAAATATTAACATTTTACATATTATATTGATTTAGGCAAATATATAGAAATACATTATTTTATATTATACAAATTGTAGGAACTAATACACAGGATGATTCAATAAACGTGCCATCCCAACATTTTTGGTTAAATTTTGCATATATTTATTTTCTAATTTTTGGAATTTTTAATTGTAAATAAAGTCGATATTATCAAATAATTAAATTTTTCACAACATTTAAGGAGTATCTGTGGCGATACTAACTTTATTTTTTAAAAAGAACCTGTACTAAAATTTTTATAAATAGATGGAATATTAATTGTAATGCATTTTAGTGTTAAAAAATCAAAAAACAACCTTCCTAAAGTACTTCTTCAGTCAGATTTCCTCTCAGAAAAAGTGACATCATTGTAAATAGGAACAAAATTGCTGGTAGAAAAATTGTTCACATAAAAAAAAAGGCCAAAATATTTTTCAACTAGTACCTAATATATTTCACAAATTTTCCCGTTTTTCCACCTTTTTTTTTCTGTTTTTTCATATCGAAAAATGACCTTATAGTACCACCCTAAGAAAATTTCTATTCAGAAAAAAGTCTACATTGTATGCATCGGAGTAAGCGTTCTGGTAGAAAAAGTGTTCACATAAAAAGAAGAAAAAACCGTCTCTGTAAATTTAATACATTACTCGCTCCACTCAGAATCTAAAATAGGACGAGTACGTTAAATGAATCATTCTGTACAGCCATACAGGAAATATAGTTATATAACAGGGATGACCAAACTTTTTTGGTAGAGATCTACTAAGAATATATTTTTCCTTTGAGGATCGACTTCCTAACAAAAATGTATAATTATAAATTACCTAATTGTAAATACAATTGTCAGAATAAACTCTGTTTATTCAGAGTTAACACAATTCTTGTATTACTTGAAAAATTCACTACAAAATATATATTATTATATATTAATATATTAAGATAAAAATTATCAGCAATTGTTATTTATCTACTAATTACATATAAATAAATTTTAACAAAATGGAGATCGACATTTAAATCATCTGCGATCGACCGTTTGGCCATCTCTGATATATAATAAATATTAAGGTATATTATATTAATTTTGAAGTAGCTATTTTATTTATTTCTGAAAAAAATGTATTCACTAAATTTATATACGTAATATAGGTAGTTTGGGCAAAAGATTTGCCAGACGGTGAATTAAATTTTTATTCTATATCTGAAGACGGTACTGTTTGTAATTGGTTACTCATGCAAAGTGAAATGTCAAAAACAATTATAGTTACATTAATTTTAGATATAGAGCCTCAAATAACTCTTGGTGGAAAAAGTGAAACATTAATTGGTAAGAATTTAATTTTGTTCTTCAATATCATTTATTAGAATGCATATTACACAGGTACTTATTATATTATTTGGTACTAGGCAGAGGTACAACAATTGCATTCCATCCTGAAAATAATGGGATTTACTTGGTTGGGACTAACGAGGGCTATATATTTAAGTGTAATATAGAATGGAGCTCATATTTTATGCAAAAATTTAAAGCCCACGAAATGACCATTTGTCGAATCGATTATAATAAATATGACCCCAATATTTATTTATCATGTAGTGGTGATTGTACAGTAAAAATATGGGAGGATAAATCTGAGTAAGTTTAGTTCACGTTTTTATAGCTTTTATGTTGTAATTGGTTTTCTGCATTAAATATATTGATTAAGTACATTTAAAACTTAAGAATACTTAATCAATTATATCTATTTTATATATTCATTACCGGAAAGTATTGACACAAACTAACATCGTATATCAGCCGATATCGATAATCAAAATATTATTTTTTTCTAAGTCGAAAAAATGTCTCTGAGTTATGACAGAATTGGGTTTTCAATCGATTTATTGATTAGTTTTAATGTCAACTTAAATCAAGGTTTTCAATTTAAAATATCAGCTGGACATTGGTTTTATAAGAGTAGCAAATATCGAAAAAAAGTCATATTATCTCGGTTCATCACTAATACTTAATCATATATTTTATTAAGTCTAGTGTAAGGTACTTTTTATATTGGTCCATGTGCACTCTATCTCATATAGTGGTGAATTTTGGAATGCGGTCTTTTTTAAATAATTAGTTAAGCCCCATTGATTTTTATTCCAATTGGTGAAAATTAGCTGCTTATGTTACTTCGATACTCCGGTTTGTGTCTGTTCATTAATCTCTCTAATTTTTTTACTATATTGATTTATAAAGTGTACCTCTATTGATATTCGATCTACTGCGGAGTGTATCAGATGTCCTTTGGTCACCATTCTCCAGTACCGTTTTTGGAGTTGTCACCGAAGATTGTGATGTAGTATTTTATGACTTGGACGCTGATAAATATAAACACATTTGTTGTCAACCTGTACAGTCTGACAGTCAATATGAGCTCTCTAAATTTGCATTTAATTGGCGGATGCCTGTTATAGTCGTTGGCAGTTCAAAGTAAATATAATATCAATATCTGTTCGTAAGTTGTCATTTAATGTACACCTACTGAATAATCTATAATAATAGTCACTATGTTTATAATTCCTTATAGAAGTACTGTAATCACATTAAAAATGTCACCTAATCTTCGATTGGTAATGAAACCGCCGAAAAAAGGTAAACATTACACTACGCAAATGCTGGAATTGGAAAAATTGCACAAAGCTTTGGATTCTACCCGAGAACCAGATACATTAGCAATAATTGCTGACGATGAAACTACAGATTCATAAATTACCTAACGTAAAATGTGAATTTAAGTAACTCTAGTTGTGTTCTTTAAATTAGTTAGGTATAATTATTATTTGTTTAAATTTAATTCTTGAATTTGTCATTTAATGTAAGAATAAACATAAATTAATAATAATGTATAGTTTTTAATTTTCTGTTACATTAAAATTAAAACTGTATAATAATACCAGTGGTGTAGCTGAAGCCCAATCAAGGAGGGAGGGGCATTGGGCGTGGTACATTTTCAAAACATTTTAGCGATTTTTGAGCTATTTATAGACAGTTTAATTTTGTGAGTTTATTACGTACATTTTATTTAGTATGTATTCTGTGGATAAAATTATTAGACTAGTCAAAAATACTGAAAAATTTGACAGGAGGTTTATTATAAATCGTAATTGGTAATCAAAGAAAAAAAATAATTGAATGTTATGTAGTATATTTTTTATATATATAAATTTTAAAATCAAATTTTGATGAAAATTGTACATATTACGATCTTTAAAAATGTGTATAATCGAACTTCGTTCAGAATCGTTTTTCATTAGTAAAGATTAATCATTGCGTATACGGAAAAACATTAAATTCCTCTCTATATCTTACTTTCTCAACTTCTCACTTACAACAATGGCCCGTACATTTTGCGAACAGATATGTGCGTCTTTTTATCTTTTGAATAGCTCTAAAATTAAAAAGACAACAATAAAAAAATGCATACCTTTAATGTTATAAAATAATGTTCTTATTTTTAAAATACTCGTACTGAATAATTGATGTCCACCGAGTACCGACTACCATCAGAATGTATACAACCATTATAAACTATTAAATTAGTTGGTTTCACCTTCACTAAATTATAGTTTTTCACATTTGATTCAGATATTAGATATGAAAATAGTAATGTATACCTCTGTCTAGATAGTTAAAATGTTTTTCATTCATATATCGATTTTTTACCACATTCTCTTTAGGTGAATTATTCATTATTCAACTGACGTTTTATATGACTGCAAATAAAAGCCCGTTGCTATCGTTACGACTTTACGACACGACTTGTAACCATATTATATTTCTTTTAAATATACACGAGTAATATTTATGAAATGCCAATAAATGTTTTCGTTGATAATAATATAAAATTAACAAGAGTGTATATGTTTTGAAAATGCTAAATTTAATACCGTCAGCATATTCTTTAATTGCATTAATGCTATTCTAGAGTTTTGGTTGTTTTAAAATATTTCTAAAGTAATGGAGCAATATATTTTTTATCTATTTTAGAAAAAAAAACCTTTCCTATTATGGCTTATATCCTCGTAATATTCTATTAATGACCTTTTCCTATTAATTTTAAAAATAGTTTTGATTTTAGAATCGCAAAATGACCAAATTCTTCATATTAAAAACTATGTTCCTAAATTCCGATAGTTATTTTTTTTAAAGTTACTTTTCAAAAATATTAATAAATTATTTAAAATTAACCTGATTTAATTAATGAAGAAATATAGATAACGCCCGGTTAATTGGCTGTCTTCATTAGATTATTTCCCTAATTGTTTAAATATCGAATTTTTTTTTTCAATGGTAAAAATTAAAATACATTATTATTGTTATTGGGTATTATTAATTTATTACCTATACTCAGTACTCAGTATAATATGATCTGTGTTACAATTTTGGCTACCTACAAAAATAATTTTAAACGCAATATTATCATGAACATAACAAACTACCTAATTAATAACCAGTACAAATTGCTATAATACTCTGTGTTGAGTTTGTAAAAAATAAATATCAATTATTTTATGGATTTTATTCTTCGTGAAGAAGGGCACAGCAATTCGATCGGGACGAGCATCAAACTTAAGAGGACGCTGTACCCTAATGTGCTGTCTCAGTCCAACTAACGGGCGATACAGCAAAATCTACCTTACGCAAAATGCACAGTACTCGTTTAATTTTGGTTTTAGAGTAAAATCACCCGTTAAAATATTAAAAGAGGATAATTTGCCGGAGGGTTTATTAAAACAAATTAAAATACAATATTTCGGAGAGCAAGACGATGCATTTCTTTTTTTATTATTTTTTAAATAATAATTCGAATAATATGAAAACCGAATCGTCATGCCCTCCGGCATATTATCCTCTTTTAATATTTTAACGGGTGATTTTACTCTAAAACCAAAACTAAGCGAGTTCTGTGCAATTTTCGTATGGTAGATTTTGCTGTATCGCCCGTTAGTCGGACTGAGACAGCACATGCAGGTATAGCGTCTTCTGAAAGCAGTTATATTATAGCCGCGGGCCGTTCACTGCCGGCCGCCAAGCGTCAAGTCGTGTTCGAGTAACGAATAACCATAAATAATAATGTTTTCTGGTCGGCTGCATAGTAATAATAATTATTGTGTGTCCGTTACATGAAAATGAGCGTACGGTGGGCACGCACCGGCCGCATGGTCACACTGCGGACCGGTACGTGTCCCCCATCACGAGAGGGTGAACGACGCCGCCGCCGCATTCGGCGCTCCATGTTCTTTCGGCATTCGGCAACGGAGCCAATATACACACGCATCACATCCACACTCAATTGCTCCGCGAACGCCTTGTTGTCCGGTACGTGTTTTTGTACCGCTCCGACAGAGTTGCCTTATTGTACGCCCTTTAAGAGAAGTTTAATTAATTAATTTTTTTTTTTTTTTTTTTGTTAATAGCAAACGGAGTTTTCACGTCCAACTCCTTTTATCTCTTATAATCAGAATTCGATTAATTTCAACGCAACAATATGGTCGAAGAGAATTCACCAGCAGCAGCGGCTGCCGCACCCGTCGACCAACAAGAAAAGCCGGTAACCGAAAACGTCGTGGCGTCGGCCGCTGAGGGCGATGCCAAAGTCGAGGAACCGCCAAAAGCCGAGATGAAAGCTGTCGTGCTCACCGGGTTCGGCGGTCTAAAGTCCGTCAAGATCCTGAAGAAGCCCGAACCGACCATAGCGGAGGGCGAAGTCGTCATCAGGGTGAAGGCGTGGTGAGTTGTACAACACATTATTTTATTACCTACTCAACCGATTATTATTATTGTTATTTATTATCGTCGTACGCCCCCGTGATTCATCAGACGCCCCGCGGACGGACACCACTGCCGGGTAAGACGCGGCCCTAACATATGGTCGCGTAACACGACGTCGGGGGCGCGGGCCTTTTGCCGTTGGCGAAGCACTATAATATAATGTCATGTTTTTACGGAGTCCTGCCGTTGGTTGCGGCGTGTTTGTACTGAAGTAGACCGGACAATGATATTGTTCCTATTATCTCTGTCCGACCTTTTTATTTTAAAAACGTACTATTTCGCGGTTATAATTGTATTGATATTGTGGCCCGGCAATAGTTCGTGGTGCGACACATGCATTGTTTTCGTGGTGTCTCGACAATTTTCCGAAACTCGTTACCCCTCGCGTCTTACCCGCGCGCCATATGTTTCGCGGATTATAGCGGTAGAGGATAATCCCTTTTCGAGACGTGTGCGCACGAACCGAAATGATTCGAACATTCCGTACGGTTTTTTGGAATTTGTTCGCCTGCACGGTCACACGAATCGTTCCCGTGATATCGCGGCGGAACCCCTCCCGGCCGTCGTGCACACCCGACACACACTCTCGGGTGCGGTAGCAGCTGTCTGTCCCGCCATTCCCACCTGTTATATTTTGTGTCCAAACCTTTTATTTATTAATGTCGTTTTTTTTTTTTTTTTTGGTTATTATTTATCCATCCCCTATACGCACACCGCCTAGGTACCCGTATCCGTTGTGTACATAATAAATAATATCGTAGCGCACGCAACAAAGAGTAAAGAGAGTCGGTTTACTACGGTGCGATCGAAATGGGTGTGTGCGTTTTGGGCGGGTTTTTTTTTTCCCGAACGACAGTTCTATTGATGAAAAAAAAAAAAAAAACACCGGGTAGGGTTTCGTCCCCGTCGTCGCGTGAAATATTCCCATGTCGTTTTAGGTATTTCGGGTGTTGGCGCCGCCGCTGCCGTTGCAGGCGACTACGTGTTGCGTTTTCGGCCATTAAGTTACCCACGGTACGATATTTGTTGTAAGTTGGGCGGGGTCGGACCGGGGGGGGGAGGGGTGCCTCAAAAACTGTACCCGAACATATGGAAGACAAACGCTGTCGTCGTCGTATGTCGTCATATTTTCCAGCGGACGGTTTTCGATTCCGACAAGACTTTTGAACGCCCCGGTTAACAAACGGCGGCGTGTGGCGGTGGAAATAATTGTCGACGCGAACATCGCATTACGCGGCTTTTCAAACGATGAAGGACGCGCCGGGGGCACCGATAAAAAAAAAAAAAAAATTAAAATTATTTTCGCCCGTTTTTCGTTTTGAACGCGTAGTACAATATATGGGGGCTCGTGTGGAAATGGGAGGAAAGTAACGGGATTTTCCGGGTCGTTGGTCGTGCCGAGCACGCATACGGGCGTTGTAGCAACGGCGTGCAGAGCGTGTGTGCGTGCGCGCGCGAGCGTATGGGACGGACGAGCGACCCGACCGCCGTTTGAATTTTTCAAAACGCGCTACAGTGTAATCGTTGTTAAATTGTCATTATTTTCGCATGTGACGCGGCGACCGGGTCGTTTAACGGCCGGATTTTCGTTCGGTGGCAATCGAACGAATCGCACACGTATTTGTATATAGAAAAAAAAAAAAAGAAACCAACGAAAAAATAGCCAGTACGCATACGCACACCAGAGGTATATTGTAATAACATAGCGACGACGTGAAAAAAAAGGAAATTCGATAACCTTGGCCGGAACGCAGCGCGCCGCCGTCTGGTTTATCGAAAGGAAAGAAGAAGAAGAAAAAAAAAAACCCACTGCGACGGTAGACGACGCAACAATGTATTATCATTATTATTTACGTGTGTTGCGTTTTGTGCGGAGGTGGTTTTTTTTTTTTTCGTCCACCGCTGCTACTTGTTCGGCTAGAGAAACCGTCGATTATCGACCTCGCGAGAAAAAAAATTCGCCCGCCCTCC